GTTTTACAACTGTATGTCTATATATAGTTTATCAAATAAACTCATATAACAAAACTTTACCAAAATAGCATTTACTTAAAAATCGTAATTTTGTAAAAATAACTCCGCACGTACGTGCGGGTCCATCACTAGTAAATAATTGAAATCAAATATGTTTTTTACTTGTAAAATAAATAATATTTCATAAAATTTTATCTCCAATATTAATATTATAATAATCATCAAATAACCGTAACCGTATTTAACCGTAACCGTAATTAACCGTAACCGTATATAACCGTAACCGTCTTAACCGTATATATAATGATTAAGGTTATGGTTAAAAAATTATAACCGTTAACCGGTGGTTAATTAACCATAACCGCATTAACCGTAACCGTGGTCATGCCTATCGCTGTATCGTTTCTTTGTTTACTTCTTTTACGTGAAATGAAACCAAAAAAAGCATATCGTATGATGCAGACTGTGTCGTTCTATTGTGGATTGTTAGATTACAACTACTTTACATTCTTATGTATTTTGTAATACATCGTTCATGTTGCAAAACATATAAAGAACGTTATAAACATATTGTACGTTAATAGTTTCTTGTTGTTGCCGTGACCGTGTGTAGCAACTCTTAAGGTTTTCAGATGCTATAAAGGGGTTTGGGCTTGTTAAGTGGGAAGTGGGAACTTCATTCGATCTTTTAAAACCTGATTGAAGAAATATTATTATTTTTCTGTTTTGAAGTAATCAATCATGTAATCTCTCTCATGATCCACGCCTTCTTCTAAAATCCTCATTTGGGAAAGTCACATACTCATCCAATTTGGTTAAAGCGAGAACTCAAAGGAGAAAAGTATGCTTTTTGATGGGTTTTTTATAAACTACTATACTTTTACTTCATCATCTTTCTGTGCAACCAAGTAAAGGTAATGGTGGCTTTCGTTCCTGACCAATATTTGTGCTTTTCCTTTTTCACCAAAAATGTTTGAATAATATTTATAAGATTTTTATTTATTTTAATCTTTGTTAACATGCATGTTGTTGAAGTTGAATCCCCATACTTAAACTTGGATGGCATATATGATCATGACACCACGTAAGTAAAAACTACTACCTAGAATAAAAAGTAAAAGTTCATATATACTTTTCTTTACTTCTTTTAGCTAATCATCTCTTTACCAATCAAAGTAGAACATTGAGAGAAAAGTAATGAAAAGTATAAAAAGATTGGAAAAGGAAAAGAGAGAGAGGCGATATAGATATACAAGGCTAATTTGGTGTGATTAACCAAGATTGGAGAAGCTCATCATGCTCTTCTTTCTTCTTAAACCGACGTTTTACACCAAGTACAATGAAGTTGGTTCTTACATCATTAAAAGATTTCAATGTTAAAAAGTATTAAGATCATTGAAATTTGAAAGAAATTTGGTTAGATTGATGATATCTTGTAATCATTTACTTACAAATAAGAACATTTAACCGACTGTTAAAACATTGATCATATATAAACATATATATTCAGCATAAGCATTATCCAAATATATTGTGTGAATTCAATCATTTCTTCATTTTATTTGAAAGAATACTGTTATACTGTACTTTATGTAATTTTATTTTATTTTGTTTGAAGTATGGAATTTAGAGATATAGTGGTGTGCAATGTGAATTGATCAGTTGGAAAACCTTGAGGATATTCATATATTAATCACTCTTCTAAAGATATATATGGTTTTAAAAGGACAACTAGTAAGGGGAATTACACTTTTAAAAGGCAATTAATTGATGGGCAACAATATAAATGAAAGAATTGATAGATACATAAAATATTAAAATTATAAAAAGATGAGGATATGTCATGTGCTCCCATTGGCCCCATGTCTTTGATCATCATATAATTTGATGCCACAATTTGGAATATCCTTTTGATTAGTACGTAGTTTATCAATCATTTACTTAGTTATTAACACCGAAGTAAATTGTCGTGTAAATAAAGCATATTGAAGCTATGTTGGAAGTATTGTTATAACATGCAGGTTTGAGTTCTCCAATGTAACTTATGGTGATTCCTTTGCAAGTTAGCTAAAACCAGGTTGGATGTAAATTGGGAATCGCACTAATGGCCAGGGAGTTGACCAGATTCGTTTACATCTCACTATAGTATACTATAAAACACACACGTCACTTATAATAGTACTTACCAATTTATACGATCAACAGTTTTTATAAACCACACCATTATAAATCACATAATTCATCTCCCTACTACTAACTTACAGAGTTTCATGCATCATGCGCACAATGGCATACGTGCGCTTTACCAACTTTTCTCATTTCTATATTGAAATGTTCAAAAAAAAACAACAAAAAAAAAACCACAATAGAAAACATTTTTATCTTGCGTGTGAGAAGGCCGTCGAGACACTTTCAATTTTTGATTAAACAAAGAAAAAAAAAGGCACTTTCAAGAAAAATTAACAGAGAACGAGAGAATATCGAGAATATGTTATTATATATATCCAAATAGTAATACATAAAATAAAATAAAAACGATAAAAATAGAGAGACAAGGCGGTGACGGAGGAAACGAGTGACGAACAAATGATAAATAGACACATCTAACGTTATCGTAACAACAACACACATAGCACAAGACAAGAGTGTAAGTAATGCCACGTGGCTTATATCGTGTTTTATAAAACTAAAGACAACAAGGGAGAAGAAGAAGAAGTAAAGCTCTCTCTCAGATCCACTCAACACCTCCTCGTCTCCTCCTTATTTGTACGGTTCTTATTAAAAACAGGTTCCCAAAGGGTAAATCCAAAAGCGACGCAAGGGCAATATCGGAAAAAGTATTTTTTTCTCCTTCATTCTTATTAATGGCCGCCGTTAGCAGCTCGTCGGAGACAGGAGACAGTGGCGCCGCCGGGAAGAGAGATGAGATCATGTTGTTCGGTGTTAGGGTTGTTATCGATCCGATGAGAAAGTGTGTGAGTTTGAACAATCTCTCTGATTACGAAGAAAAGTCTTCGCCTGATGATGAGATCCCTAAGACTGTCGTCCCCGGAGCTGGTGATGGAGATGATAAGAACGAAACGGTGATCGTCGCCGACGGTTACGCCTCCGCCAATGACGCCGTTCACATTTCCTGTTCCTCCGCCGGTAATCGAGAGAGGAAACGAGGTACAGATTCTGATGATGATTGTATTATCATCAATCTCTCGTCTTTGGTTTGATCTTATCCAATTTGTGATTGAATCTATGCATGTTGGATTTTGCCTAGTTGATTGATTTGGTGTTTGAGCTATGGATTTTTGTCGTCTCTGTTTGTTGATTTTTTTTTTTGTGTGTGTGAACAAAATTAGGAGTTCCATGGACTGAGAATGAGCACAAGAGGTTCTTGATTGGGCTGCAGAAAGTGGGAAAAGGAGATTGGAAAGGCATATCTAAGAACTTTGTGAAGAGCAGGACTCCTACTCAAGTTGCTAGTCACGCTCAGAAGTACTTCCTCCGACGAACCAATCTCAACCGTCGCCGGCGAAGATCTAGCCTTTTCGATATTACAACCGAGACGGTAACTTTCTAAGCTGAAGATAAGATTGAGATTCCTTTCACCTTTATCCATTTCTTTCCTTATTTGTCATATCTGAGTGAATAGGTGGGTAGATGATAGGATTTAATTTTTCTTACTTTCTTTGTGTTCTCTGCTTTTTGAAAGCTCTTTCCTTTCTTAGAATTCAATTTGTTTTTAGGATTTCCTCTTTAGAATCTAAAGACAAAAGTTAATACGGAGAAGTGTCATAATGGTTTTGGTCAAATCTGGTATATATCTTTGAAGCTGTACTAGTAAGTGGACAAATCCAAGATTGGAGTTATGGATGGAGATTTTATTTATCAGACAATAATGGTAAGTGTGTGACAGTTAGGTTTGATTTGTTTTATCAGGTCACAGAGATGCCCATGGAGCAAGATCAGACTCAGGAGAACTCACCACTACCTGAAACCAATGTTAGCTCTGGACATCAAGTTATGCAAGTTGATGCTGAAGTTGCTGTGATGACAAAAACTGAGTCTTCAGCACAGACGTTCAATCTCAACGATTCATATCTGGTTCCAGTAACCTTCCAAGCAAATCCTGCATTCAATCTAAACACAGAGGCTGCTCCGCTTTCTCTCAACCTTTCTCTGGCCTCCTCATTTAATCTTAACGAGCAACCAAACTCAAGACACTCTGCGTTCACGATGATGCCAAGCTTCAGTGATGGAGATAGCAATAGCAGCATCATCAGAGTTGCTTAGACCTTAAAATCCAAGGTGAATCTACAAGACCTTGCTTCTTTATTTGTTGCTATGTTGTAGTAGTAGTAGTAAATATTAGGTATAAGATACTAAAAGAAAGATCCGTTGTTCAAAGTCTTCGGTCTTTTTTTTTTAATCTTTCTTTAGTCCTTACTGTGTCAAACTTTTATGTATTGTGTCTGAAAAAATAATCAGGGGAAAAAACAGAACAATAACAGAGGAAGGCTGTAGGGATGGACGAACTGTGTTTAGGGTTCTTCATCATCTTCGTCTGTTTGTAATACTCTCTGGTCACACTCACACACACTGTTATGAGTCGTTTTCTGCTGCGTGTGGTTTGTTTTTGTGGTATGTAAGTTAAAACAAACAAGTCGTGATTCTCATGTGGCCCATCTCAATCAATGGTTGGTGATTTGTGGGGTTTTTAGGCTTTTGTATATCTTATCTTTTTGGGGATAAGCTAAACTGTATGTATGGTTCGTCGAATATTTTATCTTTATCTATAATGCCATAATAGTGTTGCCACTTTCATGTGCCACTTTGACTTTGGTGGATTTTTGTTTTCTTTCCCTAGCAATTAGCAAACACCTTTTCTTTTTTTCTTTTGATTAGAGCAGTACATGATAATTAAGGGACATGATTATTCAAATCAACAGAACTTAAATTCTTAAAGAACAGCTCTAATTTTGTCAATCTTCATTATCTGCGCTTAGCCGTTATTTCAGGTATTTTTTGGTCAATTAAATTCTTCCCCCAATCCCAAATATAGAAGACTAAATAATAAAAGGTCACAAGCTCTGTTTTTTTTGCCCCCTTCTGCCTCCATTTCAATCTTCATGTAACCTTTTTAGATAATTTCATCTTTTTCTGTTTCTCTTCCTGTTAGTTTCTCTGTGTTTGCTTCTATCTTCGTGATCGCTTTTTGCAATCACAATAATGTCTAACCGTTCCTTCAAGAATTTCATAGAAGATGAACTTGGAACATTCCCACAGTTTTTAGTCTACGCTCTTCTTGAATGGATCCTCATCATTATCCTCTTCATCGATGGCTTCCTCGCTTTCTTCTCCAACCAAATTGCTAAATTCTTCGATCTCCAAATTCCCTGTCTTCTCTGCACTAGACTCGACCATGTTCTTGTCAGGAGAAACCCTGATTTCTATATCAACGACTCGATATGCGATGTTCACAAGAAGAATGTCTCATCTCTCGCTTACTGTCATGTTCACAAGAAACTCTCTGAGATCAAACGGATGTGTGAAGGATGTCTTCTCTCATTTGCCACCGAGAAAGAATCAGATGTTGATACTTACAAGTCACTTATCGGAATCTTACATAAGGATCTTGAGCTTCTTATCGATGACGAACGTGAGTTTCAATTGGCATTTCCAGTTACGGGTTCTAAGAAAGATGATAACCTTTGTCAGATTGATCACCGAGCTAACAATGGCAACAACAGGTTTCAGCAACAGCAACATTGTTCTTGTTGTGGGGAGCTATTGAAGGTGAAATCAGAGAAACCAAAGAATACTAATCAATCTTTCTTTGGTGCTCCTAGTCCTTCTCCTAGAGTTTCATTCAATCAGAGAACAGTGGATATGTCTCACATGAAATACGCAGAATCGCCCGAGGATGAAGATGCTCTTAACACGAAAAGCGAATTGGTGGATTCATTCGACGAGAGAACTCCGAGTTTCGTAAAAGGAGGCAATAAATTCTTTGGGATTCCACTTTCTGATTCGGTGCAGAATAGTCCGCGATGGTCTGTTCGATCTATGAAGAAATCGCTGACTGATCAGAATGGTTTGGAGAGCGAAGTGTTGGATGGAGATTCCATACTTCACCATCTAAATAGACAGGTTAGATTGGATCGTAAGTCGCTGATGGATTTGTATATGGAGTTAGATGAAGAGAGGAGTGCTTCAGCTGTTGCAGCAAACAATGCAATGGCTATGATCACGAGACTTCAAGCCGAGAAAGCTGCAGTTCAAATGGAGGCATTGCAGTATCAGAGAATGATGGACGAGCAAGCAGAATATGATCAAGAAGCTTTGCAGTCTATGAATGGTTTGTTGGTTAAGAGAGAAGAGGAAATGAAAGAGCTTGAAGCTGAAATTGAAGCTTATAGATTGAGATATGGATTGTTGGGAGAAGAAGACGAAGAAAGAGGAGAAGCACAAGAGTTTCTTGATGAAGAAAACAATGAAACTAAACCGGTCTCAGATGTGACTGTTTGTTCTTCAAATCATGAAGATGACTTGGAACAGATGAAAGATTTAGTTGAGGAGTCTACACCTACCAATGGTGTGGTCATAGAAGAAGACAAAGGTAAGCGTTTCATGGTTTATATGTTTCTTTAAGAATCTTTCTTTTAGAAACTGTCTGAATCTTCTTTTTGTTTGCATTTTGAAACAGCAAATGGAAGCAGAAAAGATTTGTTAGTGAAGGAAATTTCAGAGATAACAGAGAGACTAAATGCAATTGAATCAAAAGGTGAACTGTTGCAGCAAATTTCAGATGTTTTAGATGTTAGTGAAGGAGAAGCAATTCTATTACAGATATCTCAGAATCTGCATATGCTTCGTAGTTTCATTGAAATGCCATCAGAATCATGAATCTGTTTACTTACTTCTTCTATCATCAGAAGAAATCAAAACAACATCCATGTATCAAATCTGTATGTAAGTGTAACTGATACTGACATTTTTTTTAAACCACAGAACAAGCAAAAAAAAGCATTTTGTTCTGCCTTGTCTCTTACTTCAGATTCAGTCTTGAACCTGTTTTTCTTATTAAAAAACATGGTTGATGCTTTCTTTGATAATACATTGAATCTAAGACTCTGACGCCAAGTAATTATCTTTCCTAATTAAAAACAATATATATGAAAATCCCACTTTAACAAACCCATAAAGACTTGACCCAGCCAAAATATTAGTATTAAACAAGATCTCACATTTAGATTCTTACCCACTAATTCCATCATGGAAAATCGTGCATTGTCGACCAATGACTCTCATATCTGTGATCTGAAGTCTGAACTTGTCATATTTTTCTAAAAGACATCATCAGCTCAAGTCTTGGAAGTCAAGATGCATCTTATGGCTAAGCAAGAAAGTTTTCTCTGTTTTACAAATGACAGTTTAACCATTAACTTTGAAATGTTCTTCAGATTGCTTCTTACGACAAAATCAATCAATTAGAAAAAAATAGTATCAAACTTGAACTATTGATAATAAACAAACAATATTTTCATGCCCATTTATGTACCTCAACCAATCTCCAATTATTTTTCTAGACAAAAAATAGAAGAAGTCGAAAGAAACTTGGCCAAAGACCAAAATAAACCACTATATATCTAGAAAACAGAGGATGCTCTGTTTCATCATTCTCAATCAATAGCTATGACTACTACTACTCTCCAACTCTCTTCTTCTCTTTTAAAGTCTTTCTTTCTAACGCTCTGTCTCTTAGTAATCCCATCTCTCTCATCTGATTCTGATCCTTTGCAAGACTTCTGCGTTGGCGATCTCAAAGGTTCTCCTTCCATCAATGGCTTTCCTTGCAAACCAGCCGTCTCCGCTTCTGACTTCTTCTACTCCGGGTTAAGTGGTCCTTTGAACACCACAAACGCTAACGGGATAGCCGTGTCTCCCGCCAACGTCTTAACTTTTCCAGGTCTAAACACTTTAGGACTCTCGATGAACAACGTTGAGTTCGCTCCAGGCGGTGTAAATCCGCCTCACTCGCACCCTCGTGCAACCGAAGCTGGAGTTGTGATCGAAGGATCGGTTTTTGTGGGGTTCTTGACTACTAACAACACTCTGTTCTCGAAGGTAATACATGCGGGAGAGATGTTCGTTGTCCCTAGAGGATTGGTTCATTTCCAATGGAATGTTGGTAAAGGGAAAGCGCGTTTGATAACCGCTTTTAACAGTCAGCTTCCAGGATCAGCTGTTCTGCCTAATTCTCTCTTTGGCTCAAACCCTACGATTCCAAATGCGGTTTTGACCAAAACGTTTAGGACTGATGATGTTACTGTCAACAAACTCAAGTCCAAGTTTGCTGTTTGATATGTGTTTTGGTTTCTCAAATGATCTTTTTCAGTTCGATTTTATGGCAATAACTACTTATGTGTAACAATTGGTATGTAAAATGCAAAAACAAAAACAAAAACATTAATAAGATTCATTTCTTTCTCTCTATTATAGTTTTTCTTCTGAAGATTTTTTTTTTTTTTGGTTGCAATGTAAACAACTTGAGTAAAGGAACTCATTCTTTATCATGTTTACCAATTTTTTAGGATTTTTGTTGATTCTCTGAAAGTATAATGATGATGCCAAGTAATCAAATCATTTGTGCAAATGTCACTCTTAGAAACCTTAAATATATCATTAGGCTACAGTAGGGAGAACTAGCCTAAGAAGTTTCACTCTCCATAGTTTAAATTCCGCTTCCAATGTCGGAAAAAGCCATCACTGACAGAAGAGAGTGGATAGATGCACAAGAGCATCGTTCAGTCAGTCACCCATACATTCACATTACGTGAAGCGGTCTCCTCTTCTTCGTTGCCTAAAATGTAATATAGATGCATCATGGAATGAATACATGGATGCTTGTGGAGTTGGATGGGTGCTAAGAGATGACAAAGGCACTGTCAAAATGAACGCAGCTCATGCCAATGCCATCATATACTTTTCAAATCTAAAGAAGCCAAAAGGGCCTAGCTCATCTTTTCCGATTTATAATACTCTATCAGTCTATTGGATGATTGTACTCCCATTGTGTAAACCGAGGTTGAGATGAATGTTCACAACATTTGTATTCAGTAATTTTAATGATAGTTGGTAAGTTTGAGGTTAAAAAACCTTAAAGAAACATTATCAACAAATGCTAGTCAATGAAATTCAATAATTCAACTCTTATTTAGATTCATACCAACGTATGTTATTTATTTATTACAAGTTCCTTCCTTACGTTATTACCAGATGGTTTGAAATGGTCTGGTGATTACTTGTCTTTTCCATTGCTCCTTACGACCAAATTAACAATACAAAGTTAAATGAACATCAAGCTTGAACCATTCCTTCTCCATTCATCTCAAATTTCTCCAATTTTAATGTTATTTTTTTACCAAAAAACAAGAATGAGTCAAAATAAATTTTTCCAAAGACCAGAGTAACCACTATATATCTAGAAAACAGAGGATGCTCTGTTTCATCATTCTCAACCAATAGCTATGACTACTTTCCAAACATCTTCATCTCTTTTCAGATCTTTCTTTCTAACACTTTGTCTCTTCGCAATCCCATCACTTTCAGCTGATTCGGATCCTTTGCAAGACTTCTGCGTTGGCGATCTCAAAGCTTCTCCATCCATCAATGGATTCCCTTGCAAATCAGCCGTCTCTGCTTCTGATTTCTTCTACTCCGGCTTAGGTGGTCCCTTAGACACCTCGAACCCTAACGGCGTAACCGTTGCTCCTGCCAACGTCCTAACCTTTCCAGCTCTAAACACTTTAGGACTCTCGATGAACAACGTTGAGCTAGCTCCAGGTGGTGTGAATCCACCTCACTCGCACCCGCGGGCAAGCGAAGTAGGAACCGTGATCCAAGGCTCGGTTTTTGTGGGGTTCTTGACTACCAACAGCACTCTGTTCTCAAAGGTTGTGAATGCGGGAGAGGCGTTTGTTATCCCTAGAGGATTGGTTCATTTCCAATGGAACGTTGGCCAAGTGAAAGCGCGTATGATAACCGCTTTTAACAGCCAGCTCCCAGGAGCCGTTGTTTTGCCTAATACTCTGTTTGGCTCGAACCCTGAGATTCCTAACGCAGTGTTGACCAGAGCGTTTAGGACTGATGATACAACTGTGCAAAACCTCAAGTCCAAGTTTTCTGGTTGAATCTTGTAATTTATGTTTTCTGTAACGATCCAATAACCGTATACGCTCTGTAATAAAAGTCGGTATGAAAATTCGATACTATACATTATACAATAATAAGATTGATCTCTTTCTCTCTTTTTTAAAGTAACTCATTCAACTGTCCAGCTCTTGTGGATTTATTTAGTTAAATCATTTGTGAAAAGTCTCTCTTAAAAACCTTAGAGAAGTTATAAACAACTGAATTCAATGGAATCATAAGTCAACTCTTAATTATTCAGATTTTTTCAGCTTAATTAAATAATTACCACATGTTTCCTACGTTGGCACAATCATACACTCAAAACTTTCAATTGATGCTGTGAGCAATCTCAAGACTAAGTTTGCTCTTTGATTCATGTTTATGAATGAAATCATTTTGATTAAGTTTGTAACACAAATAGAAAAATCGATGATTAATGGGAACCTCACTCTCTCGTTATTAGATTGTTTCTTTATTTAGTAGTTGAGAAGAGGAAGAAAGATCACTAAAAATGGAAAGGGTTCTCCAAATAGCTGGGAAATCCCAAGAACAACTCTTTTTCTTTAGCTATAATCGATTCAACGAACCCGTTGCTCGAAGATTCTTCTTCAATCTGAGAAGCTATTGTTGATGTATTAGCCATCGTAGCTGCTGCTACCTCAGAGAAGTCGTTGCCGAACAAATTGTCTAGTTCTTGAGGATGATGCTTCTGTTGGTTTTCATGGAAGTTTTCTTGGTCAAGAAGAAAGTCAGACCAAGTGAAGTTAATATCTGAATTCTCCTGAGCTATGGTGGAACAAGTTGAAGAGAACAATGGAGGCGACGAATTAGAAGAAGAGGAAGAGGCGTACACAAACGTAGAATCGGGCTTGCCTTGGTTCGATGACTCGGTCATAAGCTTGATGGCTTGTAAATGAAACATGAGATCTCCTGAATCATCAGGTTGTTGTTGATGAGCATCATCGTTGAGCGAGTGATTAGGTCCAAGAGGTCTGCCTTGGTTCAAGGGACTAGGGTTTAGGTTCCCACCACCATTGATGTTGCCGTATTCAGCAAGTACGTGAGAAAAGGGACGGTGAGTGACATGATCTATCCCCATTTCAGACAGTTTCTTCTTTAGTTTTGTGTTCCAAAATATCTTCACTTCTTCTTCTGTCTTTCCTGGTAAATGTTGTGCAATAAGTTGCCATCTAAATCCCCACAAACAAAATAATCAGAATCTGCCAAATCGTCAAGGAATTTTCAGAGTAAATTGCGATATATGCACAACCTGCTTCCCATTGCTGCGTGCATCTTGATGATCAGATCTTCTTCCTCAGAAGTGAAGCTCTCATTCTTTGTTCCTGAATGATCAGTCTTTCTAACTCTGCAACTCTTCCCGCATCTCCTAAGTCCTATAAAATGTTCATACACATATACATAGATATATCATACTAATTAACATCATATCCGTTTTTGTAAAAGAAAGAGAAACATGTTTTTGTAACCTATTTTCTTAGGAGCTGCAGATCCGTTTTTGGACGCAGACGCAAACGCAAACTTTTGGGTGGTGTCTTCTTCGTTTGTCCAAGGATTCTTTGATTTTGAAGAGCAAGATCTCACCATTTTTCCTTTAAAAGAAACACAAAATAAATGGAAGTTAATAGTATAGGAGAAATATATTTAAAGCTGTGAAGAATGAGAGGCATGCAATAATAATACAAAGGGAGTGTTGTGAAGAAGGAAGGGAGTAGGCAAAATGGGTTTAGAGGTATAAGAAGCGTGTGTGGCAAGAAAGGCATGAATATATTTTTCATCTTTCTTAAATTACATACGCATGATTCTTTAATTATATATAAAACTATTATTTTCATCTTTATTTTGCCACATCTTTCATTCCAAAATCTCCAAAATTCTTCAAAGAATAAACTTTTGGTTCCAAGTTCTTTAGCACAACTCATTATAGGTTATTAAAGAATATGTTACCTCATATAATTAAAGAGGGTACAAAGCCTGGAAGTGAATAGCAAATATTATATTGATTTTCTAAAAGAAACATAAGTAATCTTTTAGTGAGTGATTGACATATACAAGTTTATCATAGTAGTAGTAAAACGGTAATGTAAAAGGGAAAATACTTGGATAACCTATGATAATGAATTAGTGATCACATCAAGTTTCTTTTTGCAATCATAAACCTTTTAAACCGGTTAATTCAATAACTAATATTTTCTTTCAAGACGAAAGACATATGTATAAAACATAATAAGTATGTATATTATCCACATACCAATTTATCTAAAATCTAAGTTATTAAGCATGTAACTTCATGGGCTTTGAAGCTCTCAATATATGGCATGTGACGAAGCAACAGCAGTTTCACAGCCTTTAAAAAAATTTGCTACATGACACGTGTACCGCTATACCCATAATCTGATAATCACATTCAGCAAGTCTCAAAGCTGCGTCGTTTACCAAAATCTTAGAGACCTTAAACGTGTTCTTATGGTCAATACAAAAGTTAGAGAAAGTTACTTGTACACTAATGATAAATTCCATAAAAACATTAAACAGCTCTTAGGAATATCTGGTTCACCCTCTTCATTGTTTCTTTCTTCATGGTAAGAAAAAAATGACTAACCTAATCTACACATACCTCTTCGGCCTCCACAACAATCACCTCTTCAGTTATCAGCCGAATTTGCCTGAAGTACTTAAAACAACAACAAGAAGGCAGATATGCTTGAATGAAGAAAAAGCCAATGGAGTGTCTCTTACCGTTTTAACTTTCCTCAGCAAGGGGTTTATGCCAGAAATAACTCGTGAAATCTTACTTATCATACAATGGTGATTGACCAGAGGGTGCTTTAAGAGGCAACGATAGGCTCTCTGTCTTGCTTATGAATGGTCTGTCTTATCATCATCCTTCAATACTGTACTTGGACCATCGTCAAAACCAGATACAGGGGCAAGCTCGTTTAAGTCAAGGTAACGCCTTTTGCCTACTACACCCTCAGCTTCTTCTTGGTCTTTTGTGCCGTTTGATTTCTTAAGTTGATTATTCTCTTTACCATATGCTGTCTCTGCATTGTCATTGACCTCTCTAGGCTCTTCTTCTTCTACTTCTTCACCTGACTTTGTTTCTGGGTCATTTGCATTTTCTTCAGAGTCCTGACTTCCCATTGTGAATTCCCCATTCCCTGTTTCATCAGAATGTTCATCTGGCTCAACCAACCGCTTACGTTTCGCCAATCCTGTTGCTTCTTTGTCAGATTCTGAGAGCTCATACTGTTGGTAATCGATTCTTGTGGCTCTTTTACTACGTCTCAGGCCTGGCCGAAAATCATTTGACCTTGATCTCGGCTTAGTTTCTCTTCGTGGCATTTTCTTAACCTTCCGGGGTTCATCACTATCTTCTTCGCTTGCACTTAGAGACTCTTCTTCATCTTCTTCTTCTTCCTCTTCCTCATACTCGGCATTGTCTTCATCCCATTTGTACTCCTCATCTCCCTTCTCTTCATCTCCTTCTGAACCACTCGAGAGCTTCTTCTGTTTACGCTTCCTCAGGTATTCTTCATCATAAACTGCTTCACCGTAAATGTCGTCGTCACTTTGAAACTCTACCTCATTGTCTGAAACAGTTTCAACAAAGTCTGTAGCTGAATACCGTTGGGGTCGTTGTCTGCGCCTGTTACTGCCATGACATATAACTTGTTAATTCAATCTAAAGTTTTGTAAGTTCTGGAGGGGAAAAAGGGGAGAAGAAAAATACACTGTGTCTTGCCTTCTGTCCAGAGATTCATCTCGCTGCTCATCAAAATCATCATAATCAGCAAAATCAGAAGATCTCGCAGATGCTGTATCGTTTACAGGCTCAGAAGGGTGGGTTGAACTGGTCGATCTGCCATTCGCAAGAGCGTCCAATCTGGCAGATTCTCTTCTGTGGAGAGGAGGTTCTGGTGATGGTTGTTTCTTCCTGAGATATCAAGAAAAACAAATAGAATATTAAAATAGACAATAGATAATAGTCACCAAATAACAACTTTAAGGGAAACAAATAGCAGAGAATGTTAAATGCAAAGCGTACTTTGTTATCTTGATAGCTTCATTTATGGACTTATCATAATCATCTGCAATAATATTCAAAATTAGTAAACCTCTTCAGCCCAGTAGAGATCAAGATGGATCTTTTATGCCAAAAAGAAGCACAGTGGATTTTAACAAGATCATAAAGTTACCAAAAGTGTATCTAACTGGCTTCCTATCACGGAGAGAACGTCCAGCACCAAGACCGTCAACAACCAAAAAGTTATCAAGGAGAAGAGCCTGTCTGTGTTGCTTTTTCAGCAGTTTTTCTTTTCTCTGGCAGTAGGAAAAAACATTCATGATGAATATATGCAGTTAATAAGAATTATCAGCCATATGAATATGCGCTTAGTAATAGACTAATAGACTTTATTCTACTGTAACCAAGACGGACAACAGAAAAAAAGAAACGGAAAAACTAGAGCAGACTGGAACCTTGTGTTCTTTTTCTATCTCAGGAAGCATATCTTTCATTAACTTCTTCCCTAGAGAAACTTCAATTCTACTATTACTTTGAAGAAGTTTTTCCTGCAAAACAAAGAGACACAGCATCTCAATCCACAGTAAAGACATGGAAAGTTATACTTATTGTTCATTACATTAGTTTGGTCCATCACAGAGATCGAAAGTCAAAAGAAAAGAAGTTCAGTCCAAAACATAAGTTTCGACAGAATAGTATAGCCATTAGGTACTAAAAGCATTGAAACGGATCCACAATATAAAGTTGTTTGTGTTCACCTTCCTAACCATATAATAAATTGCAACAAAATTTCCTCAGAAAGGACATCCCTGAAAATTAAGATACTGGAACACTAACACAAACAACATACTACTAACTTACTATATATCCAACTATGTACCTAGATCAAAATAGACTCAACTTGCACATGAGCCCTTTTAAGCGAGTTCTTAGAACTACTAACAATTTAACTTGATTCACTCAGAGTCACCAAAGATACTAATGATAACTTTGCAAGCAATCTATATGCACCATCCTTTGAGTAACAAATTCTGGGAAGAAAGTTACATCCATCCTCTAAAAGTAACTGTTTCTCCAAATACATTTTTCTCAACCTATAGAGACTAATCCCATTTTTGCAATCTACAAAATTCCATCAGTAAAGAAGATTAATATTCGATGCAAGGATAACACTAGCTTCCACGCCAGTCTAACCATCACAATCACATCAGAACCAAGCTCCCAGATTCAATAGCAAGAATTAATTACAGATTAACTAGACAGACATATAGAAATATCAATCTATCTATCTGGCAATTGAGAACAAATTAATTGTAAAAGAGACTTACAGAAACGTCTTGGAATTCATCAAAATTAGTGGCAACCGTTTCCCATTGGTATGTTATGTTAGGAAGAATCTTGGAACCCTTTGTTTTGACCTTCAACACTTCTGCTTTCCTTATTTCCCGATACAAGCGGTGACCAATTAAGGGATCATCCTCATACCTTAATTAAGAAACAAACAGGTGCAATATCAGAGATATGCAAACAAGAAAGTCCTATTTAGGTCTTTTCTCTTTAGTACAGACCAAAAATTAACTCCATGTGAATCACCCCCAACGCGATCTTTGCGAAAAACTGACAGATGCACGCCAGTTTTAAGAGAGTTGTCAATATAGCTCTTGATATCATCTTGCTGTAAAAATTCACAAAACCCATCGAAGCTGTAAGTGCTAAAACCATCGCATCAGCGAGCTCTGAAAATGCAATTTTAACTGCAGTGCTTTACAAAATAACAAAAATTTTAAAGGATAAAACAAGAGCAGCAAATAATACAGGAGTGGTACACCAATACAAGTACTATTAATCGAGATTTGGATAACAGATCGACATACAGTAGCAACAATACCTCAACGCGTATATCACATAAAGCTTTCAAAATCACCACACGAATGGCTGGATCAAGATTCTTGTACACTTCAATCTCCCGCCTGTAAGATTAAGCCGAGAAGCTCATAAATGCATCACTAATGAGTTCCCATGATATTAAGAAAATTATAACAACCCACCCTTGCGAGGCAACAATAGGGAGGTCCCCTTCTGCAACCTAAATAAGTAGGTGAAGTTCATGTCAGAACATGATATAATGCAAAAATTACTTCATTTATCATGACAAAGAAGGTTTACAATCATTACCCAATGCCAGCTATCTCTTATTTTTCGGCACAAGACAGTGACCCAGGTATCACGTGTGAGGGCCATTCGAGTTACAGGAGGAATGGCCTGCAAATTGAAAATAAGTAAATGGTATATTGCTCAACATTTGAAGCAAATTTAATACTTCATAGTAGTGAAGAATATATTTGATTCCAAATAATGGTTGATTATCATCCACATAAACCAAAAGAAATTGCTGCAGTTTAGAGTATAAAAGTAATAATTACGTACACCAAATAAATCATGATATCACAACAGTGACCAAGGACTTCAATCAGGGAACTCTAACATGATTCAAGAAAGCGCTTCAGACAGAGATATTAGTGATCTGCACTTACAAGCCTATAAGGTACCTAAGACGGAAGCTAGCCAAAAACATAGATGCTATCTATTGGTCGATTAGCTACTCAGCCAAAATAATTTGAAACCACGAGTCCTACAATCCGAACTGAGAAAAACTCAGTAAGTTCATGATACAATTGAACAAGTTGGCAGCCAGTGAAACACGATTACAACGGGAAGCTGATATTTCATCTGAACTAGAGAAAATATTCCACTTTGAAAGAAAATTGCAATCTAGTGAGATATTAATACATCTTTAACAGGTCCACTTCTATTTCTCATTGGCCACAGCACCCAGGATTCCATATAACATCTACACTTTTAACAGAATCTTCTCACACAAAGGTCAAAAGGAAGGCTAAATTTCTGTTATAGAACCATTCAATATGCCCAAAGAAAGGCTATCACTAGTTTTCGTACTAAAAAGAGGCAGCAGTCGGTTAAGAGCACACAAACAAGTTGAGTTCATATCAATGAGACAACCTCTAGTACTACATTGAACTTAATACAAACAGAAATCAAAATGAATGAGGAGAAAATAAGAAAGACACGAGTAGAACACTAAAAGAGTAGGAAAGAAGAGAGTAATGAATGACTAAAGCACCAACCTTTAGGAGAGGAATATGAATATCACTCAAAGTATCGTTTGGAGAAAGCAGGGCCGTTTCAAACTCCTCGGCTGAAAACTCGGCATTGATTTTCAAAAGCGGTCGAAATACCTTCACCATCCATAAAAAGAAACAAAAAAAAAAAAGGAGAAGTGGGTGAGTTACTCATTGGCAGCTGAAGAAGAAAATATCACATTGAAGGAAAAGAGAGAGCTCACATGCAAGAAATTGAGCACAGAAGCAAGTTCCCACATGGAGCGAAGATTCCATCGCGGCATCTGGGAAGGTTCCGGTGGAGGAACAAGAGAAGTAACGATTTTACCAGAACTTCCTCCAGCGGCACATTGCTGCTTATTATTCTCATCATCACCAGCGTCCTCATCTTCCTGGTGATCGCCATCCGCATCCTCATCCTCCTCCTCCGCCACCTCTTCCCTACGTCGATGCTGCTCCCGTTTATGCTCCTTCTTAGGAGGCTTATGCTTTCTCTCAGCCGCCTGTAGCTCCTGAAGCCGCTGCTGGGCCCTAAGAGTACAAGCACGTGAAGGACGCGTTCTCCTAAGCGTGGAAGGCTCCTCCGTGGGAATTTGGGTGGTTTCAATAACGGGAGCTACATCTTGGGCGGGAGAGTGAGGAGATCGGTCAGGGACGATTTCGGAGGAGGAACCCATCGGGAAATCAAAAGAGCGCGAGAGAGAGAGAGATTAAAATTAGGGTTTGTTTTTTTTTTGGGGTTAAAAATTAAGATTTTGTAGGGAGAGAGAGAATGAAAACCCTTATGGCATTGTGAGGGAAATCGAAATCGGTAAAAGAGAAGCGGAGGAAGAAGAAGAAAAGCGAAGGAAGGTCCAAATGCGTCGACTGGTGTTTTTGGGTTACAAAACGCTGTCGTTTCAAGGGTTCATGTCCGGGAGAGGAGACAATCTGAGGAAAAAAGTAGAGAGATTTGATGGTAAAATAAATGTCAAAATAGGTCTCTCTCTGAGAATGAATGAATCGATCAGAGGCGAGTGAAACACGATGAGAGGAGAGAAATAAAGGGTTCACAGTTTTATTAATTAGGGCTCTCCACACTTATATATTTATGGTTTTTATTATTATTAGGGAAAATATATGGCTTTTGTGGATTTTAGAAACTGATATTCTGATTTTCTGTAAAAATTTTGAATTTTAAATAACTATATTATGAAATCAGTACGACTTTTTATATAGTTCTAATTAGTAAATGTATAATATAGTTAGAAAAATATATATAGTCCGCATTTTTATAAAAGTATGTTTTTCCAACTACTAATCGCCGCAACATCGAATGGGAGACAGGTTAAGATTGATTTTTTTTATTTTTTTCTAAAGTAACTCTCTATTTATAGTTTACAAAGATAAATAGTAAATACTGATTTGGGAAATATAACTAGAAGAAATACTTGACAACTGAAGTAATCCATTACAAGATGAACATGATTACCAAAGGATTCTCTAAATAGCAAAGCTGATCATTAATGATCTTCTCAATCGGTCCAAGGAAGTCAAAGATCTAACCTTGGTTCTTACATTAATACTTCATTTATATCACACAACTAAGTTCCATTACATGGCCTAAATCACAAACATAATCAAACACTAATGTAACTCATAAATTTTCCATTGTAAACTTTTCCGAGAAACAAAGAACCACACACAAGTGTGTATATATGCACTTGTATTTTTACACCGTGTATATTTTACAATCATTAGTTTACCTACAATTTCTTTACCAAAAAAAAAAAGTTAACATACAATTTCTTTTTAACAGATATAAATACCAAATTCAAGTGGCACTGTACATTATTATGTACCTGAACATTATTATTCACAAGTCACACCTCTTATCGACGACGAAACCTCTTCTCGAAGATCTGTCGATATAGCGTCTTTGTCCGAAAAACCAACACACATGAGACAAGAAATCCGAGGAAAGCCACCGACGCAATGATCACAAATGACAACCGGAAACAATGAGGACCGTAACATGTGTTACCTTCTCCGGTAATGGTATGATCATAGATATACCCAATCAATCTTACAGAAAAGATATACGAACCCATAGGACTAGCAATCGAAATGGTGTTGTAGATTGTGCCCATGTGCTTAACCCCGAACAGTTCTGACGTTATTGTTGGCATCAACGACCATTGTGAGCCATAACATATGCCTACGATAATCGAACCGGGGTAAAGATTTCCTTGGAAACCGGAGGATATAATTAGATGACCTATGGTCATTGTTCCAAGAGTTGTAGCCATTATCAACGGACGTGGCCATCCTTTTCTGTGTAGCAGTAGATCCGAGACATAACCACCTCCAAACCGACCAATAAAGTTCCATATACTCCATAAAGCCAACAATGCACTTATCTCAATGCTAGAGTATCTAAGAGACTCGCCTATTTGTCTGATGTTGTTTATCGTCGAAATCCCTGAACCCATTCCACATACCATTGCAAGAAACAACAACCAGAAGTCTACATTACGCATAGCTTGTAAGAGATTCAAGCTTTTGTCTTCACTTAGCATCAAGATCTCCCCAGAGGTTGTTGCTTCCAGATTTTCTACCAGAGGGGAATAAACAGGTGATAATGGTTTACTGTCTCGGTGTGCTCTTATCGCAATTAGTAGAGGCGATGAAAGCACAACGAGTAGAACTGCAAGCGTGACGGCATTGGCCCATGATGGTAAACTTAAAGTGCTCTTTAGAATAATAGTGATCATAAGGTAAGCTGCAATGATAAGTGACAAAGTTGATAAACCATCTAAATGCTTCTTCTCATCAACCGTGCTTGTCTCATATATTCTGACTAGAGGCATCACCAAGACAGAGAGAAGTGAAGGTACTATGGCAAGTAGAAGAATAAAAGTCTTTGGATCTCCGGGGCATATTGTTTCATACAACTGAATTAGCATTGCTCCACTTAGACCAACAAAACCCTGCCAAGTGCGACGAACGCAAGACATAAAAAGCTTAGTGGCAAAAGATGACTGGCATATATCTTTTCAATTTCTAGCGAACTATGCTCCCCTGTTCTGTGAGGTTCAATTCAACTAACTAATAATGAAGACTTATATCAACCTTCAGGAGCCAAAGAACTAGGCATAAAAATTTCATCAAAAGGTTGAGTCTTTTTAGTTTTTACCTTCATAATGCCAACGGCAGTGCCACCATAATCAGCAAAATTCTCTAAAGAGCTCACAACATTGGCCGTGTTAAGAAACGTCAAAGACTGCGCTGCTATGAGCATAAACATACACATAACCGGAACCGGAGGCCGCCATATCAAACCGGTAACAGATGCCCACATCAAGAAATAACCGGTGAAGTTCAAAACCGCTCCGATCAAAATCGCCACCCACGGTCCTCCTCTTCCTCGGCCTTCCCGTACATGACGGAGACGGCTATTTGAGGTGGCTGCAGTGTAGACAAGTCCCGATAAAACTCCGACGTTACCCCCAATGTCTTTGAAAACAGAAACCGTATCAAGGGTTGACTGGTCGTAAGATTGAGTTGACTTTAGGATGGCGGAGTAGATTCCGAAGGTGTAGGAACCTCCTAAGGTGCACTGGATCCATATGCTCGCCGTCATCGCCATCCATTTCGTTCTTAGTATCTCCGTCGCCATCTTCCGACAGAGAGGAAAAAGTTTTTCACTTCTCCACCTCTTGGCGCAAATTGTTGTTGACACATGCACGCACACACGAACGAAATCCAGATATTTTTTTCGTTTGAAACAAAAATCAATAATTTTGTTATTAGCAATTATTAGCATCCATTTTATTGGGCTTTTGGCAATTGTAATAACTGATTAGGCCCGAGACAGAGACTGTTAAGGCACGCTGTAGCCACATGACGCCACGTGTAGGAGAGCAAGACGGAACGGGGAAGATTAATTTAACGGCTTTAACTAACGGAGTGGATGACTTAGCCAATTAACGTCAGTTTACTGACTCAGACATATTGATATAACTTTCGTCACGTCAATTATTTATTTAATAACTCTTTGTTTTAAAACTCCAATTATTTAGTTTTCAAGTTCGTGTTTGAATGTGTATGTGTATTTAACTAATGGTGTTAGATAAATAACATTAAAAACAAAATTATAATATATGATGTTTGACCAAATGAATTTGGTTATCTTTTTATTCATATTTGAAAATATACACTCTTTTTGTTTTATCTCAAATTAAATTTTGTTTTAAACTAAATATTGTTTTAAATTTTTTAATATATATTATACTAATATTTTTATTATATACTATACTATATGAGGTAAAATAACAAATGTAATTTTTCTTTATGTGAAAAAATAAACAAGACTTATATAATAAAACGATAAGGAGTATCAAAAACAAATTCATGTATATTTTTGTGCAGAAAAATACATTAATATATCACAGATAAACTTATGATTGGAATAAGATAACCAAAAAAAAAAAAAAAAAAAAAAAAAAAAAAAAAAGATAACCAATAACAGTACACGAGCTATATCATGTTTGACAAATTGATATCTTCTAATAATTATTTTTTATTTAAATATATCATTAAACATTAAGTATAAATTATTATTAAAAAATTGTCGGCAAATAAAAATAATATTGTCCATGTCTCAGATAAAATTACAAATGGAAAAGAAACAAAAAAAGAAAATAGTGAAGGGACACAAAAGAGAAAATGGCGGATCACATGGGGACAAGTAGTAAAAAAAAACCCGGCAATGTATGATAAAAGCCTTCTTGGTTGTTACGTCTTATAACGTCTCCATCATTCATCACTTTGTAATATATAATATATATAGAAGAAACCTTCTAAACCCCTAAATAATATTAATTAACAAATCCTCAATCTACAGCAGAGAGCTTGACGACGACGACGATGATCGTCCCTTTAAATTACATTCACTTCTCGTCAACGCGTTTCCTTCTCCTTTCCTTCTTTTTCTCTCGACCGCCTGTTCATGGTGGATGGGAGTCGGACATCCTCTTCCACTTCCGCCGGACAAGAACCGTCGGGAGGTTGATATTCCGCCGGATATTGCGTCCACTTCTTCCGCTTCGGCGGTTAATGCCTCCTTGTCCGATGCTCCGATTCTTTTGTTTGTTTTCTTCCACAAGGCTTTCCGTGCGCAACTAGCGGAGCTCCACTGTCTTGCCGGTGCTACGGTCCGGTCCGGTTCCGATCTGGCTGTGGAGCTCCGCTCTAAGTTTGAGTTTCTTAAGCTTGTATATAAGTATCATTCCGCAGCTGAAGATGAGGTTAGATCTCTTTAGCTTAACCCACAAGGAGATTATTTTTTCTAATCGTTTTAGTAAAACATTGGGGAATAATTAATCAAATTAAACAGTTCATCTTTTGAGAAATTAGCAAAACTAGGAATCAAAAGAGAGCTAATTAGCTATCATCATCTCATATTATCTTGGCTGGTTATAAAAGATTAGTGATTTTACTAGATTCTTGAATTCTCTGCTTCTCTTTAATATAAAAGAGTTAGCAAAATGAATGATTAGACCATCCTACTGATAAAAAAAAAGTCAACGAGTTCGTGCACCAAGAACTTACTTGATGTTTGGTATGATTCGTACGTGTTGTACTGGCAGGTCATCTTTTCAGCGCTAGACACACGTGTGAAGAACATTGTTTTTAATTACTCGCTCGAACATGATGCCACTGATGATCTTTTCACTTCGATTTTTCATTGGCTAAATGTTCTTCAAGAGGAAAGAGGGAATAGTACTACTTCCGATGTACTTCGTGAAGTTGTATTATGCATTGGCACCATCCAATCATCCATATGCCAACATATGCTTAAAGAAGAGCGTCAGGTGTTTCCTTTGTTGATTGAGAACTTCTCCTTTGAAGAACAAGCATCACTAGTGTGGCAATTCATTTGTAGTGTTCCCGTGATGGTGCTAGAAGAAGTTTTCCCATGGATGATGTCTTTACTCTCCCCCTTGGAGAAATCTGAAGTTGAGAGTTGCATGAACGAAGTTGTCCCAAAGGATGTTTCCTTGCAGCTGGTATATTATTTACTGAGATGTGACTCTATTTTCTGGTATTTTCATTATTTTTTTGCAATTTTAACAAATTAAAATTATTTCTGAAGGTTATAAACTCTTGGCTGATTGATGATAGTAGTCAGTCTTCTTTGATGGATCTTACAAAGATCATGAAAGGAGTCCAATCTGTAGAAGTGTCTGAAAATATGAAGAGCTTAGCTCAGACAAGTTCATCAAGTGGGGTGTTTCAACGTTTTTGGCAATGGAGTAAAATGTCCTTTTCTAGTCCAAATACAGAACACACTCTGCTCCATGGTGTTCAGCTTTGGCATAATGCAATTAAAAAGGATTTGGTAGACATTCAAAAAGGATTATGCCACTTGACATTTCCAAGCCTTTCGTTGGATCTCAATGTGTTAGTGGTTCGGCTAAACTTCCTTGCTGATGTCCTTATCTTTTATGGGTAATAATAAATTTGGGGAACTTGTTTTTTTTTTTGACATGGTGTGTAGTGACTTGGATTTGTTTTGTTTGCTTTTTTTTTTTTTTGTTTCTGCTCTTTTCTCTGAGAAATTGGTGACATACTTCATTGCAGCAATGCATTTAAGAAGTTCTTTTACCCAGTGTTTGAAGAAATGGTGGATCAACAACACTCTTCAACTTCCAAACTATTCACCATTGATGGCCATGTGGAAAACTTCAAGAAGTCTCTAGACCTTGAAACTAGAGCAGGGAGTGACAATTTTGTGATAACGCTACAGGAGAAACTGGAATCCCTTATACTGACAGTAGCTAAGCAGTTCTCTTTAGAGGAGACAGAGGTAAACTGTTTCATATACTGTACTATCAAATTTTGGCTATTATTGAAAGTAGTGGAAATTAATAACTCTAGCTTCCAATTGCCTTGTTTGTCTCCATTTGACATCCACAGTATTCACTTATTGTTCTCCAGGTATTCCCCATTATCAGCAAGAATTGCAACATTGAAATGCAGAGGCAGCTCCTATATAGAAGCCTACATGTCCTGCCTCTGGGATTGCTCAAGTGTGTCATAATGTGGTTTTCTGCTCAGTTACCAGAAGATGAATGTCAAATAATCATTCAATTCTTGAGTTCTGAAGATTCTTTTCCCAACAAACCTTTTGCACAGCTCTTGTTGCAGTGGTTTCGCTTCGGTTATTCAGGCAAAACACCTGTTGAAAGTTTCTGGAACGAGTTGTCCTTTATGTTCAAACCGAAATGTCCCTCTGAAGAGGAACACAATGATGAAGGTTCTGGATCATTCAACCAGAAACCACAGCAGCAACTATGCAAAGGATTCAATCCTTCTTTGCTTAGAAATAAGTCTTCAACCTGTTTCCAATCAATGAATCCACCAGCTGGTTACATGAATGAGACACCTTACTCAAGTGCCATGAATCAGCAAATACTTATCCAAGGAAAGCTTAGGCCTCTTCAGAATGTTCCTGATATTTTTGGCAGCAAGACTAACACTGGCGAGCAGTTTGCGATGGACTTGAAACCGATCGATCTGATTTTCTTCTTCCACAAGGCAATGAAGAAAGATCTCGACTACCTTGTATGCGGTTCAGCTCGATTGGCAACAGACAGTAGCTTCCTTGGGGAGTTTCATCAGCGGTTTCATCTTATAAAGTTCTTGTATCAGATACATTCAGATGCAGAGGATGAGATTGCATTTCCAGCTTTGGAGGCCAAGGGTAAACTACAAAACATTAGTCAGTCATACAGTATTGATCACGAACTAGAAGTTGAACACCTAGACAAAGTATCATTCCTTTTGAATGAGATGGTAGAATTGAACATGTTGGTACTCGACCACATGAATGTCAAGTATTTGAATCTGTGTATGAGCCTCCAAGACATATGCAAATCCATTCATAAGCTATTGTCTGAGCATCTCCACCGTGAAGAAACTGAGCTATGGTGTTTGTTCAGAAGCTGCTTCACTATTGAAGAACAAGAAAAAATCATAGCATGCATGCTGGGAAGAATAAGTGGAGAAATATTGCAGGATATGATTCCTTGGTTAATGGAATCTTTGATCCCTGATGAACAGAATGCAGTGATGTCCTTGTGGCGTCATGCAACAAGGAAGACTATGTTTGGTGAGTGGCTAACAGAATGGTACAGTTCTAATGTTACAGGAGAAGAAACGGGGGTAACAAATAAGAACTCATCTGAAGATTCAGATCCACTAGAAGTTGTCTGGAATTATCTCTTTGAAGGAACGGCTGATGAGGACAGAGGGAGCATTTGCAGCAAACCTATGGAATTTGTAAAGACAGATTCAAAAGGTATGATGAATAAGCCACTTGGAAAGGCTGCTCCCAGTAACAAGGTAGAGTTTGGCAACAAAGAAGAGAATCGTAAGGAAATCTCAGAAAGTAAAAAGGTGTGTATAGGGGCTGACGAAAGGAAGTACAACGAACAAACTCACAGAAGCTGCGAGTACAGAAACTCTGCTCAAGCTTTTCAAATGTCTCAGAAATCTCCTGGTCAAGACAGTAAATATGAGTGCCTGTTATCAATGAGTCAGGAGGATGTGGAGGCTACAATTAGAAGAATATCTCGTGACTCTGCCCTAGATCCTCATAAGAAATCATATATCATCCAGAACTTGTTAATGAGGTAAGCGTTGCAATCCCAACTTAATTTTGCTACGAGAAAATATTTTTGTCATCATAGAATATGTCTAAAGTAGACATATGATCTGTCTTTGGAAAATCAAGAAAATAACTCTGTAAAGTAACTCTTTGTTGAGTAGATTATGCAACAATCATTCTTAAATAACTTATTTTCTATGTTCTTTGTTTTTACTTACATTAGGTTGTGTGCTTTTTCAGTCGTTGGATTGCCACACAGCGGATATATAATCTTGAACCATCCATTCTCGCAAGCAATAGGGAAGCAGTTCCTGGCCAGCATCCATCTTATAGAGATTCTCACAAAATGATCTTTGGTTGCAAACACTACAAAAGGAATTGCAAGCTTCTTGCTCCTTGTTGCAACCAGCTCTTCACCTGCATACGATGCCATGATGAAGAGGTTGATCACTTATTGGATAGGTAGTGGCATATATGGAAACATGCGTAATCTTGTTGCACCTTCATTTGTTTCTAACTTACGTAAATACTTGTGCAGGAAACAAATCACAAAGATGATGTGCATGAAGTGCCTGATAATTCAACCAGTAGGTGCGAGTTGCTCAAATACTTCATGTAATTCGTCAATGGGAAATTATTACTGCAAAATATGCAAGTTGTTTGACGATGATAGGTAAACCTTCTTCTGCTTCAAATATGAAATGCTGAATCGGGAGGATAAGTGTTGATAAGTGACATTTAACTCTTTGTTGCTAGTGTCATTTCTGAGTCCAACTGGTCCCAAACTCATTAGAAATCATGTCTCAAGGAAATTTGTTTCTGATAGACTTGATTACATGCTGGTAGTTTCTGACGATTAAAGGTTTACTTTTGCAGGGAAATATATCATTGTCCCTACTGCAACCTCTGCCGGCTAGGAAAAGGACTGAGCATTGACTACTTCCATTGCATGAAATGCAATGCTTGTATGTCTAGAACCTTAGTAGAACATGTATGCAGAGAAAAATGCTTAGAAGACAATTGCCCGATCTGCCATGAATACATATTTACCTCAAATTCTCCCGTGAAGGCTCTCCCATGCGGTCACGTGATGCATTCAACATGCTTTCAGGTGCTTACCTTATATCAGTATGTTATATGGCTATTATGAAACACTTGACACATATGCTTAGGGGTGTGTCTTGTTTCTGGTTGTAGGAGTATACATGTTCGCATTACACATGCCCTATCTGCAGCAAGTCACTAGGGGATATGCAGGTTAGATACACCAAAATTTTTGTTTCTCTCGTGAACAATTACAGAGATAGATGCATAAAAGATATCCAATTGCATCAAAAGCTCCTGAAAAAAAAAAAATCAAAACATATAGTGTTTCTCTACCAACAATTAAACAAGAAAAGTGACACCATAGTGTGCTCTTAGTTCTTCTCTGGCCTATCATAAAGACAATGCTTAAACACAATGCTACCATTAAGGTGATTCATACTAATCACCAGAATTATTTCACACAGGTTTACTTTAGAATGTTAGACGCACTGCTCGCAGAACAAAAGATGCCAGATGAATACTTAAATCAAACTCAGGTTTATCTCTCTCTCACGCTCATACATATGCAATATATCAGTTCCATTGTCTAAATTTAACTCAAGCATATGAATAACTGAGTGCAGGTAATACTATGTAATGATTGTGGGAGAAAAGGAAATGCTCCTTACCATTGGCTCTATCACAAGTGCTCTTTTTGTGCCTCCTACAACACCAGACTTTTCTAGTTCCTTCTCCAGTTTCCCTTCTTGTTCCTTGTACATCTACAAGTCTATAACAATTTTCTCTTTTTTTTGGAAGCATTTCATTTTGTATGGAAAAAAAATATTCTACATATTATTAAATCTAGATGATTGTTTACCACAACTGATTCAAGTAATCTCAGATTATTGCAAGAGGACAAAAGACTGGATAGAAACTCCATGTCTAGCTCTAACCTTAACTTATGACTTACAAACTAAACAATTCATAAGATGCAATCGGCCTAAAGAAAAATAAAATTAAAAAGCCTAAATGTGATACAAAAACTCACAGCAGATGCATCCTCTCGACATGAGACTGAAGCAACCATTTGTTGAGAGACTCTCCACACCCAACGAAACAACCTGAGTTTCCACTCTCCGTGAAAAACGGAGAACCAAAGATGTTGAGGAGCTCTTCAACTGCTTGTCTCACCATCGATGTACCGGTGACTCTACTACGTCTTCCCCAACCAGTTACTATATCAATCCGGGAAGGGCAAGTTCCAGAAACTAACATCTGTTTACGGAACCAAGCAAGCGTCCTAGAAAGTGCGGTGATTGCAGTTCCCTCTGACATTACATGGAGATTTATAAGCCAGTAGCTGGAGCTTTTTTCCCTTAGTGCATCAGGAAACACATTCTTTTGTGCAGCAACTTCCCAAACAGATCCCGCCTCTTCTTTTTGCCCCGACTTGTGTAGAAAGTCAACCACCGCGTCCACGAGTCCTCGCTTGCTCTCTCTGTCTTCACTGTGCATCAGATTGAGGAAGTTGTTCGCATGGTTGCGCACATTTTGGCCATCCGGACCCGCAGCTGGCATTTTGAGGAGAAACATGTGTGCCGGATGACCTGTGCTTGCCATCAGCTGGCCACAGAAACCCATGTCAAGTTTTGACCGACCATCTGTGCAACAACTCAAGAGTAACGTGTATGTCTGCAAAGATGGGCGTAGACCAAGTGCCAGCATGTTTTGTAATAGATCATAAGCTTCAGCTATCTTGTTAACCCTAAGGAAAGTACTAAGAAGGGAATTGCATGTAGGAACGTTAGGTAGCAGACCAGCATGAAGCATTGCCTGATACCATTGCCACGCCTTTTCCACATTACCAGCTTTTCCCCACAAATCCACCAAAAGACCATAAACTGGCTCATCCGGAACCCAGTTCTTCTGCTGCATCTCAGTGAAAACAGCCTCTGCTTCCTCAAGATATCCAGTGTGTCCGAGCACCTCCATCACAATGCTATACGTCACTTTGTCAGGCTCAAACCCAGCATTTTGCATGTCACGATAAAGTTTCAACGCGCTCGGATAGTTTCTCGCTTTGGCATGCAAGTCTATCATGATGTTGTATGTGACCAAGTTAGGTGTACAACCCTGATCAACCATCTCACAAAAGAGCCTGTGTGCAGCGGGTAAGTGTCCACCTTTTCCAAGACAATTTATTATGACACTGTAAGTAAAAGTATCAGGAGAAAGACCTCCTGCTTGCATTCTCTGGTACATATCCATGGCAATGTCAAGAAATCCAGCTTTAGCATGAATATCGATCAGTGTACAGTAAGTTACCCGATCCGGTTTGCATCCAGCCTCTTGCATTTGATTAAACACATTCATAGCTTCATTAAGGTAATTGGCGCGGCCATAACTGTGGATAAGTCGGTTATATGTAACTGTGTTTGGCTGACATCCATCTCTAACCATCTCATCAAGGAGCTTGTTTATGGCACCAAATTGCTTAGCGCGGCCAAGATTTCCCACCATAGTGGTATAAGTGTGCCCATCATGCTTAAATCCAGGTTGCCTTTTTAGCCAGTAGAAGAAACCAAGAGCATTTCCGTAGTCATTCATCTGCTTAAGAACTTGATTTGCTTGGTATGCATCTATCCTAAAATCGAGATTTTGGAGGGCCTCTTCGGCAGCAGGGCCCCATCTGAATCTTTTCAAAACGCTGGAAACATTTTCCACAATATGTCCAGAGTTACAATACTGCCTTGATGTCAGAGCAGCCCCTGGAGGCACTTTCACCGTGTCCATTGAAGAATTACTGAAACCATTTGGGACAAACCTGTTCGAATCATTATTGGGTCTCTGTAACACGCTTGTCCTCTTGCCATATGTGTTATTTGTTGTGGGTAACAACTTCCCTACCCCGGAATTTGAAACTTGTTTGAATCCTTTAACGAATCCAGTTCGTTCAGCTTCCTTAGCCCCCCGGAAATTGCTACTAGAATTTCTAATTTTACCCACAGATGACTCTTTTGCAGCTGATCTGGGGTAAACTTTGGCAAAGTGCTCTCTTCTTATAGCTTTCACATTTGACGACTTAACACTTGAAATAGGCCGAGTTGGATCAACCATATAGCTTTTCCCGAATCCAAATGCTTCACTTCCTCCATCAGAGGAAGGAATCTTACAATTCGCTAAATCCGACAGAAAATTTACAGCTACAATGCCTGCCCTGAAAATTTGATCACCAATAGGTTCTGAAGAAGCTTCACCTTCCTCCTTTCCAATGATGGTTGATGCATAATTAACGGAATGTGATTTAAGCGGCAAAGCAGGGGAAGAAGAAACATGCTGTGGCAATAGAGATGGCCGACCAAAATCATCAACCTTCTTGGAAGCCACTGGTTTAGTTACCTCTCCGGGTAATATACATCCCACTACTGAAGGCTTAGGGAGAATACTGGATGGTTGTTTTTCAGTCTGTACAGCATCCTTCTTAATTTGCTGACGTCTCGAAACACAAGTTTCATCGTCCGTATATGCACACGAATTCCCATCTACACTTGTTCTCGATCCATTAAGAAAAAAGGATCTTGCTGTACTTGAAAGGTTACTAATTTGCTTTGCTCGTATCATTGCTCTGCAGTTAAGACAAAAACAAATAAAAACCACAGATTGAGATAAACTAATAGGCCTTAAATATCAAGCATACATCATAAAAGACAGTTTCCTAGCAGACGACCAATCCATGAACTGTAGAGGATGCATTAGAAACATACCCAATATAGCTCTTCTCCAAACTTTGTACATTACTACAACACAACTAACTTCTTCCCAACAAAATTCTCCAAATTTAGTGTATACGCACAAATTAACCATAACACACTTCGAAATGAGTAACTTCCCGAGAAAAATTACAGAAATTTCTATACTTTTTCCTGCATCCCCCTCAATACCAACCAAATGCTCAAAATTACGTCACCAATAGAGTCTCTTTTCGACAAATGATTCACGTAAGAATCTTACTTGATCACATTCCAATCCCAGCAACAGTCAAAAAGTTTTATACTTTTCAAAGTTGAGCTAAAAATCTCGAGGAAACAAAACAAAAAACCCATCGCCAGATATTCCCATGAGAGAGAAAGCTCAAAATAAAAACGAAACCCAGAAATCTCTCAGTGAGCTGATTATGTAGAGAACCCGTCGAAGCTGAGATTATTTTAAACCATGGAATCATACATAATAAATATGCGAGATCAATGGAATACAAAAGTCACCTGGAAAAAACGGTGGCGTTGACTTGTTTTAGGTTTTATGCTTTCAAAATTCTTCAGGTGAAATAAAAATAAATAGAGAGAGAGAGAGAGAGAGAGAGGCGAGTTCGTCTTCTTCTTCTTCTTCTTCACGTTGCCGTCGAGATTGAGAGAAGAAGCCTTCTTCTACTCTCCAAGCATATTGCTCACACCACACGGACGGAGGCTGCTGCCAATTCAAGGTCTTAACTTTTTTTATATTTTTTAGCTCTCTTTTTATATTTTTACCTCATTTCTCTTACCTAAACTTTTAAATATACCCCTTATCTTTCATTTCTTTCCAAATAACATACAATATTCCTATATTATGTAAGAATTCCCCTCAATTCTTAATTAAGAATTTTTGTTTTCCTTTTCGCAGTTAACCAAATACCGTGGTGAAATGTTTTATTCATCTCTGAGCTCGTAGAAATTTTTGTAATTCAAAGATATTAGTGTCGATTTTGTTGAATTTTAAAAATATAATGCGTTCTATGGAGTTATAGAAGAATCTATGGCTTTGGCTGAAAACAGCTGGGGAAGTTGAGCTTATTTTTGTAATTTTAATATATTATCTCTTCCACCCTTTGGCTATTTCTTATTTGCAACGTAGAAGCCTTGCCCTCCGCAAGTTTCGTAAGTCTTCGAATTTTACACGTGGCGTTGCTTTCATGTCTTGTCCGTGACTGCTCTGTTCCATTAGTGGTCAGAACTGTTTTATTTTTTTTTCAGCTGTATTTGACTATTATGATTTGGGGAGAAAGACTTGGTGGGGAAGTTGAGAAACAGAATCAAATAGCATTTGTTGAAGAAAATATATATATATAGATATATAGCAATCAAGAACTACTAATTAAAAAAAAAAATACTACTAATTATATTGTAGAGTTTGCAAATCCTCCTCTGCAAAGTGGCAAGTGTCCTCTTCATTTACAGTGGGCTTTAGCTTGTTAATATAGATCATGGGTTCTTCATTCTCGATAGGCCCATAAGCCCGTTATGTTACAAACTAAAAACCCCAATTAACTGTAATAAGTAAATTGAGAAATTCACAGATGCAACAAATGCATTTGACTTTGTTTAGTTATTGACTTATTTCCAAACACAAAAGGGGTAACTTGAAAAGACCGTTGCAGCATAAACCTAAGATTAAAAAAAAAAAGGTTTTTTGACTATAACTGGTTTCCGGTAATTAGAATTGTTATGTCTTTTATATAGACTATATAATTGAACCTTGTATATATTATATATAGTATAACAGCTAATATAGTATCTTATAGTTTTATAGAATCATATGCCAGAAGTGATCGATCGAGCTTAAGTAAATCGAAATGTTGGCGTAACAACATACATATTACATAATACATACACATGCAATTATGCAATCACAGCATTTGACTTGAACTCATCATCCGAATCCCCCAAACATAATCATTCTCTTCAACAACAACAAAAATGATACTACACTTTATCCCCTTTTTTTTTTGTGTCGCTTTCCTTGTTTTTAATTTTTGAAGTTATGCCAGCTGCTTTAAAGTTGCCGACGATAAAAGCATTTCTTCTTTCATTGGTATATTATTGATGTATAATTTTTTTTTAAAAAAAAATCGAACTCGAGACCATGCATGTTGTATAATGAAACTTTAAGTGAGCATTAAAAAAAAAAAAACGATAAGGTATTGAAAGAATTGCATGAATAATATACTATAAAGGTTCGACGACGTTGTTGGGTGTGTTATATTTAGTAGCTGTAGGTTGTTCATAGATAGGAAGGTGAAAGGTCTTGTTGCGCAATAAATTGAAACCGCTTTTTTCTGACCTACCAAATATTAATTTGATCGAATCATTGACGACGCAGAAAATTAAAAAACAAAACTCCATTATATGAAAACAATGTTTGCTTGCTCTAAAATATTTCAACGTATAAAACCATACTTAATCCACCACGTGTGTTTCTTATAACAAAAGCACTAGCTAGTTGTAAATCATCGAAGACCATTTCCATCGAAAAAATTACACCCCAATACATAGTTAATATCATTCAAAATATATATAGCTCGAAACTCTGATCTCTAACTAGGTAGACACGTATATTTACAATGTATAACGTATTGAAAATGGTATCACAAGGTAGTGTAAATCCAAGATAAAGAAAACGAGTATGACATTGACAAATTGAAGCTTGTAGTAGCCAAGTCGTGATAAGAAGACTTGTGGTTTCTACTTTCTAAGCCACAATTTTGAATTTTATTGTTTCTAGTTGTTGACTTCCATTCATTAATGGAACCTTTTGTATTTTCCTTTTTTGTCCGATATTTCTCCTCTAGTTGTTGTTTTTGTATTTTCTACAACACAATAGCTCATAAATTGACGAAGTCTACACACCTAATTTTCTTCCTATCTTTTTTGTTGTTTTTGTTGTTGTCGGCAATTTCTTCCTATCTAGAATCTAGATTATAGTTATACTAATAACGCCGTGTTATTTCCATTTCTTTGTGCACACACATACGAAATCAGAAAGAAAGAAAAAAAAGGAACAAAGACTTCAACCTAGCTAATGCAGTTTTTAGCATTTCGATTGAACATCACGGAGATATGTTACCAATGTAGATACTGTATATACAAGTTGTTGAAAAATCACACTACATATGCAATCACACTATAAAAGTAACATAGAAGCATTCACCTTTTTTTAGTTGTTGGAAAAGAAGGATATGCCGTCTATTTTATTTTATTTTATATTTTAGGACAAAAGGATATAAAGCAAAATGACATTTTCAGTTTTCGCAAGCAATTCCCAATTTACCATTTGTCAAAATTAATACTACTAGTAATCGTGAATGTATAAATGCCTATTAATCATAGGTATGTATACTTGGAGAAGAAAATAAAATCATTGTATAGCTCCTAGACAAGCAAGAAAAGAATAAAAAATAGTTTGGTATCAACGTCTCTTCTCACTTATTATTGTTTGTTTTTTTGTTCTTATTACAAATCTCAAAGAGTCTCACCGTATCCATCACGCTGGTCAACAACTTCACAAAACTCTCTCCTCCAACTTCAATATTATCATCATCCCTTCGTTTCATTACCGTAAATCTAAATCACACCTACGTCTAGTATTACCTCATTGTTTAATTGTTTCACATTTTGGCCATATTGTATTTATTTATGAAATTTTATCTTAAATCTTAGTATTTATATGTCAAATTGTCAGTTTTTTTTTTTGCTAAACAAAATTATCAGATTTTTAAATAAATGCACACGCATATATTGTATATGTATTTTTTTCCCATGTCAATTTTTTTTTTAAAAAATATATGCTCTTTTAATAAGAGTTTAATGAGGCAAATTAAGGCTTGGGATTTTTTCTGATTTTGTAAATCCAAAATTTGAAAATTCTAAAGATTATGTGTCGGTTACCATTTGCATTTTGAAAGATTTCATCATCACAAAACACATGTATAATGTGGTCACTACAAACTTAAGAACGATCAAATGGATATACCCACAATGATTTATTTTCCTATTGTTTCTTATGCCATTGAAATGCAAGTATATAAAAACTATAATGCTTTCAACTCTCACCCAAAAAAAAAAAGTCAATTCTTAATTTCTGTGACTCACAACAAGCTTGACCAAAATCCATCTAGAAGATTTAGATATTAAAAAATAATAAAAAAGTTTCTAAGAAGATGGTGAAATGGTTAGAATAATAGAGAAAAATCCCTCAAGATATACGCGAATGCATATTAAATGCATTTACAAATAATACAAACTCTCTTACTATATACAAAATCAAAGATACCTTTTTTTTTTTTTTAAATCTTTCTTATTGAATCAAACAAAATCCGAAATTTCGAAAGGTCCGACTTTTCTTCACCTGAACCCGCGTTTTCTCTCCTCCCTTAATTCGCCGAAGATAACACCGCCACCGTCACCTCCGGCGTCGATTTAAACCATAAAAGAGATAAGCTTTCCTCTTCTATTTAGCTTCTTCTTCTTCTTCTTCTTCTTCTTCCTTAATCCTCTGTCTTCCCCCAAGTTGCTGAGTTTCTCAGCTCAGCTATGGGTAACTGTAACGCCTGTGTAAGGCCTGACTCAAAAGAATCAAAACCGTCTCCGAAGCCCAAAAAACCCAATCGAGATCGGAAGCTAAACCCATTCGCCGGAGATTTCGTCAGATCCCCTGCTCCCGTACGTGTTCTCAAAGATGTAATCCCTATGAGCCATCAGACTCAGATCACCGACAAATACATCTTAGGTCGAGAATTGGGTCGCGGAGAATTCGGAATCACTTACCTCTGTACTGATCGTGAGACCCACGAAGCTTTAGCTTGCAAATCGATTTCTAAGCGGAAGCTCCGAACAGCCGTTGATATCGAAGACGTTCGTCGTGAGGTTGCGATTATGTCTACTTTACCTGCGCACCCAAACGTCGTGAAGCTTAAAGCGAGTTACGAGGACAACGAGAACGTGCATCTCGTTATGGAGCTTTGTGAAGGAGGTGAGCTTTTTGATCGGATCGTTGCGAGGGGTCATTACACGGAGCGTGCTGCTGCAGCTGTGGCCAGAACGATTGCTGAGGTTGTGATGATGTGTCACTCTAATGGAGTTGTGCATCGAGATTTGAAACCTGAGAATTTCTTGTTTGCTAACAAGAAGGAGAATTCTCCCTTAAAGGCCATTGATTTCGGCTTGTCTGTGTTCTTCAAACCTGGTAAAGATCCAATTTTTATGGTTTCGTTGCTATGTATATATACTTTTTTATAACTCCATATATTATTCTAATTTTAGAGTATCCTGTTTGATCTCCATTGCAATGTTTATATATCTGAAATTGGGATAAAAATAAAATTTTACTTTTATTGCAGGAGATAAGTTTACAGAGATTGTAGGAAGTCCATATTATATGGCTCCTGAAGTGTTAAAGAGAGATTATGGACCGGAGGTTGATGTGTGGAGTGCTGGAGTTATCATTTACATCTTGCTCTGTGGTGTTCCTCCATTTTGGGCTGGTTAGCTTCTCCTTTTAATCCTTCAAGCAGCTGTGTAATTGTCACCTATATTTGATTTGATGAAGTGGTGAGATTGTGGTTTCTATTGACAGAGACTGAACAAGGCGTTGCTCTTGCCATCTTGCGGGGAGTTCTTGATTTTAAGAGAGACCCTTGGCCTCAGATATCAGAGAGCGCTAAGAGCCTTGTGAGGCAGATGTTGGATCCTGACCCAACTAAACGGTTAACTGCTCAGCAAGTGTTAGGTAAAGCTCCTGCGTCTTGTGTCACTGTTTTTAGGTGGTTGGTTACCTTAATTCTTCAGCATCCTTCCTTACTGATGACTTTTGTTTTTCTTTCTTACCTTTCAGCTCATCCTTGGGTACAGAATGCAAAGAAAGCTCCTAATGTTCCATTAGGAGATATAGTCAGATCGAGATTAAAGCAGTTCTCTATGATGAATAGATTCAAAAAGAAAGTACTTCGTGTAAGTGTTCTACTTTTTACTTTCCTGCTGAAATTTGTAGAGAGTCTGTTACTCAAGTCTATTTTTGTTTTCGATCATCATTGTCCCTTTTGATGCTTCCAGGTGATTGCGGAGCACTTGTCGATTCAAGAGGTTGAAGTAATTAAGAACATGTTCTCACTGATGGATGATGATAAAGATGGTAAAATAACTTACCAGGAACTCAAAGCTGGACTTCAGAAGGTCGGTTCACAACTTGGTGAACCAGAGATCAAAATGTTGATGGAAGTGGTAATTTTTATTCTTAAGCATTACCATTCTCTGATAAATGATCAATTCAGTGTTCTTCTCTGATAAACATAGCTGAAATCTGGATGGCTTTTATGCAGGCGGACGTTGATGGGAATGGGTTTCTGGATTATGGAGAATTTGTAGCTGTGATAATTCACTTGCAGAAGATAGAAAATGATGAACTTTTCAAACTAGCTTTTATGTTCTTCGACAAAGATGGAAGTTCATTCATTGAACTTGATGAGCTAAGGGAAGCGTTATCTGACGAGTTAGGTGAACCAGACATCAGTGTCCTAAATGACATCATGCGTGAAGTTGACACTGACAAGGTTCTTTGAAATCTCTGAACAATTTCTCCTTAAGGCTTTACAATTTAGATTGTGAAGAGAACAGATAAATCAATCCGTTTCTGAGTTGCACTGTTGGGGTTGTTTGTTTTACAGGACGGGCGTATAAACTATGATGAGTTTGTGGTGATGATGAAAGCTGGAACCGATTGGAGAAAGGCGTCACGGCAATATTCGAGAGAGAGGTTCAAAAGCTTAAGCCTTAACTTGATGAAAGATGGGTCACTACACCTCCATGACGCTCTCACTGGACAAACTGTGCCTGTTTAATTTTATTCGTTATCACCAAAAACAGAGCAATACTCCGTTTTTTTCCCTTTTATGAAGTGGGAAGTTTCCGGGATTGTTCTTTGTTAATTGGGGATTTTACAAAAGTTATGGTCCTTCACATATATAAACATTTTGGGTTGTATTTGTATGTAATGTTTTGTTCAAAGGTTGTGTTTATATTGTCACAAAGCCCCAAACCAAAGAGCCAAAGTATAGATCTTTATTACACTCAAATTTTATCAAACTCATCAGAAGACTTGTCCATGTCATTGTCCTTGGTCACAACATCTTTGTAACGGTACCATTGTGAGACTAACAAGAAATAGGCAAAGTTTAGAGTCATGATACCAGCAACCAAGTAATAGAAGTACTCCAATCTCCCCTTGTTTAGATCTTCCGGAAGCCAACTTACTCTCGAAAACCCCTCTGTAGTATCGTGCACTGCTGATAACAAAAAGGTGCTGAGGTAGCTAGCCAGTCCAATTCCACAATAATACAGAGAACCAGCGAAACTTCTCATGTTCTCTGGAAACTGTTTGTAGTAGAACTCCATTTGTCCAACACCAGCAAGGGCGTCCCCAATACCCATTAGCACTAGCTGAGGAATCAGCCACATACCAGACATCGAAGAGATTGCACCTTTTCTCGGGGCAAACCCTAGTGTTGGCCTTGTGAGAGCTACCTTTCTTCTGTATTGTTCTACTATTGCAGATACCATCATACTTGTGATGCATATAAATATTCCTGCTCCAACTCTCTGCAGTTGTGTTATACCACCGTCTCTGCCTGTGTATTTTCTAAGGAAAGGTACAAGGACGCGGTCATAGATAGGTATGAATACTGTCATTCCAAGCATTAAAAAGACGGTATATGTCGCGGCAGGGATCTGAAAACTTCCTGAACCGGGGCGTCTATCGGATTGAACAGACTGAAAGATTGTGTAGGTTGTTTGTTGAATGTAAGCTAGGTAAAATAAGGCGGCTGAGAGCCAAACCGGAAGCACACGGATCACACATTTTACTTCCTCCACTTGTTGCATACTGCAGAGTTTCCATGGATCCGCCGGCGAACCATCTTTGTTCAGCTTGTCCTCTTGCGTTGGGATGGCCGATTTGTCAAGAAACCTACCAATTAAGAAACCTTAAAATATTTCAAATTTATTCCACAAGAAACTAAGAGAAAGTATTTACTATAGTACCTAAACTGTTCTGTATGGCTCAGTTTTGAGTTCTTAAAATCCTTTGCAATGTAGTTGTAAAGCTCGTTAGACCCAACGGGCTTTAACCGCCTCTTCTTGACCGCGGCAACAATGACACGCGTTATGCTGTGAATGGGACTGCAACTAGCTTTAACCTTGACATAGAGCTTAGAACCGGCGAAGAATATTATGCAACCAACTAACATTAGAATAGCTGGGATGGCTAAGCCAATGCTCCAGCTCACATTTGACTGAACATAGACGATGAGCGTCAACGACACCATCTGAGCAAACGTGAAGGTGAAGAAATACCAATTGAAGAAACTATCAATCCCTCGTTTCCCTTCTTTTGTCTTCGGATCAAACTGATCAGCACCAAAAGGAAGATTGCACGGCCTAATCCCACCGGCTCCGATCACCAGCAAAACCATTGCTCCGGCAAGAAACATAATTTGTCCGATGGATGGCCCACTGCACACGCTTCCTATATCCTTAGTGCATTTAGCTGGACGCAGCTGATGAATCGCAGCCGTTAGATCCATAGCCACAGAACCCTTTAAATCATAGAAAACAAAAGATCTTTACTTTCAGACACAAACAGCAAGATCAGTGAATTTAAACTCAGAACTGTGATGAACTGGTCTTGGTTTTACGAGGAAGCAAGCGATCATGGCAAAAGATAGGGTTTTGTAGCGGCCGAAGTAGGAGTCACAGAGAAAAGCTGCAACGATGGTGCCGAAGTTGCTTGTGCCGCTGTAGATGTTGACGACCTTCGCCGCGGTGATGCTCTTCATGTTAAAAACCGTCGTGAAGTATATAACCAAATTCGATGAACTCCCAACTATCCCCAACTTCTCGAACGTCTCATTTCCTTATAAAAAAAAAATCAAGAAAGTGAGAAACAGAGCATTAACTTAGTCTGTATGAACTCCTCTGTTTCTTCCATCAGTTTCTTGCTCGTTCAAGATTAAAAAACAGAGCAATACTAAAACAGATTCATAAAGTCCTAAGTTATTTTTTGTGAATCACATGTTTAATAAATAAATAAAAAAGATACAAAGGGAGCATGCATGGCTTTTACAAAGTCTTCATGTTTCTTAATCACGTTTCAAGAGTATGATTGTAAGAAAATAAAAATAATAAAAGAAATGATATGGCTTGATCAAATAATACCAATGATGAAAGGCATAACTTTCCATCCTCTGTAGATGATCTTAGACTCATCATGATCCTCTGTAATGTTCTTATCTGTCTTCTCAACCTCCATTGCTATGCTTTCCCTCGCTCTACTTTGCTCACACCAAATATGTGAAATGTGCAGTATGTGTGTGTATATATATATATATATTTAGTGGGCAATGAGAAGGAGTTGATTATGAAGACAAAATAAAGTTAATTGGTAACTACACCAATGCAAAAGTGTTCTTTACCATAAATCCATCATGCAAAAGTGACTAAATGAGTTATGTAATATTCTCAACTCGTTAGTTAAAACATCAAGTAGAAGAGAAGTATTCATCTTTTGTATAGATTTGTAATATGGAAAACGAATATATTCCATTATCTTTTCATTCTAGTAGGTACCATTAAACTATATGAAGAAACTAAAACGAAAATAGTCGTTTGAGAATTTCTACAATGTGCAAATGAGAACTTATTTTTGTTGTCAACATACTTTATCGAAAGTAAAATGTTTGGAAACATATCAGTTGCCCAGATTCTTAAAAATTCAATGGTCGCACTCGTAACTCGTATGTATATAGAAAACAATGATCACAAAATATTTTATTTTATTTTATTATATTGTTTTGTATAATGCAAATTGGAAGGGCATCTTTATTTATTGACAATTGGTTTTGAGTTGAATGCAATAAAAATTACCTTTTTCTTCTCATCAAAACGTTAATTGTGTATTTGTATTACGTAGATAGGTAAAATGAACGGACATTTATGCTTGTAAGGGAGAAATAAAGAGACGATCATTGCCATAGAACAATCATGTTAGAATACTGTACTTCGATAGATATAAGCCTCAAGTGAGTGAATTTAGACATTCATGTCCAACTTTTCTGTTCAGCCAAAAATAGAAACTCACTGTTCTACGATTCCTTTTGAAGAACAAAAGTATATATTAAGTACCAAAACAAAAGGTATCATTGAAATGGTGGTTACAGCCTTACAGGAATAATGAATTTTAATTTATCGTGAGATATGATTCTGAGAACACAATTAGAAGAGTATTTTTTATGACTGATGAGATGACATTTGGATTAGAGTTTTGATTATCATGGGAACACAAATTATAAACATACATACCTTTCACTAGTTCATAAAGCCATAAGAATCAAATCCTTTTTGATTGGATTAGCCTATCACTTTTTCTGAAAAAAACCATTACCACTATCTGTAATCTAATAACGTTCGTTCGTTCGTCGCTGAATAACAAAGATTTGTTTTGTCGTCATAATAATTTTAAAATAAATTGTCTTTTTTTCGTGAAGGTGGAAGTATAGTAATATACGTAAGTGCTTCATAGACCTCATTGTCACTTTCAAGGTTTCTCTTTCGGTCATAAATTGGACAACACATAGTTAAACTGATCCACCATCATTAGTTTTAATTACTTCTATTTACAACATACATACACACACCAAACACACAACGATACAAAGCAATTTAACTAGAGATAGTATTACTCTACAACAATTTCAACTTTGCTTGTCTCTTTAGTTGATTGGCTTGCAAAGCTGGCTCATGCTCAAGTGACTTGGTGAACTGCAAGAAACACATAAGAATCTGACGTGAGATTTCATAAAGACATAGAAATATGCATTTGAGTGTGTGAATAACATATTCTTGCAAACTTCTTCACCTGAGAGATCTTAAGCTCTAGCTCGTTCCACTCCGAGGAAGGATTGCTTCCTGAAACTATTCCTGTTCCTGCATAGATCAATGCTCCAAGACCCTGGCAAACACAAGAAAGATGAAATATATATGCAATGACTAAAACAGTACATGACCAGTTTGCTACACTGGAAAAAAGTTGTTACAAGTAAATTTTTCTAACCTTTTCGACTAAAGCAGATCTTATGCCTACTGCAAATTCACTCTCTCCACCACCAAAGAACCCAATAGGTCCAGCATACATTCCTCTATCAAAGGACTCTAGAAAGAAGAAAAAAGAAGAATATGTATCAAATCTGATCGAAATCTCAGTATCAGCTAACTATTAGGAGATGGTTTCTTCAGCAGAGAAGTTCTTTATTTTTGATAAGACTTTACTGCTAGGAAAAGGCAGAAGAATCCAAGCATAGTATACCAATTTTTTCAATCAAAAGCCTTGCTTCCTCTACTGGACATCCGCAAACAGCTGGCGTCGGATGCAAAGCAGCCAAGATGCCAAACTGAATATATAGACAGAAATATTTTGAGGCAAGAGAAATTTTTTTTAGCTTTCTTCACTCAATTGCAACATGACTGTAAAAGAACAGAACATATTTTTTGAGTGAAAAGAAACCAATGTCTATAATAATAATAAAAATATGCATAACAAACTAAGTTATTTAGATGATCATGAGATCTTAAATCATGTAAAACTGTCATCAAACCTCATCATCTTCTCTTCTTAGTTGACCTGCAAGTTGAGAATATAAGTGCTGTACTCTTGCAAGCTTTCTCACTGATTTATGGGGTTTAACAACTACTCTGTCACATATGGTCTGCAAAGTACAATAGAAGATTATTTTTTAGTGTTCCATATATCATAGACACTAAGATTTTGCTAAAGAAAGCTAATTGTTACATGAAACAAGTGCTACTATATATACTTACAAATAATTAAACCTAATTAAAGGCATGATGCTTATAAGATTGAACTTACTTTTAGCTTTTCTCTGATATTATCTCGCACAATAGAAAACTCAAGATCGTCTTTTGGACTGCAGAAAGTATTTGCAAACAATATAAATACACATATCTGCAAGTTTCTGAACATGCATCTTGGAGTAAGTGTTCAAAGCAAAAAAAAAAAAGCTGTTGACCTGGTTAGTAAGTCTCGCTCTATCTGCATTTCAAGAACCTTTGAATCGCCTCTAGGCCTGGTGGCAGCCAAAGCCTCGCTGCAGACACCTAGATGTTTTCTATGAAAGAGTCTCTCAGGCTGTTCCATAAAGATGTATGTCAGAACCAACCAACACTTGATTTTCGCATATTTTCTCAGAAACATAATCGTAGCAGCTTAACAACAGAACGTCCCAACAACAGTAGCTATAACGAAGTAGAAATTAACCTACCGTGTTCCCTATGAATGCTGGAGCACCAGGTGGTTGAAGACAGAATTGGTAAGCGTCTTGTCCCTCACTCTATCACATGAACAATTAGACTAAGATCTTAGCACTTCAAATTTCTATAGCTAAGAAGCCGCGAGGAAGAAAAGACACCTGCAACCGTGCCAACCAAGCGATAGGATCAATGTCAGTATCCGTAATAACTCTGCTGCAGCGTGCAAGCACAACCTGGACACAGGACCAAAAACATTAGCTCAACCTGAAACTCCTAACTGTATAGAAAATAAAGGAAGATATGGTTCCCAAAGTACGTACTTTGCTTAGGGGTGAGTTTTTATTTTTTATAATCTCCAGAGCATTACTAACAGAAGGGTAATAGGCTCCTTCACTTGGAACATGGTTCTTACTAACAACAGATACTCCCAGAGATTCTTGCCTTAATCTCATTATAACAGAAGAAACCTGATAAAACCAAAATATGCTAAAAACATCTAGCTGATTGTATCAAGTAGTTAATTATAAGTACAGAGCAGATTTCAACAATAGTGAACCTGAAGCATAGTTTCCTGAAGTGCATCAATGGAGTTTTCAAGCGTCCATGAGAGCTCATTGTCCCAAGCAACAGTTGCAGCCAGAATTGAGCTTCCCCTAAACTCATCAAACTCGACCTATGTGTGTATCATCGACCAAACTAAGTCAATTAGTCCATGGTTACAAAGATTCTCTTATAAGGAATCAAATTATACTACCTGAGGCACTGTAAAGTAAAAAGAGCCAAAATGTTCCCATTCCGCAGCGATCTTTCCATTGGGATCAAACCGAAGACCTCCATAAGCACGAATCAAGGGATACTTCCAAGACAAAAACCTTCAAAAACAGAGGAAATCAATCCTGTAAGCCAAGAGAACAAACAGCAGAAAGAATCAAAACTTTGTGAGGATCAGGAATTATAGGTGCTGGTACCTTCGGATCGATCTCCAGTCATCGTGAGAAAAGGGATCCAGATTGCGGAAAAAGACTGCAGACCCTATTCCAGCAACACTAACCGGATTAGGGTCAGATGACCCACCGTTACTAGAGAAGTCTTGAAGAAGATCAGGACGGCCTGCGTCGCTACGGCAGGAAAATAAACAGCGAGGAAGAACCTCGTTCTGCGCATGAAGCCAATCGATTGCTCCTATTTGCTGCTCAATTGGTACCTTCAATCACAAGATTAACGTCTTTTATAATTAAAAAAAAAAACAAAAAAACAATAGGAATGATTTTGGGCGGGAGACAATCTCACAAGTCACTTCTATTTTGACTTTTGAAAATTATGTTTAAAAAGATTAAAATCTTACTTTCTAAATATAACAAAAATTTATTTCTATAGATATAAAAATAGTGTTGAACCGCTGATGCAAAATAATCAACCCTAATTCCTTTCCGTAACATGGTATATTGCGATTGGTCTATCAATAAAAATAAATGTTTATTAGTCGATCAATGATTATATAATGCAACCGACAACATGAGAATGAAACTAAATCACTCGCACCAATACAAGAGCTCCACGTGGCTAAAGCTCTTTAATTGCCTTAGAAATTTTATTTTACCGATTGGCATAAAATGAAGAAATTATGACGTACCTGTAACCTGATAATGCCGGAGGAGAAGGGCGGCGGTTGAGATTTGAGGGCAGAGACGGCGTTTCTAAGACTCTCAGTAGCGGCTGCGGGAGACAGAACCGTCGAGAGAGTCCTTGTTTCAACCGTGCCAAGTGGGGATTTATAGTTAGCCTCACATCCGTTCATAGAGAGTGAACAGAGTAAGAACCTCTGCTTCCGCAAAGAAGAAGGTTTCCAAAGAGATTTAGATTATTATCACGTAAAAAGTAAACAGAGTGTGACTATATATAGTGGAGTAGTATACATAAACAAACCTGGCGGTGAAAGGATAATAATTTGGTTTGAGAGTAGCCTTGAAGGATTGGACTAGGATTGTTCTTTTTAGGTTTTGTGCCCAGAAAATGAGATGCAAGTTGAATCGACGCCATTAAAGAACACTAAAGCGATGTTGGTGATCTCTTCTTTTTTTTTTTTTTCTTTTGACAAAATATGTAAATTACATAAGACACATGATGAGACTTGACGTTGTTAATTTGGTATCTTTGGCTGAATATATAGATGTGACCCTGTCCTACTCGTAATAAGCGTGAAATGGGACCTCTAATATTTATGTTTTGAGATAACGGGAATATATATTCTTATTTTTAAACGAATTTTAGACTCCTTAAAATCGTTGTATAAACGTATGTAAGTTAATATTCTAAAACCTAGAATGAGAGCTCTTCTTTAAACTAACTAGTAGCTACAGTAGTACGTACGTAAGCTAGCTATATATTAAAGATTTTCTTATATTATATATCAATTCTTGGTTATTCTCTCATTATTTGTAAGCATGTTTTGGAGGTTACTTTACGTACTTTACTAACGTTATACCTAATTAACACATGATTCAACCATTGGAGCCTACACCACGCTGTACACTGCCACGGTTGGAAACTTGTTTTTTTTTTTTTTTAAATCTATTAGAAATTCGTTGGTTTGATTTTAGTGTTCTTGACTTCTTGTTATTATTTTACATGCTTTCTCGCAACATTTAAAATTTAACCAATAGTTATGATAATTTGCGTAGATATCAATTAGGATGATGTGACTAATTAAGTGCGATCAAAGTAATTACAAACCGTTAGATCATGTTGACCCTCCTCACACCAAAACACGAGTTTATCGAGTTATTAGTATGGGTGGTAGGTCCATGTTACGTTCGATTATTTCACAACCAAGCAATCATGCATTGACTTTATTTTACTTTTCTCAGTTTTCAAGGTTTTTTTGTTGTTGTGTGGTTGAAGGGTTAATCTGTATACCGCCAAAGTATAATATATTGAGCAGAGATGTGTTTTCGTGTCTGATTTTTACGACAGGAAAAAAATATATATATGTTTAATTATAAGATTTACCAAAGTGATCAACGAATAGAAAATGATTATCTCGAATGAGTGGGGTTGAATTACGTGGAAAGCGAGTATACGACCGGGACAGTGGCTATATTAGTCGTAAAATCGCTGGTCTGTTTAGTGTGATTTACAACTAATTCTATTAGCCAACCTTACACACTTCACCTAATTTGAGGTGTGAATTCGTTGGGGGGGGGGGGGGGGGGGATTGGAGTCTATATACTTTAATGTGTTTCTTCAGTGGGGAGTCTAGTACTAGATTCAGAAAATCCAATTGATTCACATAAAACATGTAATTTTGGAAGTATAGAATCGTTTGTCATTTCTTTCACTTTTTGGTGACCAAATCAAAGGTCCACAGTACTCTTTCAAATTTTTGTTTGTACGCATGAATTTATGTTGCATCACACTTCTTGCATTATAGCCTATAGGCTATAGAAAAGCTAGATTTCACATGTAAAACAAATAGCCTTCCAGTCAATATTTTAACTCTTCTCTCCACTCACAAGGTAACAAAATTGCGTTCCAGAATATAATTGAGTTGGATGGACCACTCTTTTTTCCGTCGAAGTTACAAATCACAAATACTAAAGTCGGATGGGACACTCTTAAATTATGACTTTATAATGCTTTTTGATTAAAAAGAGAAAAAATGTTTGGCAGCTACACAGACTATACACGAACACATACTTATATATATAGACAAATTTAATGTTTAGTTAACTACATAAACTATTGACATTACATTACCATATGTCTGAACATTACATTGACATGTACGCACATCACCATAACTAATGTTTGTTCAAATATGTGGTCATATGATGTTAGTAGTTTATGTAGCTGGCCAAATATTAAAATTGTGTCGTGTATAATCTGTATAACTGCCAAACATTTTTCCTTAAAAAGACAATCCAAAATCATAGTAATAAAATCATTATATTTTAATTATGTACTATGTAATATCAGCTATGATATAATCAAGATATACGCATTTGACTTGTATGTGGATATGAAAGTAATGAGGATTCATTGATCAACTACCCTATGAATTATTGCATAGAACCAGGGGCGGATCTACATAGGTGGGAGGTGGGGCACGTGTTCAATACTCCTTCTTAAATATTAACGAGTACATTTGGACAAATATATTCTTTAGCTCAATTGGTTACCGTGTACCTCATTTTTTTGTCCTTTGTTCAAATCCATGGTTCTACATGTTATTTAGCATTTTTCTTATTTTTTATAGTCTTAGATAAAATGAACTGCTTTCAATTCTTATTTATTCTATTTCCAGTTTAACTTTAATAAATTTAATTCATTTTTATTGTATAGTATACATATATGATATATCTTAATTGAAAAAAATATTAGTAAATTAGTAAATTAGAATCATTAAAACATATTAACTTTTTTTAGTAATTTAATGTTTGTAAAGATTAGACTTGTGTGATATAGTTAGATGAGTAAATTAAAATGTAATATAGGTACTTAGGTTTTACAGTTAATTGTAAGTTTGTAATTGTGTGTATTTTAATTGATAATTAATATGTATCTGATATATGTAATTAAGTGTATTTATAAAAAAAAGTGTATTTATAAACTAATAAAACAGTACTTTGAAAAAATATTGGCTTATTTTTCAATTTAAATATGATCAGAATTCTATTTTTATAATATAATAAGATTTACTTATATGTGTTTGTGCTTCAGGCATAGTTTTGTTCTGCATCCGCTACTGAATAAAACATTATTTGGAAAAGACTAGATAGTAAGTTAGGTTTTTCTTGTTTTTCAGAATTGTTTATATGATCACGGCTTAAGTTCACTACGTCTGTTCAGTTCAATCTCAAAGAAATAAAATTCACTAATTATAAGTTTTTATTAACACCTGGTATAGTACAAATACAAAGATACAAGCAACAACGGAAAACACTTTATGATCAATCATCAAAAGACAAAAACATTTATAATCTAGGCCAAAAACCTTTGGAGTAACGATTGAACAAGTCCGATTCTTCAGGCCTTTTTGTTAAATATCAATCACTCGAAGCGTGAAGGAAGATTCAATCTGAAAATTAAAAATGCGATTATGCGAAAACATAACGGTTTCGGCCGAATCGGCCCATTAAACAGCCTAAGCTTTAAGGACAAAACAAAATAAAGGAGGTTTATGGACCAGGCACGTACGTAGCATGGGAAGATAAAGGAACATTTAGGTAGGTATGAACAGAATATGAATATTGGTCCATGCGAAATTGTTAACTATAAACGATAGACAATATACATTATGTACAAAAAGAAGAGACTATATACAATATGTATAGGTTGTTTTAACAATCTATAAATAGATTACCAAGGTCCAAGCATATGCAGCACATTATAATACGTTAGAGATTTGAAACCTTTGGAATCCACCTTTTCTTTTCATATTATGGAGTTCGACGCTTGATTACGCATAATTTGGAGACTCATGAGCTTTACCGATACTTCCACCTAGCTATACATTCTAAAAGGTTATTCAAGTTTTATTTATTCATTTTAAAAGTTTCATATGTACACATTAGTTGCATAAATTCCAACAACAAATTAAATATATGGTTAAATAACCAAAAATATTGATGAACTAGGAAACTAGTAAAAGACTAAAAACACATATATCAATGTACTAGGAACATACATAGCACTTCCTCTAAGGGCTTTTCTCAGCATCGCTTCTATTCACTTTATGATCAATCTTTAAATCGCCGCCTATGATGGAAGATAGAGCAGTTGCCAAAGCCGACTGAAAATTTGGATCTGTCGTGATCGCCTTGATTGTTTCCGCTGGTAAAGATGGCACTTGATGAGTAGTAATGTTTTTGATTCCTATATGATCATGATTGCTTTGTGTCGGATGTGATGAAGATGATGAGGCTGATCTTCCAAAGGGATCAAAAGATGACCCGACGGTTCGGGTCTGAATGATGCTTTGGTAAGGTGATTGCTGATGGGTGCTGATGTTACCGTAAGGTGCACGGTATTGATTACTGAGAATACCACCACCACCACTCCAATTCTGCAATGTATTGGTGTTATTTGAGAAGTTAAGATTGGTCGAAGGATAACTATTAGATCTTGAGACATTGCTGGTAGGAGAACTGAAGCGATTGAGCATAGATAAGAAGGGTTGCTGTGATGAGGAGGAGGCTGTGAGGTCAAGAGTGATGGTGGGATGGCCTGAAGAGGAAGGGGAAGAAGACGTCTGGAGGAAAGGTGAATTAGATTTTGGATTGATGTTATTGCCGGAGAGAGAGAAGTTAAGGCCATGAAGGTCAGATGCGGCCACAGAGGAGGAGGACGATGAGGAGGTGCCGGAGAGGAGCATGGAAGCCGCGGCTGAAGTGGCAGAGGCCATTGCGGTTGCTGACATGGGAAGTGGATGGTTATGTGTTCCTTCGTATGTTGAGATAAGTATAGACATATCTTCTGAACATCTTTGCACCTTTACAAAGGATTAGATTGTGGAGGTTATTTTTGATAACATATATCATATTATACGTTACCTATACAACGGATTAGATTAAGTTGGACGTTACCTGTTTTCTTACGGGACAAGAAGCTGCAATGGTACACCGATAGTAAGCTCGAGGACATGGATTCCCTTTTGCTATTTTCTGACCATATTTCCTCCATTGACATCCATCATTCATCTGCATATATAAATACAAATAATGGATTGTAGAAATAGAAGTGAAAGATATTTAAACAAATATTAATCTCTAACAAAAACAAGATACATTTATTAGTATATTTTCAACTAGTTATGGTTACTAAATTTAGTTAAGTGATATATATGCTCTATTTAGACAAATTTAAACTTCTTTCATGGAATTAAGGATATACTGTATAAGCATTATGTTAGTATACATGTGTATAAACTATTTTAATGATGTGTATAAAATATACTAACCGTTGGTGTCTCACATCTTGATCTCACAGAAACCCTAGTTTTCTTAACAAGGTTTTGAGGCAAAAGCTCTTCTTGATCTTCTTGATGATCATCTTCATCGTTCTTAAACCCAAAACTATTCTCTGATGGGGTCTTATTATTACTACCAATCTCCAGCGAAATCGTTTCTTTCTTATGATCAAACTTCTCATTAGGATTACTCAAATCCTTGTATTCAAATGCCACACTCAACCCTTGTTCACTACCCTTTTCATGACCATCAATCTTTTTGTCATCACCCGCTTCCTCCATAATATCTTTGTTTTTTTCTTCTTTATTCTTCATTGAACCACTTGGCTGGAACAGTGACTTTAACCCTCTACCTAGGCTCAACGAGACAAGTTCTTCGCGCTCGCTAACTTTGTCTTTGTCTTGATGGTGCCCTTTTGATGAGATATGTTTTGGTTCTTCATGTTGGACCATTAATTGGTTGTATTGTGTTTGAAGGATGTCAAAATCTTTCTTGATTTTACTCAATGATGACTTTAGCCTCCGATTTTCCTCTTTAGCCTCCTCCATTTCGACTTTAGTCAAGTCCAACTGATCTCATATATCATACGTTTGTGATTATTCAAAATTAATTCATAACATGTACAAACATATATTCATTGGTTCTCTCATTAATTTGATATGTATACCTTTAAAAATCTTGTACAGAATTTTCGTTCTTTTCATAATTATTGTTGTTGTTGATAATTGATATAGGTGAGCAAATTATTCTCTGGTATATAAGGAATAAACATGATATATAATTTGGATAACACTATGCAACTCTCACGTCAATTAAAAAAAAAAAACCATTAACATGCAACTCAGTTTCAACTTTCAACAAGTTATTATTTTCATAAAAAATAGAAGAAAAAAAGACGGATCTAAAAAGAGATTCGAAGATCTAGCTTAGTCCAATCTTTCCAATTCATATTCATTGATTCGAAGATCTACATGTTCTCTTGGTCAAACGAGTAACCAAGAAACATATAGATGAGAAAATTATGGAATATGTATGTGATTCCAAGGATTGATTTATGCATATATGTATAAATGACGTATAAAATTACAAAAAAAAAAAATTATACCTTGGATCTTATAGTATTCTCGTGTTCTTCATGAGAATCATCGTGAGACGAATCAAGCTTTCTCATCCCTTCATGGTTCTTTTCTCCTCCATGACCACTCTTCAAGAAATCTTCCTTCTCCATTATTCTCCTTTGATATTTTTCTTATAAGCTCTTATGTTTTTTTTTTTTTTTTTTTTTTTGGGAACTGTTGATTTCTATATATGCAACCTATACAACATCCTTTGACTATGACAATTATATAATACACAAAACATGCAAGTCTCCTTTATTTATGTTGTTCAGAGAACATGATTGCTAGCTATAATAGAAAAATTACCAAAATTTTATCTTAAACATATACTGTATATATTATATAGTATTATAAAATATATAGTGTATATATAATATGATAAACTCCAAAATTTAGACTGAGTAGCCTCGTCTTTTTGTTTGACGATAAATTAAAATTCCAAAATTTAAATTAAAGAGTTTTTGTAGACTAAAAAAAAGTAAAACTGTACATAATAGTACATAATAGACTATAGATATTTACAATTATTTCTAACCCTTTATTCTATATACACATTTTTTTGCAGCATATATTGTTTCAAACCATCGGAAAAACAAGCACGCAACTCTGAAATCTTGAAAGGTCAACAGCCAATCCAATTGAACAAAACAAATAAGTTAAAATAATGAGAATATGTACGACCAAATATGATTCGGAATTATAATATGTTAATTAGCCTCTTTTTTTTTTTTTTTTCAAATACCAAAACACACGCACACATCATTATAGAGAGAAAAAAAAAAGTGTGCATCCGATGAATTAGGGAAAATAAGGAATATGATAGTTGTTTGTGGATGGATCGAGAGTAATATCGACTAATTTGGAAGAGAAGAAATATTCAACTTCAACGCTTTGTAAGTTGTAATAAACAGCAATGTCTTAACAACAACAACAAAAAAAAACACTGTTAAGGTTTGGAGCCGAAATAATGGACCCACCGGCCAACGTTGGTGTTAAAGAAGAACAACGTTGAAATGTCTTTTGATCACATCGTATACACATGGTTCATCTCTATCTCTTCTTCTTTTTCTTTAAATCGTTAACCTATCTTACTATATATCATGAGACTTCTACTGGTAAGCGACAAGACAATATGTCAAGCAAATCAAAGACACATGCAAATTGGATAACTAATGTGGCATGAAAAACACTTTATAAATTATAATAATAATAAAAAAAAAGTTTAATGTGTGGTTAATTAGAGGACGAACCCACAAAAATGTAATAAAGATAATCGAACGAAGATTTCACTAATTGTTTTAAATTTAGTTCGATTATCCAAAGAGCATCTACTATAATTAATAGTACTTTTTTTAAGTGATCAATAAACCAATAAACCTAATCTTTTTTTGTCCTTTTTTTTTTTCGATGAGAAAAAGACATAAACAAACGGTTCAAACATATAGTTTCGTCTTAGAGTTGATGTGTTTGTTGTGCTGCACTCGTGTACGTATCATTGTATTTATTAACATGAAAATGCGTAATGGGTTGTTTTTCAAATTGCAAAGAATGTACAAAATGTGGGTTTAGTTGTTGTATCGTTTTAAACGCATCAAATGAACTATTTTATTTGTTTTGTATATTGTACTTATGATGCAGCTTACTTTATCAAAATAAGTATACGCAAAGTTATTGGATCTGAATTTAAATGTAGAATAAAGTGTGGCAACGTATATAACTTATGATGTATGGTGGAACAATGAAATTATGAGATAAAATCAGCGGTTTTAAAAAACTTTTATAGATGGAAAGTACTCAAATCAGATTAGCAAGAATTTTTTTTTGTAACCTCAACTATTATAAACTCTATATCGGAGGACTACAAGAAAATATGAACTTATAAATCTAGATCCAAAAAGCAAATGGTTATATATAATCAATCATGTTGCAAATTTTAAATCATACATGACTCTGTTACAAACAAACTTAAGGTTTAATCAATTACAAATTGCATGTTTTATTTTTTAAGTTACGCAGTTTGTTTCTTTGTTTAATGAAGTCTTAAATTTTTGCCAAATGGTTGGTAGATTTGGCATTCTAATTAGTATTATACTTAAATTCATTATACATAATATCATCATGGAATTGTAACTGAATATATAAAAATAAATTTATGACTTCCAATGGAAAACCAAATTGACCATTGAGTTGATTAACTTTTCATACACAAATTATTTGTGTTTCGCTTTTTTTTTTTTCCATGTGAGATTTCAAACGCATAATGACTATGGTCTATATATGGTTATTTTATAATTTAGGTTATTGTTATATCATCACCCACTCATATATAAATTTGGTAAAATACATGTTATTGACAAGAAGATCGAAAAAAAGAAGAATAAAACATGAGGAATATTTTCGTGGACATGTGATTGATAGTAACAAGTAGATATTTAAATGGACCACGATCTAAGGACTTTTCCATGGTTGCGTAGAGTTATGTATATGCCATTGACATTTTACAATAATTAGTCAACTTGTTGACCCAGTTTTTATAGCTAATTCATGTCTTTAACTTCCTCTAAATTTGTCGCTGCTCAAATCCAACTAAAATGTAATAAAGTAGGGAAGGGCAGGGGTATATTTGGAATCACAAAAAGGGTAGAAAGTAATGTTCCAATTACAAAACCCTAAACCCTAATTTGCTATCGCCTTCATTGAGATTTTCATCTTTTATCAGTCTCTCCACTTCAACCTCGCAGCTCGAGTGTGGGCGATTCGAGTGAAGATTCATCCTTACAATTCCCTCCTCAAGGTAAAATTTTGATAGCTCTAGATTGCTTATTTGGGAGTAATCTCAATGGAACTCTTCTGAATTTGCTTCGTTAGACTTGTTTACTCTTTTTGAGCCTTTGTTGCGTGATTTGCGAATGGGTTTGTGGTTTTGAGTTAATGGGTTCTCTTCATTCTTACAGATTTTGGTGAAAGTTTGGTTCTTTTTTGTTGGTTCGCAATGACGCTACTTGAAGCTATCTCCAACGCCGTAACGATTCAGGACAGAGTCGACTCGCAATCAGATTATCCAATCCCTCTTAGCCACGATGGTATCTTCGCGAATCTGAAACCGAAGCTAGAGAACCCCAATCCTGGTACCCTTGTCAATCCAATATCCGGGTGGGGAATCTCCGGAAGCGATGTTGAAGTCATTGATTTGGGTAAGAAGTTTTCATCTAAGCTGAAAAGGAAGCTGAAGAATACGAATGGGTTTGTCAAAGATGAGTTTGTGAGAATGTTGAAGCAATTTCTTGAGAATATCGGTGAGAAAGTTGGGATTTCTGAGGATGAGTTAAAGAATTTGAAAAAAAATACTGAACTTTTGATGGGTACAAATGCGGCTGGGTTAGTTTTGGGAGATCAAGCTGGTCCTGAGATACATAAACTGGTGGAGAAGAATGGGGTTTTGATGGGTAGAGATGTATCTTGTTTAGTTTTGAAAGGTTGCATTCATCTAGAGATGTGGGAGCTAGTGGAAATTTTGATTTCAAACTCCTTGGTTGATCATTCCTCATACTCTTATTTAGTTAGCAATCTTGTTGAGAAGCAACGGTCAGATTTGCTTTGTGTTGTTATCAAACAAGCTTCAGATCTTGGGGCAACTGAGCTACTTTCGATCTTGAAGTATTTTTTATGCCCATCAAAGGAAGCAATTAGCAACATGGTTAATGTAAGAGAAGAATGGGACAGTGAGGCTATGTTGGCTATTGAAAAGGTTAGCAACACAGAGCTATCAAAGAAGTCTAAAGTTGCTGAAGAGGCTTCGATCTTGCTGATGGTTGCTCACGACGGGTTTTCAACCTCTGAGCTTTGTCTGCATTACTTGTTAGCTTCGCGGAACATTGATGAAGTCATGTTTGCATCTGCAGTTAGTAAGTTGAATGGCAATGAGATGAGTAGCTTTATTCGATACCTCTCTAAATGGATGAAGAAGTATGAGATGTTCCCTCAAGCTGGTCCATGCCCTAAAGCCGCCTCCAAACTCGGTTTGAAACTATGCAACTGGATTCCTGAACTGGAAGACATAACCAAATGTTTGGGGCTTATTATTGACGAGAACTTCTCCACTATGGTTCTGCACTCGAATTTGCATGAAGAGCTGAAGTCTATTGCACGAGTAGCAGATGGTTTAGCTTCAGAATCAAAACTGTGCTGTTTTGTGGCTAATGCCCTTGAGAGTTTGAAAGTTGCTTCCCGAAACTAGAGTTTCACAGTTGACGGAGTGCTCAGATTAGATGGCGTTTGATGCAGCCCTGTTTTCACTTTTTTTTTTTCTTTCTAATGTTCCCCAGTGTCTTTTGTATTTTCTAGTTTCAGTTCATCCTCTTACTAGAAGTATGATTTTGTTCGTTATCCTTGAGAGTTTTGTCACCAACTTATGCACATTGCCAGTCTGATATATGTTGCACCACATAATCGATCTACTTATCCTAAGATCGACTTAAGTGATCTGCATGGTTTTAAATTATTATTTTTTTTTATAGAAGAGGAAGAGTACAATATATAAGACTTGGCCCAAATGAAACCACTAGAGATTGCAGAAAATTGCAGTTTCGATTTCCTGTAAAAGTGTTTGTAGCATTGGGTTAAAAAACTATCTTTCACTGTATGCCGAGCTGTAAAGAGAAACATTTAGTCTCAACTTCTGGGTTATGAATTTTGAGGTGGATTTGTTAGTGCTCTAGTTTTGATAGGAATAGAACGGAACACACGTTGCTCGACGAAATGAGAGCTTGCCGCAGGTAGAAGAAGAAGAAGAAGAAGAAGAAGAAGGAGGGCAAGAATGTAAAGAAACGACAAATGCTTCATATACACGCAGCAGAGTTAATACACTTGTTCCCAAAGTAAGCTGCAATCTGGGGACTACCCAACTCCTGACTTTATCACCCTTCTTAAATTTACTTATCTGTCAATTACCATTTCATTTCCCATTTGTGTTGTTACTTGATTGGTTGCAATTTTTCCCATAAAGTTTTGATTTTTTGTTTGTTTATGCACAAAAGTAAAGATCTAACGGCTGTAAAAGAACGGTGGTAGATTTATATAAAACTGGAGATGCGTTATGCAGTTTCAAAATATATAAATAAATAAAGTTTTCTCTGAAGTCGTGGTCACTGAAACTAACACACCACCGAAGAGCCTCTGATCTCACCAGACGATTTGCAAATGAAAAGCATCTTTAGCTAATCCGGCCACTGAAACCGTTCACGGTAATGTTGTCTTCTTCCTCTTAGTGTGTGTTGGCTTCACTCTTCAGACATTAGATCCGACCAAGTGCTCTAATTTGAGACCGACATTGCTCGGAATAGTTCGACTACTATAAAAGTTGTAATACTTTTCTTTCTCTTACTGTTTATACAGAGATCAGGTAGTTTGGATTTGAGATCAGGTTCATTTACTTGCAAGGTGAGTTCCAGATCTGGTTTCGTGTTAATTTCATTTCTCAAGTTCTCTACGTTTTGGAGATTTTGTTGAATTTATTACGGCAACTATTACAAATTTCTTTCTTTTCTTGTTTGATGATCATTGGCTAATAATGAGTGTACTATGAAATTACATAATCCTTCTGGATTTTATTAATTTATCTTAATTTAGTAGCCGACAGTGATTCTTATTCTGGATCTTTACAGTCTTTATAAACAAATGGTTGATCCACTGAACTTAGTATGATTAATTTTTGTTAACAAAGAGCTTCTGCATCTCTTTTAATTTTGAAGCTCTGGATTTGCAAATTGCAATATTTGTTGGTAATGTGTTGTATTATTATATAGTGTTTTGTTATTACTAGAGCATATTTGTTTTGTGATTTCGGGGACAAATGCAGGTGTTGTGATTTCGGCTGCATTTTGGTTCTAGACATCATGGGAAAGCCTGCAAGGTGGTTAAAAAGTGTATTACTTGGGAAGAAACCATCTAAATCTAGTGGTTCTAAAGACAAGGAGGTACAGTTTGTTTTCTCTTCAAAATGTTGTATGATATTGCATATGGGTTTCATATTTGAATAGTGTAAGGCTTAGTATAATAATGGTTGCCAGACTAAAATTCCCTGATGTACTTTAAGGCTTAGTATATACTACTTACATGATCTATCTCTTTCACGACTAATTCTGTTCTGTCTACTGTTGTGTATGGTGTCACTACATGATTGCCTTTCTCTTTATTGTCTGTTTCTAATGGTTACAAAAGTCAAAAACTCAATGGCTATCACATGCGCAGAGAATTGTGATTGGAAAAGAGGTTGTAGTTATTTCAAAGATTGAAGAATCCGATGTTGTTTCGGATATTCTACCCATAGAAAATGCAGCCGTTTACACCAGTGGTATGGTAGAGACACAGAATCTAGAACATGAAGATGTTTCAGCCAACGAGATACAAGTTTCTGAGGTCCAACCAACAGATTGTCAAGATGCTGGTTCTGTTCCTGATGATTCGCCATCCGAATCAGAGAAAATTCAACAAGAGATTGCAGCAGTTACCGTGCAGGCTGCGTATAGAGGCTACTTGGTAATATTTTTTAGCTTCTGGACTAGATATAGACATGATTCTTGATTTTACAGTTTCCGTATTCTGATCTGAGCTCTATATGTGAAGGCTCGACGTGCTTTCAGGATCTTAAAAGGTATAATAAGGCTACAAGCAGTTTTCCGTGGTCACATGGTTAGAAGGCAAGCTGTTTCGACCCTGTGTTGTGTTATGGGAATTGTCAGATTGCAAGCACTTGCTCGAGGAAGAGAGGTCAGGCATTCCGACATTGGAGTTGAAGTTCATAGGAAATGCCGGTTGCATCATCAGCCTTTGGTAATGCTCATCTCTCGCGTCTCTCTGATTTTTGTTTTTCTACCTTAATAACTTTTAACTCTAATCCTTCATCCAAATTTTTTTTTGTCTTATCAGGAAAACAAACTCACCAACTCAGTTGTTGATACGCATGCTTACCTGGGAATCAAGATGCTAACAGCTAATGCTTTTGCTCAGAAGGTATATACTTGTTTCTGCTATTAATATGTTTGAAACTAGGAGATGAGACGACATCATGGTAGATGATTTTGCTGTCTTTTTTCTTATCAGCTTCTAGCTTCATCGCCAAACGTGATGCCATTGTCCCTTGACAATGATTCTTCCAATTCAATCTGGTTAGAGAACTGGTCAGCTTCTTACTTCTGGAAACCAGTTCCTCAGCCAAAGAAGGCCTCAGTCAGAAGAACTCAGAAAAAGTTTGCCAGTAACTCTCAGATAGTCGAGGCTGAGTTTGCTAGACCAAAGAAGAGTGTTCGCAAAGTCCCTACTTCAAATCTCGACAATCCCTCAGTGGCACAGACAACACTTGAGGTTGAAAAACCCAAACGCAGCTTCCGCAAAGTTTCAGCAAGTCATTCTGTAGAACCACTACCAGACATGGAAAATCCTCAAGTTGATCTAGAGAAAGTGAAACGTGGCTTGAGGAAAGTACATAATCCCATAGTTGAGAATTCTATCCAACTTCAGCCGGTTCCACAGATTGCAGTCGAAAAGCCAAATCCGCTAGGTTCAGAAGAATTTGTGAATGCCTTTGATGGAGAGAAAGAAGATGAAATGTCTGAGACAGTGGTGGAACAACCTGAGGAATTAATACTAACTCGTGGACCATTGAGAGCCAATGAAGCACTTGATTCGACATCGGTCAATCAAATCGAAGAGAGCAAAGAAAATGTAATGGCTGAGGAAAAGGAGGATGTGAAAGAAGAGAGAACTCCCAAACAAAACTATAAGGAGAATTCAACACGGAAGGAGAATCAGAAATCCGGGAAAAAGGCTTCTCTAGTTACCACTACTCAAACCGCCGAGTGTGAAGAGAGTAGTTATGGAAATCAGACTGGTAGCCAGGGAATACCAAGCTATATGCAAGCAACTAAATCCGCAAAAGCAAAGCTGAGGCTACAAGGCTCTTCTTCACCTAAGCAACAAGGGACTACTGAGAAAGCCAGTAGACGTTACTCCCTACCATCTTCAGGTAATAGTGCAAGAGTAACTTCTCATTCTCCAAAAACAAGAGTCTCAAACTCAGGTGGCAAAACCGGGAATAAGACTGAGAAACCTCTTCATTCGTCCAAAGAAGGAAATGGTTAGTGTCCTAAGCGGAAAAAAAAAAAGCTTTCTCACACTGAGATATCTTAATGAAAGTCTCTGAATCAACTTTTCTTGGATTATTTTTGGGTTTTGCAGGGAAGACAACTCAAGTAGAGTGGAAGAGATGGTAGAGAAAAAGTTGAGGCCTTTCATGTTTCTAAATATATTACATCTATATATATTATTAGTTAGTGTATGTCTTTGTATTTGTCTTTCTTTGTCTTTGTGTTTGTGTCATGATTTGAGAATGTACATCATAGGTCTTTTTTGGGTGGGATAATCGTACCTTACTTTTTTTAATTTTTTTTTGTGTGCACCTATGCTACAGTACTTCTACGACCTTTAAAATTTAAATAAACAAACTTTAAATTTGTATGGGATATGTAATGATCATCATATGTTGTGATAGAGATCCTCGACTTTTTTTATGAAATAAAACTTACACATGAAGTTAACCCTCTTTCTTTAACAAGTTGAACGAAATGAAATAAACAGTTCAATGGTCCTTAGTTTTGAATGAATAAGTAAAAGAAAAAGAAAAGCATAAAGGATACATTACATTGAGCTCAAAGAAGCAAGACTGGATTTTATTGCATGGAGAAAAGAGCTTGGAATTACAAAAGTTGAAATTAACACAAGCTTTCATACCACAGACTGAGGCTTCCCCTTCAAATTTATTTTTATTCGTTTTCATCATTTTCAATTTATTCTTTCTTGAATAATCACTCACTCACTTTTTCTCCCTTTAAAGAGAGCCTTCTTGCTTCTCAGCTGATAGCATTTGCGTCAAGCCAATACTCATCTCCTCCCTACAAATTCATGGACTTAGGTTTTGCTTATCTTTACCATAATTACATCTTATTATGACTTGTTGCTGTATTTTGATAAATCCTATTTATATAAATATGACAGAAAGGGAGCATAATTCCCATCTATCTTGACACAATTTTCCTTGTTATATTTCATTTAACTATACTATGATCCCCCAATTGTTTTGTAAAGAAAATTCAAAATTCACATGCATCATATATATATATAAAGGTAAAAGGGGCTGTCCATGTCGGACAATAGGGAATGTTCAAAAGATATCTCAATGTTCTTTGGTGATTCCATTTGTGTTTGATGAACAATCCCCAAGAAAGCAATACAAGATTGCACCTACGAAACTATATTTGTAATGTATGTTTCACACCATTCATCTTATCAAAAAATGTACACATATATGTAGATGTGTATGTTAAAAACAGAAAAAAGGTATGGAACTTAAAAAAGGAAGAAGAAGCAAAAATAAAGAAAGAGAGAGAGAGATATGCTTAGCTTCCCAAGAACAGAGTTCCAAGTGTAAACCTTTATTTGGTTCAAACTTGTCAGAGTAGAGTTCTTCTAAAACCAGCCTTCTTTATATATGCTTCCTTCTCTCCATTCCAATTCTAAAGAGAAGGACACAGAGAGAGACAAAAGTTCCCTCTTCTTCCTTAACCTTTTTTGCCATTTATATAACCTCTCAAGTTGTACTTTCAGAAAACACAACATTGTATTTGTATGCTAGTATCTAACACATATACAGTACTTGTTCAAAAATGGGTGTTTCAATTCGTCATAGAGGAATGATTCTTCTTCTTCTCGTCATCGCGTTTTCGGTACTTCAAACAAGTAAGGTCTCGGGTCTAAGATGGGACAGAGAAATGAGGCTGCAGAAACTTCTCTTTGTTCATCATCCTTTGCGTGTTCTTGAAGAGTCTGATGAGTCTTCGTCATCATCAAAGAAAGGAAATTTAGATACTAAAAGAGAGTTGGCGCCTTCTCCCATGGTTATGTCTGATCTCAATCAATCTGTGAAAAGAATGATTGGAAGAGGTTCTGATCCTATACACAACAAATACAACAAATGCTGACATATTTTTTTTATATTTGTTTCTATAAGTAAAGCTAAGGGCTATATACTCTGTTTCTGCAGTCTCGGTATAATTCTATTCTCCCATTCAGTAATCATGTTTTATGCAAAGGTTCATATTTGTCTCTTAATCCTTTCAAGGGTTTCAGTTTATATTATAGTGGTGCTTTGAAACATGTCTTGCATTGATGCATTCCTTAGCTTTATTTGTGTGATTCTCTCTGTTTCGGATTGATTGGTTCTTGAGCCCAAATCTAGACAACTCTGAAAGCCTACTACCCGCGAAAAGTCGTCAAGTGAGCTAGGCTTTATATTTCAAATAAGCCCATTAAATAATTCATGATTTATAACGTTCACGAGCAAACGTCTATTACCTTTCCTTCCAAATTATTATCACCATTTCCATCATAGTTTGTATGAAATCAAGAATATGATAAGAAAATTTAGCAAGTCATATCATCAAAAGTTGTAAACTATTTAACTTGTTTATGAAGTTATGAAATTATCACGACCAAAAATAAGGTAACAGAACAGAAACAAGTGAAGTAGTTGGAGAAAAAGTGGGAGTAGATACCCTTCCAACTGACTATAATTGTTTATGTAAGTAACTAAGTAATAGTTTGGCAATCATTTGGGTCTTTTCTCTTTTTTTTTTCAAAGAGGTTCTGGGCCAAAACCTATACATCCCCAGACCCGAAACCAAAGCAGGTTATATAATTTCGTCCCAATCGCTATTCGAACCGGCGACCTCTAAGCTTTTCCAAGAGATCTTTACCAATTAAGCTATTAACATTTGGTTTGGGTCATTTCTCTTGTCTGACGCAGTTACCATACTTTTTGTTAAGGTTAAACTCAGAAGTGATATTTTATTAGAGTTGAAATTAATCATTTAGCACACAATGAGTGTAGAGATATATATAATAAAATGTCAAATGATTTGGGGTTGTAAAGATTCTAGGTTGGCAACTACACGAGTAGGGCACGGTTGGTGAGAAACAAAGAGTCTTCACGCACAAATACTTAAAAGAACATCCCATCTCTCTCTGACTCTCATCTGTCTATATTCCAAAATTTAATAAATGCATGCGCTCTTAACTACTTTTTAGTATTTATTCTGCTAATAATATGTGAGTATATACTTGATTTTATGTTTTTTGATCATTTTATTTGCATTAACCGACTGAAATTTTGATGTAAAACTTATTGGAGATGGCAAAGGTTTAGATATAGTCAAGAGAACTTACCGTGTCTTGATTTTCTACTTGATAAAACAAACATCTTGACACTTCTCCCGTGATTTTTGGCTTTTAGTTCCCCTCTATACAATGATCGAAGCATTTTTATTTTTTCAACTAAATTATTAAGTTTACAAGTATATTTCCCTTTTTTTTATCTAAAATCTGATTTGAACTTACTAATTATGATCATGACATAACCATTACAATGATTAGTAAAAGTCGAGATCAGAAGTTCAATTTGTTATGAGTCGCATATTCTTTTTTTGTTTGTATGTTCTAATATACATGACTTTATTATCTTAATTTCTGTTTTTGTTTTTGGAGAGATTTGATTTGTTATACTGATAATTTCATTAGAATTATACCGAACCGTATAGAATCTCCATAATGCCAAAATTCTTAAATTATTAAACATTGTCGTCGATGACTCGATGTAGTCTACAAGTTAATAATTTATGTGCAGAAAACAAATTCTAATTTGATCATTTTTAGGGCAAATTAAAACAATTTATAATCAAATCGCATTGGGGCATTGACATATTGTCTTTTGTGTAGCAACTGGGATCCACATTTGTTTCACGTTTATACGCTATATGTAGTCAATTCGCTAATTAGCCAGAATTCAAAAACGAATAAAAATAAATTTGTTATGTACTGTATTATATTTTGTTGAAGAAAAGAAAACCTTGCATATTTATATTTAACAGGAATTTTTTTTAAAAATAATCTATATATATATAAAGTTAGCTTTTTCTCTCTTCTCATGATGCCACCTAAGCATCCACCTAAGCCACATTTTTGTTTAAACATTAAAATAAATTTAAAACATTCATTTAGTGCATATTTATGTTACTTATTTAATTAATAGAAAGTTTATATAAATAAAAATAAATTATGTAAAAAAATTGAAATGTTAAAATAAGAAAAATAATACTTTAATTTTTTATTAGTGGTAATAATATAATTCAACTTTCATTTTAAATTGATCATAATTTAATATTTTAAATATGTTACTGAGTTTTAGAATGGAAGTAAAATTTAAATTTATGGTAGACTAAAACAACATTTATGTAATTGTATATATAAAATTATAAAGAGGAAAACAAAAATGAAAGTGAAATATTAGTTTATAACATGATCAAAAAGAACAAAAAATGATATTTCATAAATTGAATCAAGTGCTTTTAATCCAAATTTGAGTATTGAAAGATAATAATTAAAGAGAAAATAATTATAATATTTTGAAAATCAACTAAAAATAATAATAAAATATCACAATATGAATAAAAATCAACGAAACAAAATTATAAACCTCCCGCGCGGAGCGCGGGTCAATTGCTAGTATTTAATAAAGTTGAGAATAGTAATAATAAAAATGTGAGTGATAATGCGATTATACTCCAGCAATCTGTCAGTGTCTATTGCTTGTGGGAGCATGTCCCTTGGAGTGACTCGGATACGCATTTATTTTGTTTTTTCCAATTATTTTTCTATTTCATGAGCCACACTTGCTAGTGGCTACCATTTTAATTGTTTTTTTTTTCGTTTTTGAATAGAATTATATACCTCCGATGAACTAAAATGATTTTTGCGAAGCAATTGCACGTGAAAACAACGGTACAAAACAAGGCTCGTTACTAAGTTTTATGTTTTCAAAAAATTTGATTTCTAAATTTTTAATAAGGTAGATTCACCCATATCAAATTTATAAACTTTATCATTTTGATAATAGTATACTATTTGAAAAATATCTTACTCGATTCTAACCTTCAAAGAAAATGTTTTTACATGTAGTAGATGCATGTCTAGATCACTATCTAGCTAGCTAGCTAGTAATCTTATCATTTTGTTGTACTTCTTTCATATCACGAAACATATTTTTACCCTTATTATAAACCTAATTATCCCCAAGTCTTTGTCTTACCAAATATAGATAAATATCAGTTCACAATGACTTTTGTTTTATTTTTTAAGCGACTTTTTTTCAAATGCTTCGGCAAATCCGTGTATAGTGTAGAGATATATAGTCAACACTCAACAACCCTATTTATATAACAAGGGATACAAAGGGGGCATTTTGCAAAGTACCCCTTTTACTTCGTTTCCAAAAGGAGTCTTTGATCATCTCTCCCACAAAACAAGGTCGTCTCGTCTCCTATAAAAGAAAAGAAAAAGAAAAAAAAAAAGAATTTAGGGTTTTTGGGAGCTCAGTTTCCAAAGGAAGATGAAGAAGAGGCAAGTGGTGGTCAAACAGAGAAAAAGCTCTTACACTACGACTTCTTCTTCAAGCAACATCCGTTACGTTGAGTGCCAGAAGAATCACGCTGCTAATATCGGCGGCTACGCAGTTGACGGTTGCCGGGAGTTTATGGCAAGCGGCGGTGGTGATGCTTTGACGTGTGCTGCTTGTGGCTGTCACCGGAATTTTCACCGGAGAGAGGTTGAGACGGAGGTTGTTTGTGAGTATTCTCCTCCCACTTAATAATGCAAAGAGCAACTAATTAACGAACAGGTATTGGTGATTTTTAATTTATAAAAAAAAAAAAAAAAAGAAGAAGAATCTGCTTTGGATTTGATCTTTTGATTTTTATACTAGAGATGTATTTATGTATGTATATGGTTATCGATGTATATTCAAATACTTACATTAACGCCGATCTATATGATTATTGGATTCGTCAATCTTGATGTGATGGAGTGTTATAATATATACTTCAATTATATGCTTGTGTGCCTATATTATTTATCTATTCAAAGCATACAATATTATTCGAAGCAATTTCAGTTTAGTTTTTTCTTTTCTTTTCTTTTGGATCTTGATTTTTGTTTTTAATGACTGAAAAAAGTGTTAGAGACGACGTTTAATTAAGGAAGTAGTAGTCTATTTGGAGTACAATGAGCCGTAGATAATTTTGGGGACGGATTCTGAAGACGTGCGTAAACCATCATTAACCTTCCCAAACCGCAAGAGTCCTCCAAGTATAAAATAATTATCACATTTGAATAATACCAGTCTACATTTGTATGCTTATGTTTTAAGCAGGAGACATGTATGCATGTACATAATATATATTTCTTATTTGAAGGACTTGAATCTTTAAGAGCACTTGCGTTGAAAGAGATTGAATCTTTGGGAGCACTTGCAATCTCTTTCAATGCTTATTTTCAAGAATATTAATATATTTTGATGTATATCTATATAGCACATGTACAGTACGAAGCATATGGTCAATGACAGCAACATATAATGGGGATATACATACTTATAAATTGATACTTCAAAAATAAGCAACTTAAAAGCTTTTGGTCTTATTATTGCTAGTTAACTAGATACGAGAGTTGTTATCTTGTTGATGTTTAAGTTAATTTTTATGAATATCAACGTTGCATTAAAATATTTTGGATATTAGCTTAATCACAATTTATTATATAAAAAGAATGCATACAAGTACCAATAATCATATGTTGTTTCCCTTTGTCTCTTTCTCTTGAATATTCGGTCCACCACTATACATACAAAAGATTTCGATAAGAAATTCTTCACCTGTTAAAAAATGAATAAAGGTTCAAATAAAATTATATTAATCCATTGGGCTTAAACGTTAATGTCATTCCCTGTCAAACTATTTGTAGATCTTTTACAATGTTTAAAACTTTAAACAATAAAAATGATAATAAATCGAGTTCATAACCATATTAAAAATAATTAAAGCCAGAAGTCTTGAGTCGATGCATCAATTACACATATCTAATTAACAGACGCTCTTGTCATTATCATTCTTTTTGTTGTTTGCAAGTAAAGCTCATGATGTGGTGTGTTTTTGTTATGTTTATGTTAAAGTAATTTGATTTAAAACACAACGGCCCACATTTCAAATCATGTTATCAAATCGTTTAGGTTCATGTTTTTCAATTCGCTCGTTTTTGAACCCATTCCATATACCACCAAAAACATATTGGCTACTTTTTGCTCTCATCTAAGTGGCCACTCGAATTTGTTGGAAAAGAAACAAACTGTAGTAATATTTTTACACACATTGTGATTCTCTAGACATTTCTTATAGTACCATATATGTAAGCTATAATTAAAATAGGCCAACAACTAAAAACAGAGTTGTTGCCATACTTTAACCTTTCGGCATAACAAAACCGTTAACAAGTGTATTCGATACCCACGACTTTAATTTTTCTCATGAACTCAGGCTTCTCACTTTATTGTTTCTTAAGTTTTCTAAAGCAAATGCTGATTGTCTCGAGGATCCAAAACCATAGATCTATATATGAAATAGACTGATAAATTTTACTACCTATACAAGGTTATATTTCTCTCTCGGGTCAAAGCTCTAAATACATATATAATATAGTAGTGGCTACTACTAAATTTATATACTCAAACTCTATATTCACCGCATATTTTGCCTTCCCTTGATCAGTTGCTTTAGATTTGGAAGCCAGAAGTTGCACTCATCCCATTCGGTGTTTGTCATAAGCACCTATTCAGCAAAAATAACAAATAAGAAACCAAACTCTTATTTGATCCAACACTTATATAATTAGGACATAATGCAAGATCACCATAAATAGATTCATATTACACCATTTTTTACCTGTATTTGTAAAGCTGCACCAAAATCATGTTTGTCTAAAGCTTGACAAAGATGAGCGAGTTTTTCAGCAGCGTTCTTTGAAATCTCCCCTTTATTTAGTTTCACAAACAGAGTTCCTAATTTTCTTGAGTTATTTTCTATCTCACGCTTCTTGGCAGGACTAGCTCGTGAAGTACCTCCTAATCGTTCAGATATCTCTCTAACTAGCCTTGTTAACGTAGCCACAATAGGCTTCTGGTGGGCTGGATCGTATCATATAATAATATCATGACAAGATAACAATTTTGATATATTTAGTAAAACTTTTATAGAGTAGATAAACCATATCTAATGATTGACGTTTTACAATGTCAATACCTGGAACATTGGAAGTATTTGCGGTCTCAACAGTTGGTGGTGGAGCTACACGTGATGGTTGAGCTTCTACTTGCTGTGTTGGAATTGTAGGTCTCATTGGTGGAGTAACAGTTTGTGGAATCTGAGTGTTAAGATATGGACCATCTTGTGAAGAGATGGATCGATGTGAGTCTGGAACATGTGGATCATTATATGTTGTGTTCGTAGATCGCTGGGGACAAATGTTTTAAGGTTACTCAAAAGCTTAAATAAACTAACTAAAAGAGAGATGGAAGTGAATCATATACGTACCGTAAAATAATTATAATCTATGATATGCTGCTGATATTGGTCAGGGTTCTCTAGTTCTCGAGGAGGATTCAAAGGAACAAAAGTAGTTATGGATGGCTGATTGCTTATTGGTGCTGGAGGAGAAGATTTCTGCAGGAAAAAAAAACATAGTTATTAAGGTTTGGTCCATGAAAGTGAAAGTGGTTAAGTAAAAACCAAGTATATAGCAAAGTCAAACAGAAGACCTTTTGATATGGCTTGGAGATTTCAGGCAGAGTGTATTCTAATACAGAAGGTTTAGTAGTTTCTGCAAGAAACAATATCAAACAGTTTAGCTAATTTCCTAATGATAAGTCTCTTCAAAATCATATTAATCATAATGTAGCTGAAAACACACCAGGTTCTGCATACAGAGCAATCTGGTTCCGCAAGATTGAAAGGTCGGATGAGAAATCACCAGAGTCAAGAAATTTCAAGAACTTTATCGCGGTTGCAAGAAGTCCTTGACTAGCCAAAATCTCAGCATAACTCTCAAAGAGTCTGTGTAGAGGTGCGCTGAATCTCTTGTTTCCAGTTGCCAAAGTGAGGACAAGCGTCTTCTCCATTAGATCCTATTTCAAAGAAACAAAATGCAAAATGAGTTTGAGTAGAGAAGTCCAAATTCAGTATTTTTGTTAGATATATAATTCAAATCTTACTTGAACACACTCAGCATAAGATTTTCCAGCACTTTGGTTTTCAAGGCTCCTTGACCAAATGTCTACCGTTTTATCAACATTGCCTGCACAAATGTAACACCAAGTTGCAGCCAAAGTAAAACCAGTAGCCATCAAATTTGAGGCTAGGGCATCACAGAGGCTTGTCCATTCATCTCCTTCTGCAAACTGTTTATCAATATATTTATTAGAAGTAGTTAGTGACATTAAAACATATGGGAGCAAATATTTGAATTTCATATAGCTTACAGTGCAGATAAGAGCAAGAGTTTCTTTCCAAGATTTAAGTGGTCTTGTCTGAACAAGGGTCATTAGATCATTGTTCATCATTGCTGACACAATCTGAAACAGATAAACATAAGAGTTGTCCCATTTTTGCAAACTAACAAAATATATAAGATGGCTCATCTACAATGTACATATAATACCTTCATATAAGATGCATTGCTCATCTTCAGATATCTATCACGGGTACTCTCCCACAATCTTGTACCACCAATATGAGCAATAACTAAAGCGTCAGCCATTTTATTTGCAGATAAACACAAAGCCACTGCTTCTTTGTAATCTCCCACAATTAATGAACGTTGGATGGCATCATCATCAAATGTTGGATGATCAGAGATTTCTTCTTCTTCTTCTTCTTCTTCTCCTTCTGACACTTGTTGAGTTTCTTCCACGATTTCAGAAGAAGAGGTAGCATGAGGCTCATTAACAAGTTGATCATTTTCCCCAGACTTTAAACTAAAGCCAAGATGGGTACGCAACTTTGATTTTGCGGTTCCATCCTCATCAAGCATGATTTTCAGCAAGCCCCATGTTTCCTTCTCTTCCTCGGATCTGCTTAAACAATGTATCAAAACAAAACGAAAAGTTATAAGTTTATGTTATAAGAATGGCTATTGATAAATTTCAGCCACAGCAAGACTTTAGACTTACTTTGTCTCTTCTGTTTTCTTCTCACAGAAACCCCTAAGTGAACTCTTCTCTCCATTTCCTATTGCAGCTTCAAATCAAGAAATTTGATTCACCAAACTTTGTTCTGTTTTGACACTATGGAGAATAACCGGACTCATGACAGAAGAGTCAATGAACTGAAGAAAGAGAAAGGGTAAGATAGAATAATACAAATCTTCTCTCTATATCCACCTCAGATGCTTCAGGCTGATTGTTGTTAAATGAAACTAACTTCCCTCCAAATCCAAAAGATGCTCCAACCGGGCGTTTGTACCATTTTGGTGCTATTAAAGAAGCTGCATTGAGAAGATGAAATATGAATTTTATGTTGGTTTTGATGCACTCAATAAAGCGATGATGTAAGAAATCAACATATTGATCAGCAAGAAGGATCATGAAGGACATTACCAGAATCTATATTATCCACTTCAGTAACATAGCTGCTGCAACGCTACACAGATACATATTGTCATGAGTGTAATTTCATTATATGGTTAGGAGTTCACTTGGGATGGATTCATAGGTTAAGTACTTTTATATGACATATATTGTATTATTCAGATTGCTCTAGCACAAATTTCAAACATATGGAAAGAGATACCTCAAGGTTATATATGCCAATTTTTCCATCAACTGAAGATGCTGAAATAACTCCAGGTATCTTTGGATACCAATGAACGTCAAAATTCCAATTTTTACCATTAGGTAGCTCAGCCACAATCTGACAAAAAAAATCCATAAGTTAGATAAAGTACTAGGTAGCTAACTAGCGTAAGCAAGCTGACAACGAAGCTATATCAAATATATTGTCTCTTCACCTTTCCTGTCTTTGTGTTCCAGCAAATAGTTCGGTTGTCTTTAGCACAAGTAAGTAGATACGTACTGTCACTTGGACACCACTCCATTGCAATCACACCTGTTATATAACCAGTACCACCACTATGTTTCAATCAATGATCTGACACCAAAAATAGTGATAACAACAAAAACACAACACTGTAGATAGATTCTATATAGTAAAAAGAGATGGATATACCTCTGTCATGGCCAGCGAATGTGCGAACAGGTGATTGTAGATACCTTATGTCCAAAAGCTGATAGTAGATATCTTTAGAGACCAATAAAAGAATAGCAAAAATTTGATTTAACTTGAACAAGCATTTATATGATTGATTTACTTTCACATTTGGTGATTTGTCTTCATCTGATGCAACCATGATCTGATTACAATTATCAGGATCCCATTGCAAAACTGAGCATCGAGGTGGACCTTTAAATATGTCGAATGATGCAGAGTTTCTGAAACTGTTGATTAATAAAGGCCAAATCAGGTTATGATGAGATCACTAAGGGAATCTAAGATATCAAGAGTACAAAACAAACCAGGACCTCAATACTTACCCTGTTATAACCTTCTCGTTGTTCACATCCCATATCACTAAGGTAATTAAAAGAAATATACTTAAAAGATCAGCAGAAGTTGAGTTATAGCCCACATATATTAACTAAATGTCAACCAAATCATAAAAGGAATAAAATGGTAAGATGACTAGAATCCTCACCAGTTGTCCCGTTATATGAAGTAGATGCTAAAACATGTTGAAACTCTTTATTCCACGATATCGAAGATATTTCATCTTGCACAGAAGAACCAGCACCCTTCCAACATCAACACACAAGATTTGCATTGTATGATTAGTTATTATCAATAAGATGCAATTATTATGGTAAGATAGAGCAAGAAGCCAAGAACCTGAGCTATATGAAATAGTAGTAATGTATGGTACCTTAAGAAAATGAGAAGGCTTTGAAGGATTTGTTAAATCCCAAACGCAAACTGTACCATCATCAGCCCCCGAAGCAAGTTGATTTGGGGACTTAACATTAAACTCAAGACCACGAACCTAATTACAAGACAACATACATAAGAATGTCTTGGAAAAAGAAAAACATGAAATTCTGGGAAAAAAAAGAGATACAAACTCACAGGTCCATTGTGTTTTGAAAGATGTCTAACATGCTCAATCTCACCAGACTCACAACTAATGAATAATTTTCATAATCAGTAGTATTAAATTTAAGTAAGGCTAATAATATAGAGTTCAATTAGTGATATGAAGAAAAAAACAATCACCGGTTTGGATTCCATAAACCGATGTTTCCGTCGACAAGGCCACCGGCTATGAGACCATAACTTCCCCAAGCGAGTCGATTAAACCGCTCGGAGCTTGAGCAGTGACCTACAAGTAACATATCACGATCGTTGGACTTAAAATCGAGTTCGAAGATTTCTAGGTTGGCGGATGAACTAAACGACAAATCCACGGCTCCGGCCATGGTTCCGGCTGCCATGAACGGAGCTTCCGGAGAAAAGGCAACGAAAGCAGATCTATCAACCTTCTTTATGCAATCCATTGTAACAGTTTGGTTTGGAGCAGAAAAGGTAATTAAGAAGAGAACAAACACAAGAGACTTTTGAATTGGGTTTTCGAATGCTGAAAGACAAATGAGTGGATTTTATTTATATACTAAAGGCGTAAGGGCAATCTCGTAATCTTTTCTTGCTGTGTTCCGTTAACACAACCATTCACAACACCACACGTTGCTTCATTTTTTAGATGAAGACGGATATATTTCCAATATAACAAAAATAAAAAAAACAAAGGTGTGTACTTAACTTTATATTTAAAATTATTTGAGTATTAATAAATTTTATATGTTTTTGAATATTTTAGGTGAAGTTAGCAAAAAAAATTATTATTTACTGTAAAATCTTTCTAAATCACACCTAAAACCATAAACTTGTAAATTCTATATTCTTAATTAAGAAAATCTACTTAAATTCACTAAAAACTCTTCAAGTCATCAAAAATTCAATCTTTAAATGGCAAAGGATTTTAAATTAGATTTTATTTTTTTAATTCAATAACATTATGTAATTATTAATTTTAAAAATCCTTAATTAACTAACAGAAGATTTGTTATTTTAACACAAAAATTTACTTAAACTGTAAAATTGAAAATACACCCCGAAATTCTGATGTTTGTGTTTGTAGAGCCCATTGGATCCTTTAGAGCCTTTCAGGAAAGGCCTTATACGTTTTGCTTTCTTGAAAAGAACAAAAAAAATATATATATGTCAAGAGTGGGATTTGAACCCACGCCCTTTCGGACCAGTACCTGAAACTGGCGCCTTAGACCAACTCGGCCATCTTGACTTTTTGATAGAAAGCACATATTAACATATAGATATATACGAAACAGTTCTTAATCTTATCCACCAAAGGCTATATATTATTTCAGCTCCTGAAGACATAGTGGACTCGGAAACAACCAGAACCATGCATATTGCGTTTTCATAACTAGACATTTTGATCCACATGTACTTTGGTGAAAACCAAAACAAAATTCCAAAGTTAATATATATTATTATATATACAGTATTTGGAGTTTTATTATTTCCATGAAAAAAAAGGACAATAATGAATAAATGATGATACTGAAAAGATATTTGACGTTGCCAGTGCCAAACTTTCCAGCAGACGTCAAGGCAACTTATACTTGAATATGTGTGGTTACATAATTTGTTTGGATTGCACAATTTTATTCCCTTATTCGTAAACCAATCTTTCAACCTATTTATTAGTTCGGGAACAATAGGCATAACATTAAATACCCAAGAAGCTGTTCGATTCTCTTTCTTTCTCTTTGTTCTACTTCCACATATATCACCACTTGTCGTAACATTGTCCACATGTTGTTTTTGTTTCTATCGTGGATATATTATATTTATCCAAACAAAAAATACAGTACAGTATATAATTATAATGAAAATGAAATTTTAATAATTTGATGATTGTGATGATTCGAAGCATTCTTCGACGACAAGAGAGAAGAAACGTAATGTACAGTGTTGAAAGGTCCAACTCGAAATGCTCATTTGGATTTCATCTACTATTCCTGTAACCATCTTGGAATACTATGGTGATTACTACAGTCTAGCTAGTTGTGTCTACTAGTTAAATGAATAGTGTATATATGAAAACTTCATTACATAGCAGAAAACATTTGAGCAAAACAATATATCTACTGCAAATATATTGACTTGAATTGTTATCATTTCTACATATACAAAAAGTCAGAAATACCTTCAAACATGAAAAAGAAAACAAATAATTATAAACGTTGTAAAATAGAAAATTAGAAAAAGAAAAAAAAAAATCATAGTTCAAAACGTAAGTAAGCATAGTACACACTAATTAACTATTCGTCGCCATGTTCTACTGATATTGCCTTATTACTTGGCATTGTAACCGAGAGGAGAAATGATTTAATTTAACATCTTAAGAAAAAGTTATTGCAATTCGTATATATTAATAAGTTTTTGAGAATAATCAAATATACTAATATTTTGTAGCTTAGAACTAAAATACTATTTCTAAGCCGGTTTCCATTTTTTCCAACCAAACTATTCGTAGCATGAAAGAACCAAAAATATTTTATATGAATTTTAATATGAACAGCTAGCTAGCTCATACTTTATATCAAACGAAAGTGTTTGTTTATACGATAACTCACTTAAACATATTATACGATAACTCACTTAAACATATTAAAACATAATCTCAATTAATCCCTTTACTCACTTTTCGAAAGTAAACAACATAAATATATCCTTTTGATCACTAACTTATCGTGTTGAATGATTCGTTATGGAAATTGAGAGATTAATTGGGATCAAGTCTTATAAGACAAAAACCTCCGACTCTTTTTTTTTTTTTTTCTTAGGGAGAGTAGTAGTTGAAATATACATGCACTTCCCAATTTATGGATGTACTCTCTTCTAATAGTTCTTATAAAGGAACATAATTAATATCTGTTTAAATGAGGGGGTTTGCAAACTAGCTACTAACCATGACTTGGCACCATTTCCTCCACTAAGATTAGTTTTCCTCTATATATAATAGCGAAAATCCCTCCTCATAAACACATTACACATCCATCATTCATATTTCATAGTTTTTTTCTCTCTGCAAATCTCCCATCATTTCCATAGCTTTCTTCTTCTTGTCATTTCCCTTAAATCCTTTTTGTTTTTTCTTTATACCACTTCATAAAGTAGTCACTAAACAACATATAGATACACATAATAGAGATGGATGCTGAAAAGAAGAGTGCCCATTTTCGCCAAATCTCAACTTATAAACCACAACTTCTTGTCCTCTCCTCCATCAAAGAACACTCTTCTTCAAAAGTACTCTCAGACAAACCCAATATCAAAGCTTCCGTTGCTGATGTTGACGCCGAGATTGGAGTTTTTGGCGCAGAAAAGTACTTCAGCATGAAGCTAGATCACGTTGACTCCACGGTGGATGTCACCAAGAACCACGAAAAAGAAAACATACTGCAGGATCATCCCCATCCTCATCCTCAATTGACGAAAACGACGTCATCTAGATCAAGAACAAGCCGACATGGGACTCCAAGTGTAAGATCCGAGTCAAGTTACAACAGTCAAACCTTTCTCATGAGGATTAGCAACAACAATGAAAACAGGCAACGGAAAACAAACGAGACAAGCATCTCTTTTGGTGGGTTTAGATGTTACGGTCCTTGCTCCGGGGTCAAAACCGTTAATACCGACCGAGACATCTCCCGTAAAGGTAGAAATCCCGATCGAGATTTTGTAGCTTACGACGCAAGAAAGCACAGCGACAAACCAAGACTTCGTTTTGAAGCCAAGAAAATGGAGTATCAGGAGCCAGAGAAGATTCCGTTACCTATTCAAAGGTCCGATATTGCCATGAACCTCGAGAGAAAGCTCTCTCTGCTTACATGGGATGCAATACCAAACCAGCTTTCTACCAAGAACAACCATCACAACAATGGTAACAACTCTTCCATGAGCAGCAACACTCAAGAGGAAGAGACAACAAGCGTGGCGAGTTCTGATTTGTTCGAGATCGAACACATAACGAGCAGTGTCTATGAGCCTAGTGAGGCTAGCATTGGATGGAGTGTGGTAACGGGAAGTATGGCAGATCAATCGGTGATTTCGGATTTCGATATGATGAAGAGGGTCAAGAGAAGTGGTCCGGTGGTTAAAACCAAACCGGTGATTGCGGACAAAGTCCGGTCGGGTGGTTTTTTGTCGGGTTGTAAGAGTCACAAAGCTGTGTCGGTTGTTGATAGTTCTAGAAAAATGAAAGAAGCAGCCAAGGTTGATCATCATGAGATGTCTCATCAGAAGAAGTTTAAAACTGAGATCAGGATTCAAGACTTGAGCTTTCTTTAAATTAAAAAACGTTTTCTGTTATTGTGTGTACGTGTTTTAACTAGTTTCTCAAATGTTTTTTTTGTAATATTTGTTCGTGTTTATGCTACTGATTTTGATAATTCTTTATTTCTTGGTTTTTCCTTTAATTATAAAACCCTAAATTATGGTTTTAAGAGAAAAAAATTCTCCTGCGTGAAATTTGTGAGTTTTCTCTGGAACTTCAATTTAAAAAAAAAAACAATGATCCAAATTAACCACTTAACGAATGAACTTATATATCACCTCAGTTTTTTATTCGACCATCATACATTCATACAATATATATTGTTTATAATACTTAATTAGATTACTTATCTTTCTCATTTTCTTTTTCTTTTCGACATCATTAGATATATTCACTATATATATCTCTTTGGAATATGATTATAACTATTAATTTAATTATACCATATTCGTAACTTTTTGAGAATGACATTAAAATATAACTATATAAGGATTTATCATTTAATTTCTACACCACATGCTTCACCATATCACATCCACGGACGTTACACATTAATTGGAACGGATTATATAATAAAAACATCGTAATAATATAGATACCTCTCGTGAGCCACGACCCTACAAATTATGCATGTGGATCATAATAAGAGACGATGATAACTTGAGGTCGAGACAATAAAAGAACAATTAGACTGTATGAGACTATACAAAATTGGCATTAATTTCGGATATATGTTTTTAGCCATGCAATTGCAAACTTAGGGTTGGAAAGTCGTAAATGTGAAGAGAATGATCTGAATTTGGGACCAATTCAATAACTCGAAAACGAGCTAATTTGTTATAACAATGAATAAATAGAGCATGGGCATCGGATACAAAATCATATAATAAAGTGGACCGCCTAATTAGACCGCACTATATTTATTGAATATATATGCATACATGAAGTTATATAATTAATATACGTACATTGGTAAGCATTTTATTATTCATCCACATATATTAAGATGTTACTAAATTCACATATGAACTCAACTTTACATATATATATTATATATATTGTCAACAACACAAAACTTTACATGGTTAAAAAGCTAATACAAAATAATGAAGGTTTTGTTTTATAGCAAGGCTTACACCGGGTTTTTTCTTTTTTTTTGTAACACGAAACGTTGTAATGTTTATCCAGATATAGTCAGTCATAATCTGATTGTTCGACAGACTCTAACGAAATTAATTATACTACGTACAGTATTTTTTTCAAATTCCTGAAATTAGATGTCTACATTTTTTATACATTAAATTAAGTATAGTGGTACCACTCAGCTGTGAAGAATGTTTTCAAAAATATTAATTACTTTGTGACCACCTTACCCAATTCCATTCAATATTAAATAGGAAAAAGAAGTATACCTATTATTATGTCTTTTTTTTTTCCTGATATATATACACATAAATACCCAACTAGAGCCAAACAACTCCAATAAATCGACCGTTCAATATCAATATATTGTGACACCTTTTTATTCATAATTGTGATCCTTTTAAACATACAGAAATGAAGTAGTTAAAAGCTTAAAAATCATTAGTTCCTTTACAAGAAAATACATTTTATATGAGTCTCAAAAGAAAAGGTTTATTAGACAGGAGGACAAGTGGCCCATGTTTATTCTGCTAGACTGGTATTATTTCATTAGCCCGTAAAGATCGTTGGAAGCCCATTTTGAGCCCAATGCTTTTAAATATATTTACAGTTTCTAACAAGTTGACAGTTGCCACAACAGGATTGGTACTACTTTTGTGATATGAAAATTAGTGGCAATCCACACAAAACTTGTATTGGTAGGTAGATTAGATTGTTAGTTATTACCAAACCATCATTACTTTCTTTTTGTTGTTGTCAACACTTGATTTTTTTCTTTTTAATCATACAGGAAAAACTTTAAAACAACATGACATCATTTTTATCAGTTGTTGTTAATTAGTTAGTTAATCACCATCAACATTTGTAACTTGTAGATTTTTTGTAGTAAGTAAAATCAATTAAAAACCTTAAACAAAAGAAAAAATTGTGAAAAGACAGAAGTACCCTTTTCGGCTAACGTGACGCAATCTAATTGGTCAAACAAAACCCCCCAAAACCCTAAATCAGTTTTGCCTAGCTTCTCTCATCACATCACGATCGGGTTTTAGGGTTTTAGCGGTTGCTCTCTGGGAAAAGCAGAGAAGAGTGAAGAATTCGAATTCCTCTGCGTCTTTTGAAATCAGGGGTTGAAAATGGTGGCGGACAAGAGCAAAAAGGCGAAAATTGAAGAAGAAAACGTCGAGCAACTCGATACAGAGCTTGTCCTCTCAATTGAAAAGCTTCAGGAGATCCAAGACGACCTCGAGAAGGTAAATCACAAGAAAAAAACAATTCTTTTACAATCACCATGCTTAATTTGCTTTGGTTGATGAGACTTGATCTGGGTTGGACTCTCTCGATTTAGTTTTCTCAATTGAAATTATGAGACAAAAGTTTGTATATTTTTTACTTATGTTGTTGTGGAGATTTAGAATGAAAATGTGGTCGTGTTCACATGGCTTGTTATATGATAGTCTTGAAGAATTGACCTGTCCAATTTGTGTAGAGAAAGTCAAGAGTACTGTTTGACAAGTTTAATTGTGCTTTTGAGTCCTCCAATCTCAGTCACCTCTCTTGTTTGGTTTGATAGATTAACGAGAAGGCTAGTGATGAAGTGTTGGAAGTGGAGCAGAAATATAATGTGATAAGGAAACCTGTTTATGACAAGCGTAACGAGATTATTAAAGCCATCCCTGATTTCTGGTTGACTGCTGTAAGTATAGTATGATTCTCTGTTCTTTTCAGTTTAGAGTTCGAAACAATCTTTTCTCTTATTGGAATTTTGGGAACCTGCTTTTGTTGTAGTTCTTGAGTCACCCTGCTCTAGGTGAACTTTTGACAGAAGAAGACCAAAAGGTTTGTGTTTCCCTCAGAAGATTTCATCTGATTGATTCACATATTATCATTATTGTCCTCTTGACTTTTCTTTTTTTTTGGTTGGTTTTGAATAGATTTTCAAATATCTTAGCTCTCTGGATGTTGAGGATGCTAAAGATGTGAAATCCGGATACTCGATCACTTTTGTAAGTTTCTTTTAGTCCAGATCTTTGTTATTATGCTTCTTTATCATATTTTGATATATCTCTGACTGTTCTACGAAAGCTAAGTTTTTGGTTTCTTCGTTTACTGATTGTTGCTGAATTGTGAATTGCAGTACTTCAATCCCAATCCATTTTTTGAGGATGGAAAACTAACAAAGACTTTTACCTTCCTCGAAGAAGGGACAACAAAGATTACAGCCACCCCTATCAAATGGAAAGAGGGCAAAGTAAGCGGATATTATTGCATTAACTAAGTCTATTTCTTAAGTTGTCAATGTCTGGGATTATTCCTCTTAACTATATTTCTCAATTATTAAGGGCTTGTCAAATGGAGCAAATCACGAGAAGAATGGAAACAAACGTGGATTACCTGAAGAGAGGTATATTTTCGTCTCCCCATCCCCATTTCAGTGACTTTGCACCCGTCATAGATCCAACTTAAAGTCTTGGCACCATGACTGGCGCCTTTCTGATTAGTTATTACATGTCTGAGGACTCTCTATCTTAATTGTCTTTTTCAGCTTTTTTACCTGGTTTAGTGATGCTCAAAACAAGGAGGACGTTGAGGTTGAGATGCATGACGAGGTAGTGATCCTATATTGTTTTTTACATTTCTTTGTAAGAGCAACCCCTAGTCTGGCCCAACTTGAACTTTGAAATTTCGTCTTGTAGCAGGTTGCCGATATCATCAAGGAAGATCTGTGGCCCAACCCTCTCAACTACTTCAACAATGTAAGCTATTCACCATTTCTTTTTGAGCCTTCACTTTGTTTACAATTCATAAGTTGCTTGAAGATTTTGGTAAATTGTTTATGTAACTGTGTAGGATGCTGATGAAGAGGACTTTGATGGAGACGATGATGGAGACGATGAGGTAAAAGCGCCATCTAATTTTTCCTTTGCTTGGTTGATATTTCTGCTTAAATTTTCCGGATCTGTGATATGCTAATAATGTGCATGATGAGATGAAAGATTAGATAGAGATATCCGAAGACAGAAAACATTGTGTTATTAGTAATGTCTGAAACCATTACAATTGTCCATTATAAGTTTGACCTGATAAGTTTGTAAAAAACCATATCTATTTCTAGGGGAAAGAAGGTGACTCTGATGAAGATGAATACGAAGAAGCTGAGGAATGATGGGAAAGTTCCCCAGAAACCACATTTGCTTACATGTCTTCTCTATAACAGAATGTGTAAAGTTTTGTGTGTTGAAAGGTTTTTAATTCAAAGCAAAATGGATTATGACGACAACAGACAAAGTTTTTTCTATTTTACCATAATAGTTACATCTTGTTGTATGAACCCATCTTCAGCCTTTTGTTGCAGAATCTTGCTTAAATGGTTTCTAAGTCTTACCTAGCTTCATCTGTTGTCTTCTTCTTAAAGAGAATCATTATGTAACTTAATCTCTGTACGTTGTAGTATTGTGGCTGAGTGACTTCACTCGTCAAAAGCAAAAAAAAAAAAAGGATTGAAACAAAAGAAAAGAAAACGATTACTGAGTCGAGAATTTGTGTTTTCATGGTTAAACCCATTGGATTTTCAGCCCAAAGAAAAATATGGAGGCGTTTATTGTTTGGTCTGAAGGTGAATCCTCTTTGTCTTTAAAGTGCCTAATGATGAAATCTAGTACCAACTCCTGTCTTTCAGATGCAAAGGAAGATGTTGTAATTTTTAGAAAACAGAGATTTATACAGAGCTTTTTTTTTTTTTTGAAACACTTACAGAGCTCTTATATCAAATTCGACTGTGTTCTTCAGATTTGTGTATAGCCTAAGGAAAATGCTTTGAAAATATCATCTAACATGTCTAATTACCCACTACATATAATCTAGTCACTAAGGTTCAAACCGGGGGAAACAATGTTGATCACCTGGTTTACTAAAACGTATAATTTCATGAAATTTTCTCTATAAATAACTTAATTAACAACAACTTACAGTTTTCACATTTCTTAAGAGGGCATTAATTACAAGAATCACCTGAAAAGAATTAACTACTCGCAGCCATTATCTAAAATTAATTTTAAAACCGTTATCTTTTTTTGTTGGAAATGTATTACAATTAATTTCTTAAACGTTACTCTTAATGCCTTAACTATAACTATTGTTCTTGAACACGTGAAATATATTGATTGGCAGTTTGGCACCTTACGTTACATCTAATCTTAACTGATTACAAAATACTTTAAATTGTATGTTTAATATATCCAATACTTAGGAAAAAGTGTAATTACATGAGTTCAACAAATGAGCAAGTTAACTACGATTGGCTATCGAACAAATCATTTCTAAAAGCGTGTGAACATAATTATAATATCGTTCGTTATACAAGTATGTATTGTAGACACACAATTCTAAAAGTTTTTGAGGAAACTGACGGGTATAGTATAGTATTTTCTGCAAAAGAAGAAGGCTCTATCTAATATCTATCAACTATTCCTAAAAAAACGTCCATCTTATCAGGCATTAATTACCACATTAATCATTACTATTTCTCTCGTAACTCCAAATTTTACAGGGCTATCACAATTATAGCCCTTCAATACTCACTTTCATACAGTTCATATAACTTCACTTTTCATATCTCTACTAGTAGTACTATATAGGGGTATATAGTATTATAGATTCACACCTCTCTCTCTCTCTCTCTCTCTCTCTCTGTTGATTAGTGATCAGTGATCACAACCCCATTAATGATGATGGATTCGTTTTGCAAGTTGGAGGATGATCAAGTATTTGGCAAAGAAGATAACTCATTTTGTTTCCTAAACAACTCATCACTTTACTCTTCTCATCAAAGGTATATTTATTGATCATGCATGATCTTCTTTTGTACGTGTTTCTTCTTAGTAGTTCTTGATCCATGTTTTAATTGTTTTGTCTTCTTAATTAATTAATGTAGCGAGTTAGCGAATCTTTTCTACGACTTGGAAGATAACTTTCTTCCTTATACCACCAACTCTAGTAATTATCTTCTTTCTCCCTCAAGCTTTATGGCTTTACCTGATCTTGAACCCATCTCCATCGTTTCTCATGACGGTATGTATACGGCGCACTTGATTATGTTTGTTCTCATGGATTTTATGTGTGCACACTTCTCATTTTGGTCGTTCTGTTTAAGCAGATTTGCTTAGTGGGTACGGTTCTGTTTCATGGACCGAAGAAGAGTCGATGTTCGATTTTGATTTGGAGAAAAAGAGTGAAACCATCTCCACCAAGACGAAGAGATGCAGAGAAGAATGCGTTTCTAGCTGTTCTGTTTCAAAGACATTGTCGAAAGAAATCATCTCATTGTACTTCTACATGCCGATAGCTCAAGCAGCTAAAGAGCTTAACATTGGTTTAACTCTTTTGAAGAGGAGATGTCGCGAGTTGGGTATTCAACGCTGGCCTCACCGTAAGCTCATGAGCCTACAAAAACTCATCAGTAATGTTAAGGTATAATAAATGAAAATTACACATAACACAACTAGATTATACCAAATGAATTTCGTCTATTGTATCATTAGGAATTATAATTAGAAATTTAGTATTAAAAAAATATATATATATAGTTTTGGAATTGAAACACCTTAATGTTAGGATGGTCAACTGTTTCAGTGAATTTTTTGATGTGACTAATTTTGATAATTGTAACAGGAGCTGAAGAAGATGGAAGGGGAAGGAAACGAAGACAAGCTAAGAAACGCTTTGGAAAAGCTCGAGAAGGAGAAGAAACTGATTGAGGAGTTACCACATTTGAAGTTTGGGGATAAGACAAAGAGGTTGAGACAAGCTTGTTTCAAGGCTAACCATAAGAGGAAGAGAAGACATGTCATGTCCACGTCCATCACTTCTTCTTATTCTTCTTCCTCTTCCTCTGTTTCCGGTTTGAGTGATAGTTGAAATGTTTGATGATCGTCGATGAAGAGGTAAGAGATGATGATGATGTATCTCATGTGGCTTCTATTTGTTTGTGAGTGTGTTGTGTAACGTCTACTACCGTAGTCCGTAGCGTTTTGGACTCTAATTGCAAAACGATTTTTGACTAATTAAATATTAAATTAGCATATTTTCGAAAAAAAAACAACCTCCCTCTTTTGTCTCAACTCAATCACGAATATGTTATATTAAACATTCACATTATAAATTGTTTATAAAATTTCACAAGTATAATAGAACTTCACTTTTAAGAAAAAGGAATTTATCCAAATCAATAAAGGAAGTAATTAAAGCTTAGAAATATATAAAAAAATGGAAATCGTAATGGACTTGGTAAAAAAAAATGGAAACTGTTATCTCAAAAATCCCAAAAAAAAAATAGGAACCGACAGAGTCTCTCTACTATAAATATATGAGTTCATTCAGCCTAAACCCTTACTTGAACCATCGATTCAATTTCTTCTTGGGTGACCACAACAACAAAGAGAGAAACCACCAGAACAAATTTTTCTTCTTTTTTTGTAAAATCATGTCTACATTACGCGGGGTTTTCGAACACGAAATCAAACACGATCCTGAACCAGAATATGCAGGCACTATTAGATTCAATGCAAGGATCTTTGGCGGAGATGACGAAATCTTGACATTCACGACTCTGTCGTTGGCCGAAGAATTCATCAACGATGATCGCAACGAGTGTCAAAGCAAACTAGACTTGAGCTATTTCCTTAATCTATCAGGGATCAGCGACTACGAGATTTCACATGCCATGTATCACTTGGTTCCTTATGTTGCTGAGATAACTTCTTCAGCAAGTTATGGGTATTTTCCGGGGTGTGTTTTGCAAGTTTCGTTGGATCTTATTGTTTTCGATGAGCCTCATATCGAAGAGTCAGTTCAAGTCTCGCGTAGTCACAAAATCAAACACGATACTGAAACAGAAGATGCGGGCACAATCAGAGTCAATGCAAGGATCTTCGATCAAGATATTCAACTGTCATTCACGAGTTTGTCGTCTGCTCACGAGTTCATCAACGGCGACGAGTGTGGGAGCACACTAGACTTGAAGAAATTCTTGAGGGAAGCAGGAATGAGCGACCACGAGATTGCGTATGCGATGTTTCAGTTAATACCCTATGTTGCTCAAGTAACTTCTTCGGCAAGTAATGAGTATTCTCCAAGGTGTGCTTTAGAAGTGTGGTTGGATCTTGTTCTTCTCCATGAGCCTGGAGAAGCGATTCGAGGATGAAAATACAACGCATAACGAAGCTTTGATTTCTACATTTTATACAAATCCCTTTGTTTCTGAGTTTTAGATTCGGTTTTGTTTTTTTTTTCTTTTCTTTTTGACTTAATTTGGAGAATGTTGTGTTATCATAATAGAACTGATAAAATTAAGAAGAGGAAAGACCTTAATTATGTTGATCAGTTAGCCAACATTGATTAAAGGTATAGTATTGATCATGTTTACAAAATATATGGTTCCTAGGAAACATCCTTTGATTATACACAAACTGCCTAAAACTCACATGAGTTCTTGGACATTATATATATACTAATGCAAACTCAGGCATAAGTCCAGTCATGATCCATATGATATGTTGTATACGTGACACTGCCGGAATTAATTAGTTCGGTTGCTGCAATCACCACATATACAGAAACATGCATGTTCCAATGGAGCTATGAAACACTAACGTGGTTGTAAGAAGCCTGACAAAAAAAAAAAAGACCAAACATTTAACCTGAAACCCAATTTTGATGATCATGATGTTTGTAAAACTAAGAAATTCTGACAACCTTTTTGATACTCAAATTTTGTTTTTCAACTTCAACCACAGTTTTTGTCTGAGCTTCTACAGGTGTTAAGTTTTATTGACATTGTAATAACAAAGGGAACATCAAAACATTAATTTTAAACTAAAATTTTACAGGATATAACAAAAAGAAAAAGAAATAATCTTTTGTCCAAAAAAAGAAAAGAAAGAATCTTAGTCATATATATAATTAAAAATATCTTTAGATGAATGATTTACAGAGTATATGTATTAGTCTAAGTACTATGTTTTAGATAAAGGCTAATTACAATTATAACCAAACTATATACATCTCCTTTATACACAGTCATGTAATTAATTGGCAAAAGAAGAAATAAAAAAATTGGGAAGTAATCCAAATCCCAATAGAATTAGAATATCAGATATCCAATATCTGCTAAAGATATCATACCAATCTAGTCCCTCTAATGTTAATATACATAGTAAGAGAGAACCCTAAAACCCATATCATCTAATTTTAAAATATTTTTCTTCCTTCTTCATTCTCGCCGTTATGAGTTCATCCTTCACCCCCGAAATCGACCTCGATGATATCTTAGATTTTGATCTTCAAGCTGGAGAAGCAGCTTTATCTGAGCTTGGAGAAGGGTTTCTCGTCTCGCTCAACGAGACCATTGAGGAAGAAGATCAGGTTCTTGGTTTCCAGGATGATGAGCACGACATTGTCTTTGAATTTGATAATCAGATTCAAGAAGCAGCTCCATCTCAGCATGTTGAAGTTTTTCGAGTCTCGCTCAATGAGACCATTGAAGAAGAGCTTATGATTTGGGAGGATGACGAGCATGACGTCGTCTTTCACTTTGCTCAGCAGACTGAAGAGGCAGCTCCGTCCCAGTTTGGAGAGATTTATCGAATCTCTCCCGATGAGACCATGGAGGAAGCTGTTCTTGGTTTAGAGTATGACCAAGATCTTCTCTTCGCCGCCTATGAAGAAGCAGCTCCATTTGAGCAGCTTGAAGAAGTTGTTCCAGTCGACGAGTTTGCACTAGACTTAGTGGGTGAGCACAATGTTAGCTTCGACTTTGATCATCAAACTGCAGAAGTGGCTCGATCTCCACAACTTGGACAACGTTTTCTCATCTCGTTCGGTGAGACCATTGAAGAAGACGCTATAGGTTTTGAGAATGGGCATGGGGATACCTTTGTCGGTGGAGAAGTAGCTCCAACTCAGCTTGGACGAGTTGCATTACTCGTTTGGGACAACGATGCTGAATTTATCTCTGAACATCAAATTGAAGAAGGGGCTCGTTCCAGGTCTGAGGAAGCTTTTCAGGTCTGGGTCAATGAGGACAATACTGCCAGGTCACCTGCAAATGAGACAAATACTGCCAGGTTACGTGCAAATGAGACCAATACTGCCAGGTTACCTGCAAGCAAGCTCGCTGTCGAGTCTTTGCCAAGAACAATATGCAAGAAGACTAGAGATGTGGGTACTGGGACTGACATGTGCCCTATTTGTTTGGAGGAGTTTAACGACGGAGGAAGTATTGTGGTCACTTTACCGTGTGGACACGAGTTTGACGAGGAGTGTCTTGTAAAGTGGTTTCTGAGAAGTCATGTCTGTCCATTGTGTCGTTACGAGATGCCATATGAAAGGTGAAGGAGACTGAAAACTTGAAAGCTTGGCGCCGTTTCGTTAAGTGCAAAATATATCGTCGTTTACTTTTTTTTTTATAAATCTTTTTCTATGTGGTTGTATGCTTTCGATTCAGTTTATTATTAGTATTGGACTCTCATTCAAATCGAATTTGATACTAAACCATTATATAATATATTTGTTAATTTACAAACGTTTTTGTTAATTTGTTTCTTATGATTCTTTTTTTTTTGTTGTTGTCAAGATAAGTTTTACATAATCGATTGGATTTTCTTTTCCATCTTATAATGTGAGTAGGAAAAATAAAAAGTAAATAACAGAAGGAAAAATGGAAAACCTCGGAAAATTAAAAATATGTTTCCAAATTCTACTAGTCAAACTAATGCATGCAGAATCTCTCTCTCTCTCTCTCTAGTCTCTCTATAAATACATAATGTTGTGACAACCCTGAACATAAATAAACACACACCGAACAGAACCATCAGCCTTAAATCTGATTCCTTATTTAAAGTTCTTTTTTGTTTCATCATCATCGTCTTCAAATCAATCATGAGAATTGAATTGCGTAACTATATTATACGAAATCCTCAACCAGAAGACGTCGGTGGCGGCACAATCACAATCAGTGCAAAGGTCGTCGGTTATAATCGGACGTTTACGGCTTCTTCGTTGGTGTCAGCATTCATCGACGAAGATAACGACGAGTGTTCAAGCAAAGAAGATTTTAACTATTTCTTGATGGAATCAGGAATTAGCGACGATGATACTGCAGATGCCATAACAGAGCTAATCAACAATGTTTATGAAGTTACTTCTCCCGCAAGTAATGACTACTCTCCGGGGTATGATTTGCTAGTGTACTTGCTTCTTGTTCCTACCTCTCAGATTGAAGATGCCTTTCAGATTGAAGAAGCGGTTCGAGTCTGGTTCGACGAGACCAATAATATCCCTTTGAGACCCGCAAGCAAGCTCGTGGTCAAGTCCTTAGCCAGGAAAATACACGACAAGGTTACTTCTACTGGTGAAGAGTGCACAATTTGTTTCGAGGAGTTTGATAACGATGAACGAAGAGTTGTGACTTTACCTTGTGGACATGACTTTGACTATGAGTGTGTCGTTAAGTGGTTTGAGACCAATCACACCTGTCCACTGTGTCGTTTCAAGTTGCCTTGTGAAGATTAATATTGAACTAATTTTGCTATACTTGATGTAATGAAGCTTTGTTCTACAGTAATATATAAATTCCTTTTTTCTATAGCTATTAACTGAATCTTTGGTATGCTTTGATAAGACTGATATTACTATATTAGTCATAAGAGTTTCGAAAAGCTACAATTAAGCAGAGGAATGAAAGAAACAGATTATATATTGGTCTCCAACACTTAGCCAACATCTATAAGAAACAATATATTGATAATTATATTTATCATTCTTGTAAAGTATATGGTTCCTAGACAATATCTCTTATACACAAAATGCCTAAAACTCCCCTGAGTATACGACACAAGCTCATACATACAAAAACATGTACACCCTCTCTCTCTCTATATATATATATTTTTATCTTGGACACTGTAGCAGTAGATCAAACTAGTTCTTGGTCAGACATAAGTCCAGTCTTCATACGTTCATTAGCCATGTTTTGAGTTAATTCGGTTGCTGCAATCACCAAAGATACAGAGACATATTCAGTTTCGTGGATCATATAGGTAGATAGTTCCTATGGAGGTGTGAAACACAAACCTGGTTGTAAGAAGTCTGACCAAACATTGAATCTGGAACCCAATTTTGATGATGGTGATGATGATGATGATGATCATTGAGAAACATGGATTGATCATGAGGAATTTGAAAGCAGCCACTACTATTATTAGCCATTGGATCATACATTGAAGGATCTTGTTGTTGTTGCTGGTGTTGTTGCTGTTGCTGTTGCTGTTGCTGCTGCTGCTGCTGTTGCAAGTTGTTCAATTCCATTTCAGACTTTATCTTTTTCTCTTGATCTTCTTCCATTCCCAAAGTAGAACCAAACGGTGTTGGATATGAATATTCGTCTCCAAGTTGTTGTAAACCCAAACAACCGTTTCCTTGTTGTTCTATGTGTTCAAACTGTTGTCCCGGGTTGCTGCATATCTGGTCTTCTGGTTTTGTAGACTCAAAGAAGCAGCTTGAGTAAACGGGAAACGAACCATCCATCTCTCTGTCAGTATAACATAACTTGAGTGAGCACTTCCATATTGAAACTTTTTTTTTTTTTTTTATAGTTGTAACTTAGAATCTTACCTATGAGGAAGATAACTGGAATCACCAGGTAAGATTGTTTGCTGGTTATCATTATCAGGAAGCCAAGACATCGAGTTAGCTTCTTGCATACTACTGTTACCTCCCATCGACATAGGCAACTGTATCCCACTGTGAAACTGCATTTAAAGGCTTTGGTTTGGTTAAGAAAATGTCCTGAGGAGAGACAGAGAGAAAGAGAGAGGAAAGGAGACAAATGGTTATAACCTGTGTTGTGGTACATTCTATTGGTAAAAGTTGGCTCTTTCCGTAATGTTCCTACAAAATGGAGGATATTGTCTTTTCGTAAGTAAATATTCTTATGGGTTCAGGAAAATGAAATGAATTCCTGAATTTTATAGGTCTATAATGATTGAGTGAAGAGGAAAATATAATAACACACCTTGTGAATCTGGATTCTTTCAATTGATTTTCTCAATGATTCTTCCAATAAATTGAGGTGCTCAGTGTTTTCTATTCTATCGATGTTCGTCCAACAACTGAAAACAGCCACCAGAAGGACATGACTTCAATAAGATTGAAAGTAGGATTTTAAAAAGCAAAACTTTCTAACTCAAGATACTGTAGTTTTTCACACCTCAACCTCCTATGACACTCCATAAGCTGAGCTTGGTAAATCGCTACTTGGTTACTTAGACCCTGTTGTGTGGACATGTTTAACACAAACTTTAGCAATTTTACTCAAAGAGATTAAAAAGTATCCAAGAAAGAGTAAGAACCGAAGATGGTCAATCCATACCTCAATAGTTTGATTCCTGCAGGATCGGGTAGACAACAACATGTCAGATATATCAGAGGCTTACAAAGACAACACATGGTTAGTAATAATAAGAAGTCATGGGAAGTACCTTGCTCCTAAAAAGTCATGTATATTTACATCATGATCCAGCTTCTTAAAAGTCTTCTTCAATGCCTGAAATTCAGATACACAAATCAGCTCAAAATTTGTCTTTCAAACAAAACAAAAAGTTGATGATATAGAAAAGAAGAAACTCAGTGAGTCTCTATGTCTTTACTTCAAGGCTCTCCAGTTTCCTGTTATATTGAAGAAAAGAAAAAGACACTTTAATTTAGTTTCGTAAAATAACATCAAAGGATTAATACTTAATAGTAATCCAAACTTTTAACATAATGCTTACCATACCTTTTTGTCCTTTCTTGTGGAGTTAATTGCGCAAATTTGGAAATAACCTCTTCAATGCAACTGCACAAAACGCAAGTTAAGACTCAAAATAATATATTGCAAAAAAAACTTCAATACAGAACCCAATCCATCATCCCTCTGATAGATTCAGGAAGCCAAATCACTCTTTAGTACTTAAAATATAGGAAACAAGGAAAAAAATATATGAGAATTGATAATTGAAAGGATTCTATAAAAAAAAAACAAGAACAGTATAGTGTTCTAGAGTCCCTAATCTCTCCCAAAGCCAAAAGCTACCAACTAACCAACTGGTCAAATTACCCCTAATCTGTTCCTACTGATGCATTGTGTGATCTTCTCAATACTCTCACCATTTCAGCTAAATCCTTACGAAATCAGTGAAAGCTATAAGACTTGTTCTTTGGGTAGAGGAGCAACGAGAATATTATACAATGCATCCCAAAAAGGAGATATGATGCATTAAAACAGAATTAAAGATAATAAAAGAGCAACAAACTGGAGAGAATGTTTATGATTGTTATACCTGTGTTCTCCATGGAAAGCAATAGCCTTTCCGGTAGGAGAAAACATAAGAAGAACAATATCAATATCACATAAAATGGATAACTCTTTGGCTTTCTTCAATATCCCATTTTTTCTCTTCGTGAATGTAACTTGCCTGTTGCTTGTGCTCTCAAGTCGTTTAATCTTCAACTTAACCCTACCCATCCTGTTTATAAACAAAACATCATCAAAATCCCATTTTAGAAAAAACAAAAAAAAAAGGAAATTGCAAAGGATAAAAACATTGTTTTCAATACTCACTTCAATCACCAGATAATATTTTTTTACTTTTTGCAAGGGATTGATTCTAAATTACTCCCTCTTTTCAAAGTGTCAAAGGAACGATTGAGCAAATGGTGAAATTGGTTTTAAGACACAGAGTCTCTCTTTAGACAACAAAATTCACTGTAACGGAATATATTATGTTTAAAAAAGGGTCTTTCGCAGCAGAAACAGATAAAAAAATGGGTCTTTGCGTCGAAACAAGAGAAGAATTCATGAAAATGAGCACAGAGGAGGCGAAGTCACAGAGAAGAGAAAGATCATGGAGGAGGAAGAAAAAAAAAAAAAGGCACGAGAAAAAGATTTGTCCCGAAGAAGAAGAAGAAGAAGAAAAGTTTGAATAAGAGAAAAAGGGGAAAGATTAATGGTGGAACAGAGAGAAAGCTCACAGAAGCAGACGAAGGGACAACCTTCGATTTCGCTGGGGAACTTAAGACGTCGACCAACGGAATCGTGTGCTCTGTGTTAGAGACGGAGAGAATGTTTTAACCAAACCGGTTTTGCTTAATCAATTGCGGGTTATTATTCGAAACGAAAAAATCTAAACCGGTTTTGCTTAATCAATTGCGGGTTATTATTCGAAACGAAAAAATCTAAACCGGTTTTGCTTAATTGATTGGGCCTGGGTAAAAAAATTGTTTTAAAAAGCCCATTGACACCTTTGACTTGTCTGACTCTGCCCTAATTAGCTCCGCCTCTTCTGTTCTTCAATTCGTCTATTTAACACTTACCGAGAGAAACCCTAGTACTGACATCCCTAGTACTGACATTTGAGTGTTCTTCTTGAAGATTTGATTTTTTTCACTAGTCTCTTGTTAGCTGTTATGTGTTGTTTATTACTTAGGTCTTGTTTGATTTTCATGCCTGTGATGGTGTTAAATATACTTTGAGAGATGCGTCTCTAGGAAAAAGAAATCAACTCTGAGGCATTTTGTTCTTCTCATTATTACACATCTGACTTCTCTTGTTTGTACTCGTGATCTCTGAGCTTATTGATGATATGGTTTTTGTTGGCTTCTCCTAGGTTTTGATTTGAATTGGTTTTGCCTGATTGATGCAAGTGATGATGAAAAGACAGGGACATCAGAGTCTCCTTGCTAGGAGATGAGAATGATGACTAATGTCTAGATGGGAATCTCTCTGATGCAACATGTTGTCACAAAAATATATTTTAATTATTAACTTTGATCTAGTGTACGCAATTTAGATTTGTTTGTTGTTTTGTTTTGTTTTTAATACCCTTTTGGTGTCTTTTTGGTGAGTGCAAGTGACGATGAAAAGACAGGGACATCAGAGTCTCCTTGTTAGGAGATGAGAATGATGACTAATGTCTAGATGGGAATCTCTCTGATGCACATTACTTATAAATCTTCAGATTTTTAAATCGTTTGTGTATTCAGTCTCTTAAGTGACAAACAATTTTGGCTGAGTATTTGGTTTGCCAATGATGTGTCGTTACAATTGCACGTATTATCAGATTTTTGGTGATGAATATCATTGATGTCTGAGGCAAACATGTCTAGTTATTTTCAGTGTAGGTTTTCTTTGGTCTAAAGCCTTAACCCATTATTTTGATTTGGATGCATTTAAGCTTTTGTTTGCAGGTAGAAGATACACTTGCAAGATATGAAGTAGAGAGGCATGAAGTTTGACAAAACACAGAAGATTATAGATTAGAGACTGAAGTTTAATGTCCAAAGTTTTCTATGTACTTCAATTCGATTTGTAAATATGCAACACAGGTTGCTGTGTAGTGAAAATCCTTCTTCTCAATATAGTTTCTTTTGTTTTTTGAGTGTAAACGTACAAGTTCGATAAATGAGTCATTCAGGAACCTCAATTTAGTATTTGGTACTAAACAAAAGAAAATATCATCACCATTAGCATCACAAAGAGATAAGAAGATAGCTTCTACACTCTTTGAGTTCTATTTTTACATGTGATCAAAAAAGATAATTAGAAAAGAAAAAAAAAAGAATCCAAGTATGAAGCATCATCATCATATTCGGACAAACATGTTCAAAAAAGATCAAAGAGAATCAAGACTCTCGGTTCTGCTTCTCACAATCCGATGAAAAACTTCTCTAACTTTCCTCTCAAACGGATCCAAACCATTTCTCAAAGCTTCACGAACCTGAACAAGCTCATCAACTCTCTGTTTTACCTCAACTTCCTTCTGATCATTCAACGGGAGATGAATCGAATCGATCAATTCATTCATCAACCTCGAACTCTTCTCAATCCTATCAATCTCCTTGAGCAAACCGCAACAATTCTTCCTATCTCTTCTCTTAGATTCCTCAACAATCTTATCGTGCAACGACATAACCGGAGCTGCCCATTGGAAATGCCTAGGCACAAAGAAGTTAACTTGCAATCCACGGTCTTGACAAGGAATCGCAGCTACCAAAACCCACATCACAAAAAGCAAAACCGAAGTCATTGTGTAAACCGGTACAGCCAAACCATTGCTCGCAAGAATGTCGTTTGGTCGAGGCGTTGCTAAGTTATTAGCTAGAGCTTGTAACTGCTTAGAAGCTGACCATGATCTTGAAACACTCCAAGAAAGAGATCTGAAATGACCAATCGAGCGGTGGTGACTGTCTTTGACTCTTCCGAACGAACGGTTCCGGTGAGCTAGATTGGTCCCAGAAGGATGATCTTTCTCGTCGAGCATTCCGATTGCTAAATCAACGAGAGATTTCTTAGCTCGCCGGAGCTGTCCTTCTCCGATGGAGCGGTGTTGACAATCCAAAGCAGAGATGACGATGTCGGCGAGTTTCTCCCATTGACGGATCTGCTCGATACCGTCGCGGATAGCGTTACAGACATCGAGAGCTTTGATGCTGCGGTCGAAGTAATCAGAAATCAATCTGTCCATGGGAGATTTAGAGATCTGAGAACGGTGGTTGAAGACGATAGCTCGAAACTCTTCTTGACAACAGAGGAAAGAATCAAGAAGCTTTCCGATCCATTCGAGAGAGAGAAGCTCGTTGGAAGAGGCGTTGAGATCGATGAATTTCTCAGCGACTTGTCTCTGAAACGAATCAAGCTCAACCTCCATGTTGCTTGGCTCGTGGTGGTGGCTGCTATTCCCGCCGACGGCTGATGAGTCAACTTGGTCTCGCCGTAAACTAAGCAACGACCTTCCAAATGATCCTTGAAAATCCGTAGCTGGCATCCTCAGAACATATGCAGAATCGGAAACTTTTTTTGTTTCGCTAGAAAAAATTCAGTTTTTTTTTTTGTTTTTGTTTCTACAGAAAATTCTCAGACTTGGGAAAGAAAAAAGAGCTTTTTTTATTTTAATTATTGGATTGAATTGAGAGAGTGATGATGATTGATGAAAGCTTAGGAAGAAGAAGAGTTGTGTTTATAAAGCGATTATTTTGACCGCGTATTTTAGAAACATTCAATATTCGATCATCTCTCTAATTCCTTTTTTCTAATAATAAAAAGAGATAAAGTTATGACGAAATAAAGCTATAAATTGAATTTATCGTGTTCTCATTCCTTTTTTTTTTTATTATTTTGTGTTTACTCGGTACGATACACGCACCAGACACGTATGTACTGTGGTAATAAAAAGTACCAAGAAGATCTGTAGATAGTAAATGGTTTGCAGTTTCACTTTGCAGTGTTAGAAATCTCAGTTGAGGAAGTTCTCTCTAGTCACGGAGCTGTGATATATGAAGTCAAAGTTTGAGACATTAACGGGTGCCACGTGGAGATGACGAGAGCTGTGACGGAGACTAGGTCAATGCACTGCACATGTGGAAAAAAAATACAGCTAAGTCTTCGTTGGCGCGTAAAAGACTCGGTCTTGTTTTTTTTTTTTTTTTGAGTCGTTTTTCTAGTCGTTCTAGAATGGCTCAAAGACAGAAAAATTGCTGACATGTTGTAACTTTTTGTTTTTTCTTGTTTGTAATTTTTTTTTTACTATAAACAATAATAATACAAACATTTACCTTTGCAAAATTCAAAGATAAAGCAAAATACTAGTATATGGTGTGTTCCTTTTCTCCGTAAGCTAAAATGTAATTGAGAAACCTTAATGAATATTACAGTAGAAATGTATAATGATGATGGAGTAGAAGAATGGTAAATGTGTCATTAACAGTCATCGATCATGTTTTGGCCCCGGAATTAATATTTGTACAACTACGAATATTAATTGACACACGACAGAGGAATACACTACATACAAATCTTTTCCTTTTTTTTTCTTATGATATAAATGTTACATCATATCCACTGTCATGTGTTCCTACTTCCTACTAAAAATAAATTCTGAAAATGAAAAAAAAAAAAAATTGAAAAGAAAACAAACTAGTAATAAACAAATAAAAACCACACGTGTGAATAATCAAAGCTAGAAAAGCCTTTGGAACATGGAAGCACGAAGATCACTGACTGACAAAGACATGACAAGCTCTTCTTCTCCTAAGTTTTTTTTTTTTAGTTTTTTTTAGTTTAAAGTTTGATTAGTTTTGGTTGTTTCAAATACTTTGTTCGTCACTTGGAGTTGGAAGACAGACCAAATCGTGCAAAAAGCGTATTTCCCGCTAATTGTTCATCATCAGACTCACTTCCCACTGTACACGACCAATTAATTTAGCCCCCAATTGAGTACAAAAAAGAAAAAAAAATCGGATTTCGTCAACATTTTAAAACACTTGAGACCAAAATAATCGCAAGGAGACAAGTGCTCCTAACATGTTCTTTCAATGATTCAGAACACAACGCTGCAACAAAGAAACAGATAACTTATACTATTGTATATATGGAAGAGATTGTATTATATGATAATGTTCTTACTTCTTATGACCGTTATAAGAAGAAATATATGTGTATGTGAATTGGTATATATGATTTACAAGTTAGTTTTTTTTCTACTTTGTAACAGCTTCTTCGAGCTCTCTTAAGCCACCAACCTTCTGTTCAATTTCTTCGATAAGTTCTTCACGCCATAGCTCTGCTCTTGCTTTCTCTTCTATGTCTTCTTGCTGCACCCAATAAACAACAACTCTCTTATCCAATCTTATAACAAATACATTTGTGATGGACCACAAGTATATGGGCCGACCCAGCTCAACATACCCGAACCTTAATTACCCAACCTTATTAAGCCCGACAACATGTCTATTTCGAATTATATATGTAGCTAGGATCAAATCAATGTAACATCAAAAACCTTAACACAAGACTATCAAACCTTTAGCTAGTCCATTGCAACATCCCTGATTAGTGGTTACAATTTGTATGTATTTCTAAGGATTTAAATTCTATGTTAGAAAAGAGAGAGATACATACAGTTTCGTAGACCCAATAACCAGTTCCATCACCTCCATCTCCACGGTACTCCTCCGAGTCATAGAATGGATCCTATATTTGATTCAATATCACAAAATATATTATTAGAACCCAATGCAGCAAATGGATCAAGAAGATATTATTATTCCATTTGAGTTATTGTTTTCTTGTTTCCATACTTTTGCGGAACCGAAGTACAAACATCCCCAACAAGTGAACATGATGTAAAACATATCTGCAGATGATCAAGATCAAATGTCAAAACATTAAATTAAGTTGAACTTTTTCTTTACAAGTAGGAAACTCTTGTCAAGAAATCCCCAAAAAATTTGTAACTTACAAACATTCTTGATGGCTTTATCACTAAGATGCCACACGTGTTTCTCAGTAATGATATCACGCATGCCTTCAATTTGTTGAACCATCACAGCCATTAATGGCAAATCATGTGGCAATGCCTTTCTTACACATAAGCTTCCTCTCATCAGATTCTTTTCCCTCTTCTCATTCATCAATTTCCTCTAAATTGATTTCCAAATCCTAAAACGTAAGTACACATAACAAGGGTAAAGAAGATTCTTATTAAGAGAAGGTAAAAGAAGATTATAACTTACAGATAGCCAATATCCATGACTTGGTGCGGCAATCTGCTTAGGCTACAACACAAGACACAGTTCTTCAGTATTGTTTTTTCTTTCTAATAAAGTTTATTAGTAAATGAAATAATATATACCGAGTGATTGGAGGAAGAAGGGATGTGAAGGTTAGTGAAGGTGGAACTTGTGAAAGCTTCAGCCATTACTTACTTCTAGTTCTAGATGGTAGCAGTGAAAGAAAGAGAAGACACAGTATTGTTTACAATATTTTTTTTTATTTTATATTTTTTATTCATTTTTGTTTTTAAAAGGTTAAGATTAGATTTATGGAGGCAGAAGATGTGTGGATAAGGAAATCAGTAACGTCCACACTTGATCTCTTGTGATAAATAAACAAAGAAGGAACATCAAAAGCGCAGGTTAGCAATCACATGACATTTTTAGTATTTCTAACAAACGAAAGCTGGCGAGTATTGCCTATATATTACATACATCTAGAAAACCTCCCAACTAATTTAAGTTGTATCCAATTTTGTATCTTTCTCCGTGTTCGTGTAAAACAAACTTTTTCAATTTGCGCAAGTTAGTAATCGCATACCACATTCTAGTCTTCTATACGTGCAAGTTAGTAGTAGTAATGACTATAGCCAAAGTTGCTAAGATTTCGTTGGTCGGTCAATTCAAACTTACGCCAAAGTTTAATATGATATTTTCCAAGTAATCAAATCTCTGTTAGCGTAGGTAATCACGTTACACGTCTACTCTTAGCGACTATCTTTTTTTTTGTGTGCGTCAAAGTTGAAAATAAATCTCCGGCCAAGTCAACACTGTTATCAATTAATTGCGCATGTTAACAATGCAAAAAGCGCATGTTAGCAACTTGCTTATTAAAAAACTTTACCACTTTCGTCTTCTTCCCGTGTGTGTATATGTATATGTCTTTAATCCCACCTGTTTGGTGACAACCTTTTGTTTTCTAATTCGATCTTCTTCCTCTGACAAAAACACGTATCTCTAATCTCATTCCCTCTTCCTCAGGAGAAACAAATCTCAATCAAAACCATGAGTCGCATGATGGGATTGCTCGATCTCGAGAAACACTTCGCCTTCTACGGTGCTTACCACAGCAATCCCATCAACATTGTAATCCACATCATCTTCGTTTGGCCGATCGTCTTCACAGCTTTGCTTCTCCTCCACTCCACGACCCCTATCTTCGATCCTTCTCAATTAGGGTTGTCTCAATCGTTGACCCTCGATGGCGTTCTGCGATTTAACCTTGGGTTTATGTTCACCTTGGTGTATGCTCTGTTCTACATCTGTTTGGATAAAAAATCTGGTTTTGTAGCTGCCCTCATGTGTTTCTCTTGCTGGGTTGGTTCTAGTTTTCTCGCTGTTCGATTAGGAGCTTCTCTTTCCTTTAAGGTTCGTTTTCTCTAATCTCAATTTAGGGTTTTTGAAAGAAGAAAAAAAAACCATCTTTTTTTTTTTTTGGGGGAGGAAATGATTGGGGATGAGCATATTTAATCAGAGTATGTGCATCCATCCATGTGTTGTGTATATTATATATGCAGTGTGCGTGTGCGCTTCTTGCATTTATTGTTCATTGTTATCCATGCTTTGACTTGATTAGATTAGCCCCTATATGTTATTACCTTCAACTGTCTTTGCCTCTTTGGGGTCCCTTCATTAGCTGTTAACGTTGAGACAGCAGTACTAACACCCTGTCTCTGGATTTGGACATTCATGATTTGTTCTGCTACACTTGCACCTTTTCGAGTTTTGCTAGATTCTGATTCTTTGATCCGAAGAATTGTAATGTGTTTAGAGTTGTTGACTCATTAGTGAAGCGGATTTGATGTGTGCTTGAACAAAAGTGTTGTTCTTGACAACCAATTTTTGTGATGGTACATGGTCTCAGATATTAGAGTCTGCATCACTTGTTCAAACAAAGTTCTGTTTTTTCTTGCAAAGCATTTGATGAGAAATCTCTAACTTTAACTTAGGAGCTTTGTATGTATCTTCAGTGTCCTTATTCATTTGATTGTTTGTTTTATGTGTTCAAGAGAAAAGGAATAGTAGTTAATACTTGCCGGATCCCTATTTAAACTCTATCTGTTATGTAGAAACTGAAAAAAAATTAATTGTCTTCTTTTCGCAGGTTGGGTTAGCATCTCAGCTGTTGTGTTGGACCGGACAGTTCGTTGGCCATGGAGTGTTCGAGGTAAACTCTTTGGCTTTTAGGAATAGTTTGTTTTGATAATCCTTTGTGTCTTGTCATCGGTATTCAACAGATCTTCTTGATTCTTGTCTAACACACAGAAACGAGCACCTGCGCTATTAGACAATCTGCTTCAAGCTTTTCTCATGGCTCCTTTCTTCGTATTGCTCGAGGTGATAGTTGCTTTTGTTGTGTTATGTTGTGATTTGTGTTGTTGTGTCCTGATACCTTCTTACTACAGCTCCATGGAAACCGTAACCAGAAAACTTGAAAAGCTAATGTGGAACTGTGTGAATGAATACAGGTTCTTCAATCAATTTTTGGTTATGAACCATATCCCGGTTTTCAAGCGCGTGTGAACGCCAAGGTAGAAAATGACATTAAAGAATATAGAGCAAAGAAGCAGGAGAAGAATAAGACGACATAAGATTGGATTGTAATACTGAAGAACGTGTACCCATTGTCCTGTTTCTGTAACCGAAATGATAATAAGACCACGATGGATTGATGGATTTGTGTGTTCACTATTCGTCTAATATATTGAAAATTTGCAGTAAGTTTCGGTCACTCAATATATGTTAGGATAAAAAAAGTAATAGACAAAATTTGATATCTCTTAATCTTTAAAATATGAATCAATATCAAATACAGTATGGAAACTCCAAAGATATGAATCAAATTCCAATATATGCCTTAACATGCGGTGAACTCATATTCAAATCAAATCTATATTAATGAACACTAAGAGCTCTCTCATAAACGTGGATAGGCTCCTCGATGTCGAATTGTAAGACCCGGTTCTTTAAAAGTACGAAACTGCATAAATAAAGGATAGAGATGAGAGGGAATACAACTTTCTTTATTGTTGATGATAATCAAGATCAATTTGTCATAAGTATAATCAAAGATTGGATAAATTCTTAGAATAAAAACGACGTGTTGAAAAAAAAAAAGGAAGAATAAGTGAGTAACGAAGCGAAGGGCGCATAACTATAACGTGACTAAATAAATGTATGACGCAATCGATAATGAAGCTACGGACGAGTCACGTTACATTTGGAATCCCATTCGAATGAACGGACATGTCTTAAAGTAGGGAGTCACACAACTCAGAGCGATGTCTCGACTTAATTATACCGTCGAATTTCTTGCACTGGCTTCTATAAGAGACCGTACTTGTATGAACAATTCTCGATGAATACCTGTCATATCCTTCTGCATGGATCATGCTAAACTTCTATATAAAAGATGCTAATTCTGAAGGAATTAACCGCTAATACGGGCAATTATCGATAAGAGATGTTGGGAGTGTCCTGTGTACATGGTAATATATATAGGGTACCCTGATATATATGGGTGCTACGTGCTTGAAACATTTGGAATCTAAATGCTTTCATTAAAGCACAATTTCTTACAGGGGATACTTTTTCTTTGTCTCATCGAGCCAATGTAATGTACGTGACTTTGACGACTTTATGATTGATGTGTCAAACAAATCGTTACATTCACTTATTTTTAGTTTTATAATCCCTTTTCTTTTGGTCGCACAATCACTATAAAAAACAAAGAAAAGGTGAATAAAAATAAGATGACGTGGACAAAATAAGATGTACTATAATAATCATATACTATTCATAGTAATAATACAAAAGGATACTATCAAAATAATGTTAATTACAAAACAAAACAAAAACATCAACTTTCGTACACAGGATACTATAACGTGGCATGATAAAATCCAAAGAGAGCATATGGACCAGGGAAACAAAAAAAATATATGCAATTATCACTTTTGTCTTCTTTTTCTTTTATTTTTATCTTTGGTTTTACTACTCCTAAAGTATTTATATGTATTAAAAATGTAAAAAGCATGAGAAAATAATGGTCAACAATATATTAATATACTTTTATTCTCAACATAGGACTTTCGCACAGTCATGTCCAAACTCGTGAACTATCCTATTTTATTCCACTGTTAGTAATTATTCTCTAGGTAATAGACTCCTTAGGTTAGTGGTACATGAATATTCTTCTTTGCAAGTTGCAACAAGAACACGTGGATAAGCAAATTAACTACTAAATGATCGATGATCTAACCAAACTAAATTATTGATCATCAAAGGGGATATGATGATCATTATGTACGCTAGTATGAACACTCCAAATCAATTACAATCGTACGACGTCGTGCCAAACTCCATTACGCCAATCTCTTCCATGAAACGTCTCAACTCTTCCTCGTCCCACATTAGAAAGTCTTCTTCTTGATAGCCACTAGCTAATATCTTCTCATGATCATCCCTGTTCAACTCTTCCCCTTCATCTTCTTCTTCTTCGTGACAATGGATGCTTGTGGTTCTTGAACCCGACAAGATGTTCTTCATCCTGTCGACACAGTGCTGTCTAGATGAGATACCAGTCGCGATCTTATTTAGGAGACATGCGGAGCCGGAGGAGAAAGATGGACTCGCGTTAGCGGAAGAAGAGCTACTGCATTCTGTGTTAAACAGCGACGTTTTGACAACGAGGTTACTGACGAATGGCTGGTGGGTCACTGGGTTGATTCCGTTTCTCTCGAGTCTTTTCTTGAGACAAGAGTTCCAATGGTTCTTGATGTCATTGTCTGATCGATTCGGCATCTGCTGTGCTATGGCTGCCCACCTGCAATTTTCAATAAACAGCAACCAAAACTAGTCAATAATAAGTTTTGTCTTTAACATAAAACTCGTCGAATAATCTCATCTATAGTATCAATTTTATAGAAAGTATAATTATTACTTAAAAATTATTAATATTCCGTAAATCTATCCTGACGTAGACAATCTACCAATGAAAGTTTTAAAGAAATATTATTATTTGGTTTTAGTACTTTACGGTTGGATTTTAATAAATTAATTAATCTGGTGTAGTGTAATAAGTAATAACATATTAAGATGCTATTGGATCATAATTGTGTATTATTCTCTCCTCGTATCTCACTTAGTATTATATATTGGAGTATTTACTACTTTGATAATGATGTAAGTGTTTATTTTTTTGGGTTGAATGATTAACCAACCTGTTCCCGAGAACAGAATGTAAACTAATGATAGTTTGTTCTTCTTGAGGAGTGAATTTGCCTTTATTAATCCCGGGCCTTAGAAAATTAAGCCACCTTAATCTGCAGCTCTTCCCACATCTCCGCAAACCTTTTTCCATCATAAAAATGTAATTAGATTAAAATGTGAACAAATATTAGCAGTAAATTTTATGCTTTTGTTGGATGTACAGTTTTGTGTGTGTGTGTGTGTGTGTGTGTGTGTGTGTGTGTCATCATTAGATATACAGTTGTATACCGGCAAACAATAATTGTTAAAATTAATCAAACTATTTCTACCCACAAAGGAACATGTAAAAAAAGAAGAAGGAAATTAGAATTTGAAAACAAAAAATTAGAATGTGAAGAATTATATCCTCCTAATTAATTCATTTTTTTGTTTGTTTCACACATATTAAGAAAACATATTTCAACTTGATTATAGATATATTTCTGTGATTTACAATTTTTTTAGAAATGTAAACAATAATATTCAATTTTTTCATGAAGTTTACAATCCATCAATAATAACTACTAATAAGTATTGCTTAGGAACTTTTAAAAGCATATTTTTGAAACTACTTTTTTCCTTGAAAAAAAGGATTAGTAAGGAATAGAGAGAGTAGTCTTTCATAATTTTTTTTGTCTTACAAAAGACCTACTAGCTAGCTTGAGGGTTACATGACTTTTCTATGTATATTTGTAGGTTTTAAGGACATGAAAAAGAGCTGCTCTATCGGCACAGAACAAATATAGTGATGAAAACCTATAGGCCAATTAAATGACAAAACAAATATGTAAATTAGAAGCTAATCTATATTTTCCCTCAATATTACATAATCTACATTTAAGTGATGAACTACATGCAGTACTTGTAAGTGATGAACTCATATACATACCAGCTCGTTCAGGGAGAAAACGCCAGTCACCAACGCCGTACTCGTCGATGTAAGCGACGAGTTTCTGGTCTTCCTCCTCCGTCCATTCTCCTCTCTTGGTCCCGTCGGCCTCAAACCACGTCGCTCTCCCCATGAAAACCTCTCAGCCCCGCCAATCTGATATCACTACGTACGTGTTGACAACCTTAGAAAAAAAAAGAAGAGAGATCGGAAAGTTTTTAATGAAAGAAAATAGTTTAATATGAAAGTATTGATGGCTTTCTGATTGATACAGCCTTTATTTCAATATATGGTCCTCTTGAATGAGTGAGACTGTGAGAGAGTACTAGGCTTGTCTATAAATAGCCAATTGTATGAAATGATACATAGTACAATCCACAGTTCCTGTTTGCTAGTATATAATTAAGGGGGAAAAAAACATAACAATAATGTTTTTTGAATACGAAACATGTAGTATTAACTTTTCGATATCTTTAAAAAAAACCGTATCTACTTTTTTATCAAATATAAATGTTGATAGAATAAAAAAGCTCTTTATATTATCCGATATGTTTATAAAAGTTCTTTATGTTCTAAATAGTCTTAAAATTCTTATTAACCATTCGATGGAAATGGAACTGACGTTTGACACTCTTTCTGGAAGAAATAAAAGCAGTCCATTTTATTTCTAAAGTGATCAGGTAAGCAAGTTTTCTCTGTTTTATACGTGAGATTAAAAGATAAATGTGAATTCATATAGTAGGTGGTTTTGTTGAAATTATAAGAATTAAGAAGTATTTTAAATGTGAATAGATATGAAAATGAATATGACTCCAAAGAGAGTCATCCTCAAAAATCTCGTAAAGCCAAAGCTTAAAGCTTAAAGCTACATATCAATGCACCTAATATTTTTGAAGGAGAATATTTTTTATTTTTTTATGATATATTATATAGAAATCAATCCTTGAACGTCGTATCTGGGAAAATATTACATGTCATATATACACATTCCATAGAATAATCTCAAAATTTTTCACATAAGAAAAACGTTATTGCTTCACAAAATAAGTTGTTTCCGTATAGAGAAATTCTAGTACCTTTTCAGTTTCACCCAAAAATAAACCAAAAAGATTTCTTATAGTCTTAAGGTATGGTGATGTAAGTTATGGTATAAGTTAAGTGCAATAATTCGTAGTTATCCATTGTGCTGAGTTTTTCTTTGACATCATTTTCAGCCTGACATGTCAAAAAATTTGTTCTTTCGCCTGGCTTCCCCTTTGATATTTCAATTTTTTTTTTTTTTACAAAAAAGGGAAAGATATAGAAAAGGGTATAAAATTCAATTATTTACACTAGAAATGGAGTACATTTTGAAGAAAAAAAATACGAAACTATATGATATGCTTTTGTTTGGAACCGCGTTACTAATCGTTTTCAGAATTCCTGACCTACTATTAAATGGTCCATCATGTCTGTAATAATAATAGAAACACGTGCTAAAATTACATCTTCCATAAAAGCCAAGGGCTTGAAAGAATATGATTTGTCCTATTTGTAGGAAAATTCATTGTATGTACGTATATATGTCTTTTTCCTTTTGCTGATAAATAATGATAATTAAAACCTAGCTCTATATTACTACTATGTTGTTTATTTATTTTAAATTATTTTTCTTATGTCAATAAGGAGAGAAGCAATAATTAACATAGATCGACGCGTAGAGATAACGCCTACTAGAAAACTATTTTATTTTATTTTTGGCCTTTTTTGGTAAAAGAAAGCATAATCAAATTAAAAGAAAACTAATTTCTTCTCAAATGGGCGAGCTTAATGTATTTATATGTACGTGTGAGTGTGTGTTTGTTGTGGTTGAGATATAACAATGAGATGGTGATATGTGCTTAAACATGTGTGCATGGTACTATCATTATAGCATTATTTGCATATGAAAACGAACGTACATTCAGTAATGCGCGTTTTATGTGGAACTTATGTTTTTTCATTTTTTTTTGAAACATGCACAACCATAAACTCTATTTTGATTAAATTATTTACAGATTTTCCTTACAATATAAATAAATATGAATACTATAATATAGTTGATGATAATTAAATAACAAAAAGACAAACGATGATAAAGTCGATGTTGCTGTGAGCCTATAGAGAGAACTTAAATGGCTTTCATCGATTACCCCTCTTGAGAAGACAGAAGAGATATCCCATGTGGAGCAGCCTGATGCATGGGTCATATATGTTGACATTTCAATTTCTTTTGAATCAATGTGTCCCAATTTTGTTCTTTTTATCTTACCATATAAATATCAATTTCTTTTATCTGTTTTTTATTTTATTTTTACCACTATACATGAAGAAAAGCTCGAGGTCAATTTGTTTTTGTGGACCTTCAATTTATATAATATTTTTAAAATCAAATAACTGAGACATTAGAAAAAGAATATAAATATCACAGAAGGTGAACTTCTTCTTTTGAAAAAGGTTTGTCTAAACTTGACTTGACGATATATGGAAGAATCAAAGACCTCCGGCGAGTCGGGAAGACAAAATATATACATCACACAAGTTTTTGTATTGTTGGCATTCAAAACATTCATTTGGCTTTGAACTGCAAAATTTAGTTTTCAGTTTGGTTTTGGATAAAATATACATATGTGTAGTTTAACTCTAGTGATATTTTTGGATAAAAATGTCGTTGGGGTTCCGCATCTTCAAGTTTGGTTTTATAGTGGGCTACATAAGAGGAGTTTAAGTTAAACACAAGCACATGCATGACATGTGGCCGAAACCAAGTTATTTCACTATTTTAGGCCAAACCCATTAACCATCGTATATTCGTAGGCCATGATGTTAAGAGTATATATGCATGTTATAATCTGGATTTGTGGTAGCCTCTCCCCCCTCTATTTTCCCACAAATATTTTACTCTTATAGTTTGATGTTTCCTTTTCTCTAAAGAAGAATCACGTCGTAAACGCACAGTTTTTTCCTTTTTTTTTTTCTTATAAGTATACACAAATTTTTTTTTTTGTGTGAAAAAGAAGTATACACAAAGTTGTTGTGTAAAATACAAAAACTAATAATTTAGTGGCGTTTAACATTCATATCTATTATCACGAAATTATAAGCTCTAAAATTTCAGTGCGTATATTATATACTAACATGTTGGAAAATTTTTAACAAAAATAAAATAAAAAACATGTTGGAAAACCAATAATAATATACATACATAAATGCAATATTGAAGATGTGATCAGCTTACACGTGTCCTCAGTGTCTACATCACTATCTATTTCGCACGCGCTGGCAATCACGTGTTGCTGTTAATGAGTCTGGACCCCTTTGTTTATGATTTACGTTAATAGATCCACAAAAAGCCCTCTACTAAAGAAAACCACTCGTTTAATAGTAGTAATCAGATTTTAATTTTTTTTTTGGCATAAACTGAATTTATGAAAAAATTAATTTTATCAATTTACATGCTTCATTTAATTTAAATTTCAAAATGACTAAAATATACACAAATCATCCAATTTTTTGTTTTGTGTTAAGAGATAGATTTGAAAAATATTGCATTTTATTTAAAGCTATTTTTATATTTACCACGATAAGATAAACATTTTTCAAACTACCACGTACTAATTAAACCAAGTACAAAATTCATTGATAATTCTAAATATATAGCTTTACATGTCAATTTTAGCATTTTCCAAAATGTTCATCTTAATTATCGTGATAAATATATAACATTCTAAACATTCTCTGTGAAGTTATTCTTGTTGTTTAATACAAGTAGCAGTATTACACACAGCAACACACTTTTTTTTTTTAAAGAAAAATCAGTAGACTCCTCGACTGGTTATTGAATATATAGGGGATATGCATGCTTTTCAGTTTTCACGATTGAGAGTTAAACCGACGTTATTGCATGAACTTCGCAAAACTCATGACTTTTCCTAGAATTTCATTTAAAAAGTTTCTTTGTGTACAATACTACAATGTCCTTAATTAATGAAAAAAAAAAAGAAAAAAAAAACCCTTATATGTTCAAAGACTTGGCCTTTAGGGCATCATCATCTTGGTCAAACAGGTCCACATTAATATTCTTCGTAGCAACGACAAACCATAACTTAGCATATGCTAATTAAGTTGCTAACAACACATACACCCATTATACTGAGTCAAAAGATAGATGATCAAGCATGTGAGTACTCTCGTACATGATTGAGTCGTACGACGTCACATCGTACTCCATTACATCAGTCTCCATTAAACGCCTAACCTCCTCCTCGGTCCAAATCTGAGCATCATCTTCTTCACCACCGGCAATCTTCTGATCCATATCTGACTGATCCCTTTCTTCTTCTACTTGGTCACTGCTTATGATCATTTGGTTCGACAAGATGTACTTGATCCTATCGAGACTGTGTTGTCTAGATGAGATACCTGCGGCGAGCTTATTGAGGAGACGAGCTGGTGCTGAGGAAGGAGAGCTCCCCGTCGACGGTGACGTTGTCGTGGAAGAGCTACCACAGTCTTCATCAGTGGTCTTGATGGTGAGGTGTTTGATGATGGGCTCGTGTGTCATCGGGTCAATTCCTTTTCTCGAAAGTCTTTTCTTGAGACAAGAGTTCCAATGGTTCTTGATATCATTGTCTGTTCGATTCGGCATCAGCTTCGCTATGGCTGCCCACCTTTTAAGTTTACAAAAAATAAAAGAATAAAAGTAAGAATAAAAGTTTAGAATATCTTTTTTTGGATTGACATATCGTTCTTCTTTTTTTTTTTTTGTAAACGTCAAAGTGGTTAATCATGATAATTTTTCGTACTCTAAATATTTTTTTTAAAGAATTGTTATTAGTTATGACACAGTACTAGAATAATTAACGTCATAATAAATTAACAAATTACCATAACTTAAACAAGAGGACTGATACATATTTAATAATACTTGCAGTGAAGGGTAAATAAGTAAAGGTTATAACTGACATTATTATCATATTATGTGATCAGCTAATGTTGATGTATATATCTCTTATGATTTGATGTTTGTTATTTTTAAAATATGTAATGTAAACAGCTTTTTGTTGTAACCCATTTATCAAACACATGTAAAGGTATATATATATATATGTGTGTGTGTGTGTGTAGACTTTACCAAAGTATAAAATATTACATCATATTAATTGTACGTTTCATGCATATAACTTGATCAAGAAATTAACCTGTTTCCGAGAACAGCATGAAAGTTGATGATGTCTTCTTCTTCTTGAGGAGTGAATTTGCCTCTTTTAATCCCAGGCCTTAGATAATTAAGCCATCTTAATCTGCAGCTCTTTCCATATCTATGCAAACCTGTTTTCCAATTATTAAAAATGTCAAATTCTTGTATTAAAAAAAAGAAAAATATTTTTATTTATAGCTTTTGTAGTGGCAAACAAAAGAAGCTACCAAGAGTTAAACTTTTCATCAACAGTAATGGAGAATTTAGAAGAGAGATTTTAACTTTTCGAGATTGGGGTCTTGGAAGGATTTTTTTCCTTTCCCAACCACTAAGGTATGTATATAATAATAATCTGTGGACAAAGCTCAGGTAATATACCTGTCGCTCCTGGGCACCGTAATAGATTGCAATCAACTTTGTCACACAATCATATGGATAGAGTTGGTATACGTTTCTAAGTAGATTCGGCAACCAATAAAAATAAGCAATTAAAAATTTACAATCAATCATGCACTAAAAAGAAATATGAATATTATAAAATAAGTTTTCGTTCTTCGTTTGACTGCAAAGATAATTAAAAGTCATTAATCAGTGATTTTGAATCCAAAGAACATGGATTCTACTATTCACTTATTGGATTCTACTATTCACTTCACTATAAGTAGAAGAGAACCTATATTATGCCTATGTACGAAACAATCTGATGTGCATCCGAGTATACTATATAACTTATCCTAATAATCCAAATGAGAACTTTCAGCAACAAATAGTAAAAAAAAATCTAAGATTAGTTCAAAACATTTCAAAGACATATACGACCAATCTTTATTAAACAGAAAAAAGACCAAAACCATTGTTAAACATGATTCTTTCGATTAAACGTTTGGCTCTACTTAACTAATTACATGATCTTAATTATATGGCTTTCGATAAATCCAAGTAGTTTGCTACATATATACACAGGCAGCAGCAAGATGATCTAGACTTATATCCTAATATATATAATTAAACCCCCTATTGTTCCGAAAAAGGAGAAGTAGAAAATATGTTATAACACAGTTTCACAAAAACACAACATAGCAATGTACTTCTCTATTTATATAGATATGTATGTATATGAGAGATATAAATATACCAGCTCTTATGGGAAGAGAACGCCAATCACAGATGCCATGCTCGTTGATGTAAGCGACGAGCTTCTGGTCTTCCTCCGCCGTCCACTCTCCTCTCTTCATCCCGTCGACGTCGAACCATGTCGTCCTTCCCATTTTTCTCCGGCAAACCCAATCTGTGTTCTAATATATATCGTTATCAGAAATACAGACCCAATCTTATACTGCCACGTTCGTTACCTCACGAGGAGACAAATATTAAATAAAGTTAAAACTATTATTTGTAAGTGACTCTTCTCTCTCTCTCTCTCTCTGTGTTCACTTCTCTTAACTCACCAGTAGAATACTACTAGAAGTCTAGAATGGTCTCAAGAGAATTGAGTTAGTGGGATGTGTTTATTCTAAGTAAGGGACATATATATAGGCTATATGATTTTTATACCCCTCCATTTTTGGTTTTATTAGATTTCCACCGTTGGATCTTATTTCTCTCTTTTTTTTTTGGATGGATTTTATTTCTAATTCCTCCACGTTAGATTTTACAACTTTTATTTTTCTTTGAATAGTTGAATACCATACCACAAATCAAATAAACAAAAGTTATGTGTAACGACAAATTCCTCTTTTAATAATCAACAACTTCTAAAATTCAAGCGAATGACAAGTTTGTACTTGTATAAACAAAAAAAAAAAATTTGTACTTGTAAAAAGTACAAATAAAACTTACGAAATAAAATGCAAACTAAAATATAATTCGTATATGTTAAATATTCTGTACTTTTTGTTTAACAAAAAAAAAAATTCAGTACTTTAACATGACTAATTAAACAAAAAAGAAGTATATATTTAGTCACACGTGTAAATTCTCGTAATAATAATAGTTAATTAAGTCCTCTCGTATCTCGTATACATTCTAGAACAAAAGTGGTTACTGGTTGGCGCTAAAGTAATGAATCGTCGTAGCCTCGTAGGGGTGATACTCTATTACCACAATTCACACACAACAGTGACACAGCCACACAGGTGTGAACAATGTTAGTACGTTGTACTTTTAGTAGTGTAATTATTATACTAATAAATAATTGGAAAGGTTAGCAAAAGAGAATGTGCCAAATTAATTTTTGCGAGGCGACGTGGTTGGATTAGAAAGCATGGTTAGATCCAATCTAAAATATACTAGTAATTTTTTAACATTTATATTTTCCGCCGTTTTTACCTTCAAAGTTTTAAGTTAAAACTGAAAAAAATTACCTTCAAAATTGTTGAGTAAGCATTTCTTTTTTTTTTTTCTATTCATTCATATGACTCTATTTTTTACATTCAAGTTTTTTTAGATATTCTAAAACCATTAGTCACAGTGTCACCCCAAGGCCATGTATCGAACAACGTTCACATCTATTGTCTTTCTCTAGTTAACTAGTTTATTTTCTTTAGTTAACTATTTTATGCTCTTTTAATGTTAATAAATTATAGAATTAATCATATAAATACTTTAGGAAAGAAGAAAAAAAGAAATTAAGGTTCATTGACTGCCAAAAGACCCACCGGGTGTGTCTTTGGTCGAATTGATCTGTGTTTGTGAAATCTATTTGCTCTCTCATCCTTTTCATCTTACCTCATTCACACTATTAAGTTTTGGATCTCTCGCGTTTGCTGTGCGACTCTCTACTATTTGTTAGATTATTCAACGTTTTGCTATACAATTTTCAGTTAAGAAAAATTAGGTTGCAGAAAAAAACTAATTTTATACAAAAAAATTAGAAGTGGAAAATATGTAAAATGTATTTATTTGTATTTATATTTTTTATTCGTATTTTGTATATATTTTTTTTCCTCATTACGAAGGTCACTTCTCTATCTCTTCCGTAGGAAGATAAGCACTTCTGAAAGCAATTTTGTTTTTGTTGGTTTCAAGCAGTTGTTTTCTTCTTCTACAATATAGCTTCAAACAGACCCAGACAATTAAATGGTGATACGGGTCTCATCTCTCTTCACTAGTTTTAAAAATTATATTTTTGTAGTGTTTTGGACCACATGAAATATCGTATAGTATAAAATTTGGATTAATATGTTCGTAAGTAGTTTGTGAGTTGTGACCATCAAAACAAATTGAAAATTAAATATCATATGATTATATTGTTTTGTGACCCATGCTCAGTATACAATTCAGATGGTCGTCTTAATTTGTCTAATTTCGGAATGCATTATTTGTTTTTATTAGCTTTTATAGAAATAATATATGGAAACGAAGAGCAAATAATCCTAACCCCCCCCCCTCCCCCAATATTAGTTAGATGGCTATCTAATCGATTGATAGAAAAATATATAATTGGCTACCCGCATTAATAGTGACCAAAGTAAAGAGTACATGTACATAAGATTATCAACCATCATTACTAATTGCAAAGATTACTAACTTACTATTATAACAACAAAAAAAGAAGTCATCGTAGGTAGAAAACAAAATTAGAGATAACTTGAATAGTAATTTGTATTGGTTTCACACATTACCGCGTTAATCATCGTTCTCACTGACACTGTTGTCTTTTTTTTTTTTTTTTTAGGGTTAACCCAAATGCTTTATCATTGCCACGTGCTTAAATGGATCGTCCGGTGATAAGTCACGTGCTTTAAAAAGTAGAAATTACACATTAATTAATTGTCAGAATAATTTGTGATGAAGTTTTCACACTTATGTACGTACCTTGGGCTTGGGTGCTGCTGCTGATAAGAGAACTGTCGTGTCGTGTCGTGTCATTCATTTATTTCTTGTTTGAATCATTTTGGTCATGTAAATATAGAATAACATGTACACAAACATATATACTGATTGATGATATATACGCGGACAGAATCAATTATTTCATGACGCGTAAGGAAAAATAATTCCCATGTTATTAATACCAATTAGTTAATGTCGCTGAGTATTACTACTTACTTATCAGCAAAAATGTTTTGACAAATTTGATTCGACTTAAAACGGAAGTCACATGTGGAAGTTAATAAAATATGACTTTAGAGGAGCCAAAATAAACAGAAGTCACATGAAGAATTTGTAGAAGTTCCAAAACATTTGAGATATGATCATATAATATGATATTCCTGAGGATCTCCAGTAATTTATCTGAACCAGTTTCAAATATGTGGCTCAAGATTGAAAAAGAAAGAAACAAGATAAGGTTGATCTGTGAGTCTATGCTAGTCCCATGTGGTGCAACACGATTGGCCTGAAATGGAGAGATATTCTCATTTTCAAAAGTCATTATACTTGGAATAACAAATAGTATAAATGTTTATCCGAATTCGTCCGAAAAAATCCGGGACAAACATATATAGAGATCGCGTTATGCATGGTAAACAAATTTGCAGAAACAGGTAAATAATAAAAAATTAAAGTTGAAAGTACAAAAATAACTGTCATCTGTACAGATGCAGAGATCGCGATACCCATACTTGAAAAGGATGTATCAACTTTTTTTACTTTATATATACATTTTCATTAGGTGTTCATGTTGTGTATAGCACATTAATATTGTATATATCGCTAGATATATATCGGTTTAACTTTTAGGCTTCTTTGTTAAATTACATTTTTTCGACAAAAACACAAATCACATTTTTTAACGTATGTGGACGTAACAGAGAAATTTGAAACTATTAATAGAGATGAAGGTATTCAACAGTTATTGCAAGCCTGTCTTTGTTTTTTTTTTAACTTTAGAAATTGCCATTTATGTATAACATACCAGAGATATTATTAGATTTAATTATATCATATGTTCTCTTTGTAACACAAATTCAAAGCTTCTCTCAATCTTGCTTTTATATATATATATATATATATATATATATATATATAACAATACATATATACAGTACACATATATAATTTATTTTATTTATATTATCATTCAGTTTTTATTTTACTAGATTAATTTCACAAAAAAAAAAAAAAAAAAACTCGTCATGTCAGATACGTTTTGAATCCCTAGTAAGTCTCACATGCCCTACATGTTCAGTTCTATAACGTGAAATCTTATAGTTATAGGTAGCTTTTTGTTGTTTTAATAAAAACTTTAGGTTCGTGTTATTTTTTAATTTAAATTTTTCTGTCATAATATAGTCTAGTTAACAAGTAATTAAGTCCTAACTAAATGCCACAGAGAGAAAGAGTAAGCACATATGTACCATAACGATCACGTGAGTAACGTGGAGCGGAACTGATAAAGAGGAGCGCGCGTGTTACATATGTCCCAACGCTGCAGTTTCCTTATCGCCCACACTTAATACATATTTTCCCCATACACAATTCCGAATGTCCCTTTAATGATAGTATCTTTTTTTCATCTTTTGTTGAATGATTTAGCTGTTATAAAAATGCTCCCACTTACTTACTTACTTAGTCTTACTGGTAATTAAAATTGAGTAGAGACGTGTAATTGTAATATAGTATATACCTAACATATAGTACTAAATAATATACAATATAGCACACGAGTCTTTTTTCACTCATTCTTAATTAGTTTTGAAAGTTTAAGATTATGATGAGTTGTTTTAATTTCGCCCTCAAACTTGAAAGTATATCATTTAGAATGCTTCATATCGACGTAGAATTGTATCTAACGTGCTTGATTTTTTTATTGTCAAATTGTCTTAAAGTGAAAACTCATAATTTTTCAAAAATGTTCAATATCAAAAAAATAAAAATTAAATATCCAACCCCCTCAAGTTGGATAACCAGATATATAAGAGGAAACCAATCTTGGTACCAAATGAACTTATTTCCAGATGAAAAATATGCAGAGGAGGGTGAGGGTCACTTATAGCAAATATATATATAGTGGATATATAAAAAAAAAAATTTATCTTTATGTAGGTTGTGATTGGTTTTATGAGTTAGTTAGCGTAAGAAAAAAGTGAAATAAAGATTTATATATCTGCAAAATGGAGGAATAATAATAGTAGAGTAAAACTCTATTATTGAAGGTAAATTTGGATTTTTAACGTTCAGTTACTTTCACATCTTACTTTTTATTTCTTCTATTTTTTTTATTTTTTTTTAAAGTTTAAACCCATTTATTCATTTGGTAACCGGTTAGAGGGAGACATATGATATGAGAATTACTTCTATGCAAAAGAAAGAAAGGAAAAAAAAGAGAGGATGCAAATAGTATTAGCAGTGGACACTCATATTAACTGCAACTCTATGAAATATTCTCTTTAATTAATTGCAGATGTCTTTTTCTTTCTTCTTGTTCTCAACGTTAATTGCTTCACTCCTATACTGACAAAGTGACAAAGATAATCACCTCTCAAATAAAGCTATTGTTTTGATTTTCTAAGATAGCTACAAAATAGTTAATATGAAAAAGGACCAAATTAAGGTGATATGATACGGTTCACCCAGTTTTTATCTATTCTCAATAATTATTCAGTAAAGTAATTGACAATGGACCACGTACGTTAAAAAGAATCCAAATTACGTATATACTTGGTTGTGACAGCTGAAAAAAAAGATATGACAACCACATTCTGTAATAAAGCCCCTTTGGTAGATAATGTTTTGGGATCTTGATGAAGGATATATCATAAACGTCGATCCACGACCAAGTAATCATCATCCTAATAGAAACAACCAAGTAGTTTTATCACACTTCTATATATTCTTAACTAGCTAGGCCAATTTAATAAAACATATGTTGAAATGACTTTTATTTTTGCTCAGACTTCTAACTGGTTAACAAAAAGTACGTAGTGTGTATACAATTCTATAGACTACCAAACTCTTCATGCAAAAAAAAAAAAGAAAGAAAGAATATAAATAAATATATACCTAAGAAACAGTTAACATTTAATTCAAAAAAAAAAAAAAAAAGTATATAAATTGTCTTTGGTTTCCCACTTGTTAGTTGAAGATTTGATGTACGCGTACGTTAATCATATCGCTCTCTCGCGGTTTTGATCAATAGAATATGTAAACGTGCATAAATGAGTTGCTCGTTAAATATGTAACGTGATCAATAAATAAAGAATTGTCGATAATGATAGTTCGATACCAAGTTTCACACAAATTGACGCGTAGAGAGATAAGCCAACACATTCTATTAGGTCCGTTCGTTTTTTTTTCTTTCTTTTCTCTTTCTCTGGTTTACCCATGAATGACTGAATATATATATATATATGTTCTTAAACTAAATAACATTAAAACTCATGTATGACATTTGGCAACCATAAAACGTTACAATTTAATTTTGCTACGCTATATCGTCGGTTTACTTTTGTTGATAGTGATTATATATGTTTATTGCACTTAGAAGAATTGCAGAAAAGAAAAAAAGAAGCTATTATTGGGACATATTTATATTTTGCTGCACAACTTATTAATATGTGTTTTTCTTTCTAAGCTTTAAAGAAAACAATATCATGTCATTTATGCATGCCACTAAATTAAGAAGATAGATAGATGTGTCGCGAATGTTTTGGAAAAATCGCGAAATCATCAAAATCATGGTCTGAATCTTTTTCTTTTTACTCTGTGGTTGAAGCGAAGCTGAATCAAACAAGATAAGGTAGGTGTTGTCGTTGAGCCTCTTTGAGTCCTTTCATGGACCGCACTTGAAAGGTTATTGTCCGATATGGAGCAGCATGATGGGTTGGTCAGAAATATAGAGTATACACATTTAATATTTCCATATCTTTAATTTCAAAAAACAACTTTTATCATTATTTAAAATACCAAAATATCATTTAAAAGAAAAATTCCAAAAATGTTAAAGACAAACAGAGATAGGCAGTGAATTTCCCAAAAAAAGTTTTAAAAACTGAAGGCCCACCTAAAAAATTGTCGTCATTAAATAATTCCGATGTACTCCTACGATATTTCTTTTTATGTAGAAACTAAATTATCTACTTCTGGTATCGATTGATTTCTGAAAAAACTATTCTTCTGATTATTTTAGTCAAACTAGAAATTGTTTTATCAAACATTTCATTTATACATCTAAATATATTTATTTATAGGTTTCTAAAGTGCTTTCGTATCTAAAATAACATTAAGTATATATAAACAGTATTTTTATATCTGTCTCATTATTAACAAAAGTAGTTTGATACACCAAGTTCCTTGATAGTTGGCACGTACAAGTACATTTACATTTTGAACACTAAAATATTTGTTTATTTAGATTAATATATAGGGCATGTTCATGTATATATGCTTTTCACCAAAAAAAAAAAAAAAAATCTATGCTTTTCACAATCGAGTCAAAACCGTTAGTGCATGAACATCGCAAAAGTCACGTAACGTTTCCAAGTATTTCATTTTAATTTCATTCTACAATAATGTCCTTAATTAAAAGCCCATATGTTAAAAAGACTTTGCCTTAATTAGGACATCAAAGTGGTCCACGTTGACATTCTTCGTTGCAACGAAAAACCAAAAACCCTAGCTAAGTTGCGAACCAAAATCAACTTATGCTAAGTTGCGAACCAGAAACCAAAATCAACTTATGCTAAGTTGCGAGCAACACATACACCCATTAATTAAATTGAGTCAAAAGAGATGATCAAGTATGTGTGTACTCTCGTACATGACAGAGTCGTACGACGTCATCTCGTAGTCCATTACATGAATCCCCATTAAACGCCTAACTTCCTCCTCGTCCCAAATCTGAATATCATCTTCTTCTTCACCACCGTCAATCTTGTGATCCATATCTAACTCCCTTCCTTCTTCTACTTGGTCACTGCTTATGATTATTGGGTTCGACAAGATGTACTTGATCCTATCGAGACTGTGTTGTCTAGATGAGATACCTGCGGCGAGCTTATTGAGGATACGAGCTGATCCTGAGGAAGGAGAGCTTTCCATCGACGATGACGTTGTCGTGGAAGTGCTACCAAAGTCTTCTTTATTGGTCTTGACGGTGAGGTGTTTGATGATGGGCTCGTGGGTCATCGGGTTGATTCCGTTTCTTTCGAGTCTTTTCTTCAGACAAGAGTTCCAATGGTTCTTGATATCATTGTCTGTTCGATTCTGCATCAGCTGTGCTATTGCTGCCCACCTTAAATTTTCAAAAACACAAACAACTCCATTTGAACTCGGAAGATCCTAATTATAATAGACAAATTAATTAAGGGATCTCCAAACTTGTGGGAGCATCGGATTTTCAATATTGTTATTGGTATGACACTCTAGACTAATTAACGCCACAATAGATAGTAATTTGCTTTTTTTTTTTCTTCTTCCAGTATATCATTTAGAAAAGAGTATTGATGCATTTAAATATGTGCAGTGAAGATGGTAAATAAGTAATTATCTCATAAGTCAACTAGGCAATAATACTATCTCTACAGAATACAGTTTAATCTTTAATTAATTATTATCTTCTGACATATGTAAATTAAGAGCTTTCTGTTGTAATCCACATTTATATGATAACGCACATGTAAATGTTATTTTTTTGGTAAGGCGCACATGTAAATGTTATAATATAAGTGTGGGCTTTACCAAAGTGTATAATATTACATTTATAATAGAGTATTGTGTATATAACTTGATCAGGAAATTAAATTAACCTGTTTCCGAGAAATGCATGAAATTTGATGATAGCTTCATCTTCCTGAGGAGTGAATTTGCCTCTTCTAATCCCCGGCCTTAGATAATTAAGCCACCTTAATCTGCAGCTCTTTCCACATCTATTCAAACCTGTTTTTCAATTATTAAAAAATGTCACATTCTTGTAGTAAACAGAAAATAGTTTATTTTATTGTGGCTTTCCTCGTGGCAAACAAAAGAAGCTGCCAATAGTTAAACATTTTATCAACAGTAGAGATTTTAAAAGCAAGGAAGTTTAAAAAAGGATTGCATTCATTTGTTATTTGGTATTCGGGAACGAATCAAATAAGCATTTACAAAATCTATAACCAATCATGTACTAAGCAAATTATAAATTATAAACGAAAGATTTCATTCTTCGGTTGGCTGGAAATATAAGTTTTAGAAAAATTCAGCAGTGATTATAATCCAATTCAAGAAGATGGATTATGCTATTCAGATGTAGATATAAGAGAAACTTTGCGTTTGCAAGGAAATTTCGATGTACATCCACTTAGATTATACTCATAGTCTCCTAATAATACAAATGAGAACTTTCAGCAACACTAGGGAAGAAAAAGCACAGATTAAAACTCTAAGACCAATTTAAAAACAATTCAAGATTGTTAAACATGTTTTCTTGGATAAATGTGTTTGGCTCTAATAATAGATTTCGTCTTATTTTGACAGGCGGCAGCAAAACTACCTAGACCTCTCTAAAAAAAAAAAAAACAATTGTTCTCAAAAAGGAGAAGTAGAAAACATGTTGTAACACAGTTTCACAAAAACATATAAGTGCTAAAATGCACTTATCTATCTATCTATCTATATATGTATATGATTATGAAATATAAAAGAATATATACCGGCTCTTCTGGGGAGAGAACGCCAGTCTGTGATGCCAAGCTCGTTGATGTAAGCGATGAGCCTACGGTCTTCCTCCGCCGTCCACTCTCCTTTCTTCATCCCTGCAACGTCGAACCACGTCTTCCTTCCCATTTTTACTCCGGCCAACCAATTTGTATTTCTGTATCGTTGTCAGAAATAGGAAACCAACCCTTTACTGCCACGTACGATATTGAAATAAAGTTGTACTACGTACTAACTTGTAACTTTTAATTGTAACTTGTAAGTGAATCTTTTTACTCACACTAGAATGATTTGAGAGAATTGAGTTAGTGGGATGTGTTATTATTCTAAGGGATATATATAGGCCCTCCGTTTATGGTTTTATTATACTTCCACCGTTGGATTTTATTTCCAACTCCTCGACGTTAGATTTTAGGGTACGACTTTTTCTTTCTTCTTCCTCCCCCTCCCCTCGAATATATAGTTGGTTCTCAAAGCAAAGGAAAAGCTTAATTTCAACTTTTTCCTAAGAAGAAAAATGCAAGTCAAAATATTAATTTTTGACTAACATTAACTATGATAATTCTTCAGCACTTATATAAGTTTAGTCACACGTATTAATTCATTAATTCTACGTGAAGTCCTCTCCATCCTAGACATTCTAGAAACAAAAGTAGTTACTGACTTACTGGTTAGAGCTAAAGTAAGAAATGGTAGGGTGATACACAAACACAGAAAGGTGTAAAATGGTATTCAACACGATAAACTGCAGTAGTAATCATACTATGGAAACTGGAAAGGCCAGCGAAAGAGTAGTAATGTGCCAATTTTAATTTTTGTGGGGGCGACGTAACTGTCACTGCAGACGTGGTTTAGATTGGAAGGCATTGTGGTGATTGGTGGGTAAGGAACAAAAATAAAAAGATAGTAAATTAGTAATTACTCTAGTTTTTATTCTTATTGATCCATAACTCCATATACTGTATAGCTTTTTATTGTATTCCTCCGTTTTGAGGAAAATACATTTCTTTTGAGTTTTATTTTGCCTCTTTAATGTTTACATCCAAATATATTTTTTCTTTAAAAACATCAGTCACGCCGCAAGTCATGTATCAAACGATCGATGTTCACATTTATGGTCTTTCTTTTATCAACTATATATATTATGCTCTTTTAAATGTTAATTAGTATTTTTTTTTTTTTGGGTCAACTTTTAAATGTTAGTATTGTATTTTAGAATTTATACAAATAATAAATATAGAAAAAAGCTATGGTCCATTCTCCATTGACTGCGAAATGACCCCAGCGGTGTTTTTTTGGTCGAATCCATCTTTGTAAAATCTATTTGCTCTTTCATCCTTCTCATCTTTCCCCATTCACACTTTTGGTATGTGGCTCATAAACATTGTTAGACTATTCCACGTTTTGCTATATAATTTTCAGCTAAGAGTTCTTAAGCTGACAATCAAAACCAACTTTATACCTAGCTAGTAGTAGTAGTACACAAGAGTCAACGAGAGTCAACGACTCTTTCATCTCACAGAAAGAAAGAAAAAAAGGGGTGGGGAGGGGGAGTTCGGTTAAGAGTATGCGTATATAGTAATATAGTATACTAGATGTGTACTAAAATATTACAATATCTCTATCATCATTACTAATTTGTATGTAAGAGTCTTCAACAAAAAATAATAAGTGTACGTCGTCGTATCGTAGGTAGAAAACAAAATTAAAAGGAGTATAGTATTTATATAATGTGGCTTTGGTTTTGTTTCACACTTTTAAAGTTGAACCCGCGTTAATCATCGTTCTCACTACTCTTGTTTGTCCGTCCTACAAGACTCTCTACACTATTTCTTTTGGTTAAACTAGTTAATGCTCTTTATTATTGACACGTGCTCACAAGATTATTAAAAGTCACGTGCTTTAAAACTATAGTATTACACATTTTTTGTTTTGTTTTTAGTATAACACATTTTCATAACATATTAACTTGAAATGGAGAAGTATATATGATCATACTTATGTTTATTACATTTATCATAATAATAATATGATGATTCTTAGCAAAATAATAATAATAATAATATGATGGTAAGAAAACTGTCTCATTTGAACCATTTCGATAATGTACGTGAGAGAGCATATACATTTACATTATAAGCGGGGATCGGAGAAGCAATTATTTCATGACGCGTATCAATACCAATGTCTTCTCTTTGTATTACTTATCAGCAAATTAACATCTTTGGCAATTATTTACGTTTATACATATGATAAAAGTGTCGTTAATTAAGTTTCTTTATATAAAAAAAAAAAATATTGACAACATACAAACAACAAAAATCGCAATAGTAACATATGGCCCTTGTAAGTTGTTAATTTCAAAGCTCGGGTGCCAGTGACGACGTAGAAAGTGACATCAAAGACCATCATTATGGTAATTAAGTTCTTCAAATTAATCCTATATGTGGGATGTTCATTATTGTGCTTCTATCAAATATATAGATATCATATTAGTGTATATTACAACTGAAATCTTTTGTCATCGTATTGGTGTTGACATTGACTGACACTAAAATTAGTATTTATGTTTCAAATTATTATGATGATTGTATTATTTAATAATTAAGGCCTAGGTTTTGGTTGTAAGAGTTAGGGTACATAGAAGAAGGTGGAAATCTCTCAAATAAAAAATGAAATATTAATTCACCTAAAAAGTGATTAAAAGAGTAAAATTGTACTCAACAAGAAAAAAACATTTTCAACAAAATGAAATTTGAAGGATTAACAAAATATTCAAGCACATGCACTTCATTGTCTATAAACTATAGTATATGGAATGGAAGGAGAGGTTTCTCTGATTCCATGCATATATAGTCGTCGATGAAGCATATTTCATTTCATGTCATCCTTCATACATTGGACTGTCAATTCCGCAAGAGTGCTTCTTCATCCTTCTGAGCTTTCTAGTTAAACAAGCATCTCTCAGTATGTAACCTTTTTTTTTTTTTTTTGCAAATTTCACTTTCGCTTCAAATGATATATACTCGATCTTTATTGTTCTACGCTATTTCTTTCCTTTTTTTTGAACCCTACGCTATTTCTTTCCATTTTGCTTAAATATTAAGAGAATATATATAATTTGTTTTTGATACTATCGTTTAGTTTAGTTTTTTTTTTCTGTTCTTTTCTTTTGAACTAGTAAATCTCATTCAAAAAATATCAACTCGTGATATGTCAGAGACGTTTTTGAATCCATATAGTAATTAAGTCTTACAAGCCCTACATGTTTCAGTGGTATATCGGGAAATCGTATATATATAGGTAAAAATATCAATAAAATTTAACTTTAGGGTTCGTGTGTTGTTATTAAAGACATTTGCATCATTGCATGCGTTCTTTAATTAATCTTATATTAGTTGTTAAGTCATGAAATGCCACAAAACAGTAAGCACATAACGATCACGTGATTCACGTGGAGAAGAAGGATGTGCGTTTTACACGTGTCCTAACGCTGTCATTTCTCCCATCTCCACATGTGGTTTTTTTTTTTTTTTTTTTTTTTTTTATTTAATGGTTAGCTATTAAACTGTTATAGTAAAGATAAATATTTATAAAATGCTCACTTAGTTCTGGTAAAATGTCTACAATAGATATTATAAATTGCTCTTCACCAAAAGTAGACATTATAAATTGATAATTCTCTTTGATTTAATTGGGATGCCATATATATAAATACTTTTTCTTCTTATTGTTCTCAACGTAAATTGCTTCAGTACTCCTTTACTGACAAAGATAATCACTTCTCAGAAAGCTATATATTGTTTTGATTTTCTAAGATGACTACAAAAAATAATAATAATGAAATCACTCCAATATTGGACCACGCACGTTATAAAAAAGAATCCAAATTACATATACGTGGTTTGGTTTGTGACAGCCGAGATATGTACGACAACCACACTCTGTAACCCCTTTGGTAGCTTTGGATCTTTGAGAGATATCATCATCAACGTTCGAGATCCACGTACGACGTCCAAGTAAAATTAATCATTTCTATTAGAAACGTATATACAGCCATATATATAATATATATGTGGCTAGTACACACCACACACGTAGGTATAGTTTCGACTTTTAGTTATATAACATATGTTATAAATGAGTTTGATTTTATCTTAAAATTTCCTAATTAACAAAGAGTGGGTAGATTATACGTACTAGACTCTACTAATACAGTACGAACCACTACAAGAAAACATGTCGATTTCCTACCAAAATTCCTACAAAATAAATGGTAGGAAGATTTTCCTACGGAAAAATTTCGCATTTATTACGAAAAGAGAAAGTGGTAGGAAAAAGGAAGAGAAATTAACTACGAGAAAAGGTGTGAGAAAGTGGAAGGAATATTTCCTACCAATTTCTTTTAAATATTATTTTTGTAGGAAACTGTGAAGGAAACAAAAAGGAAAGTGGAAGGAAAAAACGCGGAGAAAATTTGGTAGGAACTTTTCCTATGAAATACCTTTAACGGAGAGGTGGAAGGAAATATCGTAGGAAATCAGTAGATATATCGAAGGAAATTTGTTCGTAGGAAATTTGAAGGAAAAATTTTGTTGGAATTTTGGTAGGATATCGACATATTTTGTCATATGAAAGGTATATTTACATGAATTCAAATTAATTTATTTTTAGTTTTCAAAAATTGTCATCATTCTCTATACTATTTTCTTTACAAGATGTATCTCAACCAATTACGAACAGCTTCGAGAGTTTGAAAAAGAGTCAGATTCTGCATCTTCTAGATCAGACTCGGAGTCGGCTAATAAATATATATTGTTCTAAAAATCATATCATCAATCATTTCCTATTGTTAAAATAGAAATATTTTCAGATTTTTATATTTAAATGAAAGTGGTATTATCCAAAGTTTTTATTTATAATTCAACATATTTAGGGTAAAAGTATATGAACATTTTAATTGCAATAAATGATTTTTAAAACTTCTAAACAGAAAACAGATCTTTATAATTTGTTTATGAAGTACTAATTTGTATCATATTTTTTATTGGGCATATAATTATAATTGTACTTATTCATTTATTTGTTTCAATTGTATAAGAAGATAAAAATTATTTTCTATCATATTTGTTTTAAAAATATAATTTGAAAAAAATATCAAACAGAAAATAAATAATTATAATTTGTTTATAAATTGTTTAAAATTTAGTAATGACAAAGATATGTATTTTTTATTTTACTTATAAGAAATAGCAAAATTGACCTCTATTGAGATAAAGAATTTGGGCCTCTAGAAATACTGTTGGGCCTTCAGAAATTTATTTTATCCATTAACCCAAAACACAACAACCCTAAACACTCTAACTCGTGTCCGCCGTCTGCAAACGACAATATCGGGAACGAGTGTCAAGAGAAAGATGGAACAATAAAGGACTTAACTTCATTTCTTCAATCGACCACCAAAGCTAGTTCAAAAGTAACCGATGACTCCTTGAATTTTTCATACGCCCTTAAAATTCTTCATATGACTTACATAAAAATAGTTTCTTCTTTCTTTTAACAGCGAGAAACGGAGCTTGAAGTGATTATTCTCAGGAAGAAGACAATAATTAAGAAGCTCAAGAGAGAGGTGCTGGTGTTAGAAGAAAAGGTTAGAAACTTAACTAACCTTTACAAGTTGCACAGCCTTACTTTCGATTTCCATCGTGATAAATTCCCGGTAAAATCTTCAGTACTAAAACTACTTGTATATGATACCTTCCATTGATTGTGAAATGCGCAGGTCACACAGCTCACTATGCTCCGGAGGTCCTCCTATTCAGCTACAGTCTCAAATACCCATGAATTCCCAATGAGAATGGACAATCTTCTTTATGATATGGATCTTCTTACAACCTTTTCATCCTCTGATTCGGAAGCTACTGTAGACACACCCCAGCGTGCTTTACCAAAGGCTCCAGTTGATTTCATGAGGGAGGAACTCTCAGCTGTAGGACTAAACCATAACTCAGCGCCAGCTAAATCCTCGACATAACTTGTGAAATCTGTAAAGCCGCCTTCGGTAAGTTAGTCCATCGACTACTAGGAGATATGTTTCAGTTTCTTCTTCTTCTTATTCTTCTTCTTCTTCTTCTTCTTCTTCAAGGCTGAGACAGGGTTCCTCTACTGGTGATTCAAAGAAACCTAGAAAGCCAATTCAGACCACTGCAAGAGATTCCTCTGGTTCGCTTTAGAGATGGGTTTAGTAAGTATTGGTCTGCTGGTAAGTATCAGTACCAGTTCTGAGAAAAAAGCCATTGAATAGAACCTGTTTAAAATACGTCTGAAGTGCTGAACCAGAACCAGCTGTGTAGGTGCTTCAGAATCTAAAGTTATATTGTAGCTATAAGTATCAAGTTATTTGTTTTGAGAATCTTGACTTCGTATCAAAAGCTCTCAGTTGGGTTTAATTGAGTTTTCTAATCTTGATATCTATATGAAATATGGTTGACTCTCTCTCAGCTCTTTCATCTTATTTGTGTGTGATATCAAAGTACTTTACACAGTGAGAGTTGTTTAGAGATGCATAGGTCAGAGATATGAGAGTTGTTGCATTGGTTTTTGTAGGGCTGAGGTGAATAAAAGCCATGGGAGAGTCTATTGAAAGACCTTAATGAAGGAACCAGAGGACTAAGTGGATAGACAGAGAACCTAGTGCTTACTCGAAAGGGAATCCCATGGTTGCTGAGACGAGACTTGATCTCATGAAATGTAATCTCTCCGAGGAGTATGACTGGAAAGCTCGTTTGTACAAGCAGGTAACTGACTCTATGCCAATATTATATTGTTCTTGTTCTATGATTCAATTAGTTAAAGAGAGTCTCGGATTTACTTCCCATCTCTGAATTTTTTGGGGATAATCTAGTTAGTGTTTCTAAATTCTTTAAAATGTTATCCTTTGGTTAGTAGCTTATGCTCAAGTTGCATTGGAGTTCTTTGTTATGCAGTACAGCTGAGCAGTCGCTCTATGATGCATACATCTTAAATCTTTGTCTTTAGAAGATGTGTTATAGTTTTTAGTTACATTTTGATATGCTTGGTGAGAAAAAAATTGTGCCCGTGCCTTTAAAAGTATTTGTATATGAAGCTTATATTTATTATGCCATAGAAATCATCTTTGTATACTCTGACGCTCTACTCTTTAATTTGATTGCTTAAGCTTACCGAAGAGTTGGGAAAGATGTAGGAGAAGCTCAAACTAACTGAAAACCTTCTTGACAAGTAACTCTCATGGTTTTTAACATTTGGTTTCTAACTAATGAAGCTGGTTAACATTTTGGTTTTATGCATACTAGTCAACTAATATTTTTGTACTTAAACTCAGTTGTGAAGAAGAGAAAGACGCTCAAATCAAGTATCTGCAACAAGCTTCTCCCCGGACGGTTTCCTGATTTGCATCCACCTACTTATCCAAGGGATCCGAGATGACGACTGCGGATGATCCGGTTTTGACTCCAACAGTTGCTGAAGATGACGACGATGAAACCCAAGAGTAATGAGATCTTATCTTTTAAAAACTTGAACATTTATAAGATTTAGGTTGTTTTTATTATTTGGATGTTTACCACTTGGTTTGTATCAACATTTGGAATGTTTTTATATAGAAGTTTATGTTATTTTATTTGTCTTAAAAAAATTATTTTCTCAATTAAAAAAATTAGTAATTGATTTAAAAATTAGTAATAATGAAATAAATCGTTGTAGTAAAATATTATTTAGTTGAAGGAATATTGAAGGAAAGGTAAAGGAACATTCGTAGGAAAGTAGAAGGAATAATTCCGTAGGAAAACATTTTGGTAGGAAAAGTAAAAGAAATATTTTGGTAGGAAATTAGAAGGAAACCGTTTCCTACGCATTTTTCGAAAGAAAACGGTCAAAAGTACCCTTCGCTTTTCCTACGAATAAACCTTCAAATTTTCCCTCGGCGCGTTTTTGGTAGGAAAATTTCCTACCAATATCTTACCATTTGCGATTTCCTACGGACGATTTCCTACTAGTTTTTTCGTAGGAATATCGTAAGAAACAGCTGTTTCCTACCATTTTTTCACGCAACTGCCCGTAGGAAATCAGCGTTTTTCTTGTTGTGAACTATATATGTATATGGAAATATACAGTATGAACTGTGAACAACAAAAGTCAACGTTGGATTTATTTTTAGTATAAGACAGTTCACTTATATATATATCGATCTTAGGAAGTCTACAAAATATATAATTTGTCTTTGGTTTCCCACTTGTTAGTTGATGATGCCGCGTTCGTCATCGCTCTCAGGGTTCCTTGTTTCTCTATATGTATATATATAATATATCTATCGACACGTGCTTAAATTGCTATGTTCGTAAAAGTATAACGTGAAACAGAAACTTTTGTCGATATGATGTAATAATAGTTCGAGATTCCAAGTTTCACCCACAAATCGACGCGTACGTGTATAGAGAGATAAGATAAGCCCCACACACATTACACTTGCTCCGTTCGTTTTTTTTTATTTTCTTTTTCAAAATCAAATTAATAATTATGATGCATGCATGCCACTAAATTAACTAGAAGATTGAAGTTTCATGTTTTGGAGAAATCACGAAATCAATTTCATGGTCTGAATCTTTTTTTTTCTTTTTTACTTCTGTGGTTGAAGTGGTACTGAATCACACACAAAGATAAGGTTGCGCATGGTCTTGTCGTGTGTGCCTCTTTAAACCTTTTTTTAATTTTATTTTTTTTCCTTTTTTTGACAGCAACCTCTTGAGGAGACCTTTCATGGACCACACTTGAAAGGTTATTGTCCGATATAGAGCAGCACGATGCGTCAGAAGTATAGAGACATTCAATATCTTCAATTAATTAATGAAAATACCAACTATTGTTTATATGAAATTTTCCAAAATTGTAGAAGACAAACAGAGATGATGGGCATTGATAACTTTCCCAAGAAAAAAACAAAATAAAATTAAAATGAAGGCCCATCCAAGTCTTAAAAGAAATAGACTAGTACATCTTCAAATAATTCCTACGATATTTTCTTATGTAAATTTTCGTACTTCTGGTGTTTATAGATTTCCGAAAAAATATTTGGTACAATGGTATTACATTGGCATACCGGGAACAAATAATATTTTGTGTCCAGAATGATAAAAAGTACTAAAATTACTGAATTTAGTAACTTAAAATCCAACTTATGATTAAAAAACAAAACAAAAAAAAGTCAAGAAGAATCCTAATTAATTAAGGGTTAATATAATATATGTTGTTACTCAGAATCGGAACCTGATGACATAATTTGGACAGCATCTTTAGGTTCGTTATCAGTGATGGAAGCAGGAACCTCTTTTTCTTTTGCGTTCCTTCTTCGTGCTTCTCTCTTTCTCTCTTTCTTCTTCTCCTCCTCCTCCACCTGTAAAACAGCCATCAACCTTTTGTTTATTAGGATTTGTATCGAAAACGAGAAACATGTAATCCATTAGCTAAATGGCTAGAGACTGATTTCATTATTACGTTATCTTCGGATTGATTTGGTGTTGCCGGTCTTGTCTGAACCGGTTGTTGTTGTTGTTGTTGTTGTTGTGTTGATCTGCTTCTCATCCACCAAACATTGCCTGCAGATAACAAAGCTCCTAGCAGCAATGTTGGTCCCATTCTAGGATCCGCTAGGTAGTCTTTGATTCTGTTCCATATGCTCAACATTTTCTGTGTTGCTTTCACGCTTTTCGGGACTCCTGTTCTCATCGGTTCTGCGCTTTCTGGAACAAGCTCTGGAGTTTTTGCTCTCTGCAAGTTAAATGTGAAACGATTAAACGATAGATATGATATGAAACATGTACATTATGAAATCAAAACCGAGGTTGCTTACATAGAAAGGTAGGTTTCTGTTGTCACCATCATCAACCATTTTTGAAAGCCACTTTATGATCTACATACGAAAGAGGAGACAACCAATGTAACATAGTCAATACCAAACAAACAACTAATGCAGATTGGTGAATCTTAAAATACTCTACCTCAGGAGTTTCAGCTGGTCCGTCATAACTAACAACGAGTTGTGCAGCGGGATCAACATCGTCAGCTTCAGATTGCCATACAGTTTTTGGCCATTTACTTGATTTCTGTTCTACATTAGCACTTTCTGTAGCATTTCTATGGTACCGAACGATCAATATCCTGGGGACATCAATTGGTGCCCTCCTAGTTCCACACGTGTCATAGCTGGTTTCCGATTGAACATAGAAGAAACAGTATTTCTGGATGACAAATCCAGAGGGAGTCGGATGGTAGTAAGTAACAAATTTTAAGATTTAAACATGAGATCTTAAAACATTTTGATGGATTCAGGTCACATAACAGATTCAATGTTAGGGTTCTGGCCAGAATACTTACATTCTGGACTTCTCCGTCGAGCCACACAAATGAAAGTCGCTTGGTTTTGTGTGCAGAAGCTGCTGGACCTATTGATGGATCATTGGAAGCCTCATCTGATCCGTCATACTTTGACAAAGCATCTTGCACCCTGCACATGGTCTACAAACTTGTAGGTTAGACACATTTCTAAACAAGGAGACAAGAACTTCAGATAAAGATGTACGACATGTACGACATAAAAAGAATATTTGACTCACTTCCCTCATCTTATTGAGCTCCACGCTTTGTCTTCCAACAAGGATGGTACAGTACCAGGTCGCTTTATCATAACCAGCTCGAGAGTATCCCCGTGCATCACAACCAAGTTCCATTGACGTCGTGCTTCTTAGTTGTGGAAGTTCTTTTAAGAAATATGATCATAAATCAATAAAAGTCATTCATCTACATGACCAATAATTGAGGGGAAAGAGAAAAGCGCTTGCAGAAACCAAATATATATTAAACATATAACGAGTGGAGGCAAGGGATTACGTAATTGCTTGTTGTGCTCCAAAATGTCCAGGAACCATGTACGGTTGGCAGATCCTACAAGATGGAATATCTTCTACAATTAGTTTTCTAATCATGTTTCATCAGTAATTCAAAACACTCAGTTCAAGATGGCGAAGGACCATGATAAACAACAGGTTTTAAACCCGGATCCTTCATAATCACAATGGCAGGTGCAGACTCCACCTCTAACCTGTTGCAAGAGAAGAAATATGAGATGAGCCAATGTCTAATCATGTGGTGGGAGAATCAAACGGATACCTATTTCCTATCACTAAACCACACATATCAATTCCCAGAAGCGATAGACACTAACGCAAATAAACAGACTTAGAAGTGTAATGACATACGCATTCCACCAAAAAGATGCATCCTCCTCTCTCCAAAGCACATACGATATAGAGGCAAAATTCCAATAATCTTTTGCAGCTTGGCGAATAACAGGAGTAGCTCGCTCCCCTGTTTGTGAGAATAAAATAACTTTTACCTATTCGAGCATGGGAAAGATCAGAAAAAGGACAAAAACAAAAAGGGTTTAGGTGGATGCGATAAAGAGAACTATTACATGTCTGGTAAATATGTTCTTCCTAAGTTCCAAGGATGAAAGAAAGCTTCATAAAGGACAAATTATATAGAGAAAAAGCGAAAAAAAGAAGTTAAACAAACCTTATTAGGTGGAACTTTGGAGAGGAACTTGGGTATCTGTATGAAGAAATATATTGTATCTCTAATTATTTCCAAAAAAAAAGAACGATATTTTAAGTTACCTAGAAAAAACTAAGGAAAGAGACTAAAATATCCAACACAGGACAAAATCACCACAGAACTAGACTCCAGAACATTTTGTAACACACAGCAGCTAAACAGATGGAGTTGGAGTAAACATGCAAGCAAACGGTCTCACTCTTACAAACCATAAAGTAAATCAGAATAATTCAGGTACTGAAAGGTCTGCAGCTTTGCAAAAACCATATCAAAGTTTCCAATAAAGTTCTTAACATGGTTAGACATGGATCCCTTTCCTTAGAAGCAGTGTCATTGCTGTTTCTAGACGGCTATGATATTCAGGTACTGAATTGGATAGACTACCATTTCTCAAGGATGTATAGACTACCGACTAGGTCACTAGGCAGGACATTTCAGTAAGATATGGCTCCTATAAAAATTTTGTTATCTTAGAAAACTTCACATTACGATGGCTTTAAAGAATGGCATATGTACCAGTGTTTCTTTTGTGTGGTAGAATACTCTAGGTAAACCCAGTACAGTAGTTGCAAACCAATCAGTAATTGCATCTGCTGACAACTCCCCTTCAAACCTAACAAGTAAGTGGATTTAAATTATTATTCTGGTAAATAAGGAAAATGTAGAAACAAACTCATTTAGATGACTCCATCAAGAGGGCTACCTGATGAGGCAGTCTGCAGTTTTGCAATGTGGGGGGAAAGAAACGATTGAAGGAAGGCCTGCATGCATTATATGAGGTTATAACATGAGAAAAAATCATTGCATTTTACCCCAAGGCATATACAATCATTACAGCTTTTTAAATTATCAACCATAGTCATAATAGAATGAGTCTGTATGTATACAAGGAACTGTACATTAATGTTCAAAAGAGTTTAAACCTACTAGATGTACTTAACTTCCCAAGTACAAATACTCAATTCTAGAACCAGTTTAAGTAAATCCTCACTGCTCTTTTCTCCCAATTTATCCTCTATGCTTACTTTCAATTTATATTTTTAGCTTTACTAACTTTTGAGTTTTCTTATTCTCAGATTTCGAGTAGGTTCTTGGCAGGGTGAGGAAAGTTATAACTAACCTTTTCTGAAAAAAACTTGTCCTGTTGGTTTTTTCTCAGCAAGATAGGTCACCAGTTGAGCATCACCAATCTCTAACATCGCATGGTTAGCAACCCCATCCAACAAAGCAACTGCAATTATACAAGAAGCTGAGCGTAAATGGTTCCAACCACCGCAAAACATGTCTAAAACTGTTGTTAGCTATTAATGTGTTCATCTTTTTTTTTTTTTTTTTGTCATCTATTAATGTGTTCATCCTACTTGTTAAAACATATTTTTTGATATCAGGTTGCAATTATATGGCTACACTTGATTTTGACATCATAGGCACCATATTTCTCTCCTGAAAACTAACACTGTCTAGTCCAGATACTTCAGTTTCTCCTTGCCATATGCACTGTTCTAGCTCTTCAATGTTCTAGTCCCTCACTTCAAAAAAAGGCTGGCAAGACTTTTGCACTTTAAACATACTACAAAAAGAGAAATCATACCAATCCTTCTCCAAGCCGTGGAGAACTGAACAGAGCTGTTGCTACCAGAAGAATACATCTACAGGTATTTATAAGTTAATTAATATATTATTCCAATTCCAATATATAATTTTTTTAGAGTTTATACCTGAATGAGCCATGGCTTGGAATCTTGGAACTTGAATGCAAAGTCTTGAGATGTAATTGACATAAATCCTTCACTTTCAGGCTCTACAATTTTTTTTACACATTAACAAGTTGGCATTTTAAAGAAACATCTAAAACGAACTAGAATTGGAAAAGTGCAAAGTGTTATGTTAATTAACTGACCATAAGAAACCGCTTCCAGCAGGGGAAGTTTTATTTTTGCAAAATCTTCCACAGCATATTGTGTTTCGAGTTGCTCTATAATATGCTGAAACCATTAACAAGCAACTGAATTGGAAAAAAAACAAGAAAGGAGAGAAGAAACATAAATGAGTGAAGATACAGAACTAACAAACTTACAACTGATTCATCAATGCCGTATATGTCATAGTCCCTTTTCCAAACTGGATTTGTCAATAGCTCATAGGCGTATTGTATCTGCATAGTATAAAGTAGCAATAATGAAATTAGAAGAAATATAAAGACTAACAGAATTAGCATTAGAAAAAAATCGACCAACCTTAATAAAATCAGCTGGAAGAGAATCCTCTGAATCAGAACTCCTGTTACAATCAGGTGTCAAAGGTTATTACAGTGTATCTGCAACATAGTTTCAACTTAGGACAGCTAAAGTCTAGTTATCAAAACATTCCAATTCTTTACATGCCAAAGCCTAAATATACTAACAGCAAGCTGAGGGGACGTCTTAGAAATAAACGAGGTAGCAATTAGCAAAATGTAAGCTTTTTCCGGTTGTAATCAAGTACCAATGATCATTCTAGTACCAATTGCATAGTTACACTTTCTGGACTAGCTCTAATTATTGGTTGGAGGCAGAAGAAAGAACGGGGCTAAATCAAAATACATAGGTAGAGACAAAGACACCAACAAAACAGATCGAGAAAGTTACCACTTGGAAGCAATATTCTCGTATGCCTCTTTCACGTCATCCACTGAAGTGTACATCTTTACACCCAGAACTAAGAAATCACAAGGAAAGTAAGGAATACAAAATCAAACGATCAAAACGGGAGGTAAATTAGTAGTGAAGTAATGATTTTATGAGAGGGTACCGTCGTAGTGAGAAGGAGGAAAGGAGAGAGGAAGAAGGAAAAGCTGGAAGTACATAGCGAGGAAGAAGAGGAGGATAGGAACAGCATAGGCTCTCAGAATAGAGCTCATCGACGGCGACGGAGGAGTTTCCTTCGCCATCGAGATTTTGGGAAACTGCGATCAAAGAGTCTCGATGTCTTCTTCTTAAGTTTTGTTTCTCTATGTAATTGTAATCAATCCAAATCTCCCCTTAGGCATATTTTTTCCGCGTTTTCTTAAACAATAAATAGCGATCCACTCTTAATTCTTTTTGTTAATATCGCATTGTTTCTAAAAATTAAAATTTATTACTTAATTATATAGAGGGTTTTAGGGTAACAATTGTATGTTAGAGTTTCCAAACATTTCCACATTGTGTAATTTTAATTTTTGAATGTTGATCAACTTTTATCTATTTCCATGGTTCAAAGTTTAAATAAATCGGTTTATACCTTAATGAAACACAATGTCAAATGGTGAAGATAATAAACAGATAATTTGTATCAAAAAAACTGTTGTATATATGTGTTATATTTTTTCTTTTTAAAACTAAACTACTGTAGTCTGTATGTAGTTTTCAAATAAAAATATAGCTGGTTTTACTTGAGAAAAAAAGAGGAGGACATGGATGCTTTTTGTTATGTAAAGAGCTTGGGTTCTTAACTTTCACAAGCCGCTCTCTGTAATGGGACAAGACACAAGGTCCATGATCTCTCTCTCGAAACATTTATCTGACACAAACCAATGTCCTTGCTAGTTGCCCAGTTTCAATATACTAGACCCAAATAGGAGACTGGTATGCCTTTTTTTTGGGTCATTTCGACTCTTAAACCTGATAAAGAAAAAACCCTTCTAGATTCTTCTTGATAATAGGCCATAGCTGTTTCACTTCTGACATCCTTAAACTATAGTCTACAGGGAGTAGACAAAAACAGGACACAGGATCGCAAAACAGTTTCTGTTTTTTTTTGTTTCTTTTCTTTTCTTCATCATTAATGTGTATGTGTGAAACATAAGATGACAAAAGAATGTTAGCTAGAATGCATATCTGCTTTACTTCCTATATCTTGAAGGTGCCACAAGTTTTGCTGTCTATGAATTCATAACTTAATCAAACTCTCATAATATATCCTTTATCTCTCTCTATAATTACATACAAGTAGTCATGCCAATACCTAGAAACTGATGCCCAGTAAGTTCTTGGAATGAATAACCAAAGACATATGCAACCTCCAGGTTTTTGCTTAATTTTTCCTCCAAAGCTGATTGTCTAAGAGACTCAGAGATGCTAATAGAGGAGGGTAACAAGCAAAACTGCAGTATTCTCATTGACTAAAAATGGCAGTAAACACATCTTTGAAAATTTTGACAGCTAAAACTTCTCTCAAACAACAACAGACAACGAAGCAGAAGGAACAAGTGCAAAACATGCAAAGAAATTGTATTGTGACTGTGAGAGCATTTGTATATTACCTATACGTTTCCTGTAATCTTTCCAAGCTGTGATTCCCTTCACTCATTGATTTTCCTAACTCTACGGTTTGGTTTCCGCGTGCATTCTCCGAATATCAAACTTGTCTACTGCCTCCAAAGGAGAAACTGTCTCGTTTCTGATCCTCTTAACATTGGGGCTCAACAATCCCCTGTGGCTAAACCCATACAGCTTAAGCACTTGATTATCTGCAAAATTAAAAGCCCTCTCCATGCTCTTGAAGCATCTATCGACTGCATAATCAGCATACTTGCCACACGGTTTGCACCCCACAAAATGTGTCACAAAGGGCCATCTCTCATCTCCCAAACCTGGATGATACTTCTCTATCATCTCTTCATACCTGTCAACCAAACCCTCCCAAAACCCGTGCAAATAGTATTGATTCTCAACATAAACTTTGTCTATCCATTTATCCTTCTGTGAAAGCAGGAGATATATCAAAGCTGATTGATCATCGGCCTCAAATGCTGGCCTGCCTTTCAGATAAGCTGTCAGTATCTTCCCAGCTTCGTCACGGATTGGCCCTTTTGGTCCCATTGGAGCCCAAGCATCTAATAAATCCAACGACCACTGACAATTTCTCAACAGAAAGATGCCCGTGTTCAATGCAATCCATGACTTTTGGTTGAACAACAAGTCCGGATAACCGTGTATCACCAGATTATGCTTCTCGTACCTAGACAAAGGGATCTCAAACAGTATATCAGTGAACATAGCATCACTATCCATCCACCAAATCCATTCTACTTCTGGATGAGACAGCATTAATTTCCTAATCATAGGTAGTTTTGTCCAATACCCTGAGAGTTCCTCATCCAAATGGGCCATGTTATACACAATCTCTATCCCGTGAAGCCTACAGTAATCAATCTTGTTCTTCACGGACTTCAATAGATAATAGTCTCCAATTGGTTTCTCGCAGGGTCCAGGGGAAGACCCGGTGAGAAGCAAGATTCGAGCTTTGCCATTGACAATACTTGGAAACTCAGGGTTCTTACTCAGCCATACCTTGCGTTGACTATCCCAGTTAGTGATTCTTGGACCTAGAGTGTACGTCGTATTGGAACTAGTAATAATCTCAGCTATAGGCGGCTCAGCCAACTCTGTGGAATGAGAATCAGATGGGATCTCAGCTAGAATAGGAGGAACGGTTTCCTTGATGAGACTCTGATTAACAGATTCGGCGCTGGAGCTTCCAAGGTTCCCAATACTGATAGTGCCAAGAAGGACGAGGATGGTCACGAAGCCGCAGAGAATCATGATCTTGATGTTAAAAAAGGTATTCGGGATCTGCCAACCGCGCAAGAAACCACGACTTCTCCCTCCACCATTTGATACAGCCGTCGTTGACACTCCTCCGCCACTTGCTGAGGATCTTAACTCATCATGAAACATTTCACCTGTCTTCTTCTTCTTCCACCCTCTCTAGATGTTCACTCACACTTGCATCCTGAAACTTTCTAACTAATAACCATAATCAGTGAAGACTGTCTCTCTTTTTTTTTGTCTTCCTCACAGAATGTGTAGATTCCAACTCTCCCTCCCTCTCTGGACTACAACAACACCGCTCTGAAATTCCAGTTTTTTGGCAGAATCCTGATGACAGACTATAAGATGATAGACATTGACAATCTCAAAAACTTCCTCTTAAAGTATTAATTAAAGAATAGTACTAAACTAGATAATGGAGAAACATGGTCGTAGTTAAATAATTATATTTGATCTTCCAAAAAGTTAAGTGAAGATACAGGAACTTACTGCTGTTTCCAGCATTCCCATCTCAAAACTAAATTTGGTAACAGCTTAAAGACGCAGTGTATCTACAAACACACCAACATAAACTAATGGCAGTACCACATTCAAGAATTATGATCATAGAATTGGTTTTCACTAAGAAAAGGACAAACCTAACAGCAACTAACTCATAATTAAGAATTTAACACTCAACAGTGTGTAAACAACAGAACCATGGAATTAAAACAAGAAAACCACAATGAATACAAACGAAAGAACAAATCCAAAAGCCAAGGTACCATACCAACCTCATCCAATGATTGATCTGCTGTCAAAGAAATGGTCAGAAATGTTCAAAAGAGAAGTAACAGAAGCTAATTGGACCATAAATATCTCCAAATTAGCTACCAAGCTAACAACAGCAAGTTCCGGTTCGGTTTACCTTTACTAAACCCGAATTTAATTCAATTGACCTCCCCGGTTCAAAACCCCAAAATCGAGAGAGAAGGACGCGAGATCGATTGATGGGGTCATCATACTCCGCCTCTTTTTCTAACTCCTCCACCGCCGCCGTTCCACCTCCTCCGTCTCCGCCTTCATCGCCGTCGAGATCCACTGTAAAATCTAACGGAGAAGAGAGACCACGTTTCTTCGATGGAAAAGCGAAGAACAAATGCTGGGCTAATGCTGACATCGTACCTGGTCGACATCCGGAGAGGTGGCGTAAAGACGCCGCCGGAAACATCGTCTGCAAACGTTTCGGAAACTGCAGTGGCTGTCTCTGTTTCGAGTATGATCACATTGTTCCTTACTCCAAAGGTTTGATTGAATCTCCCGACTCTTCCTTCACTGCTTCTCTTTACCCCCAAATGTGACCTCTTTTTTGAAATTAGGGTTTTGAGTGATCAAAATTGTGGATTTTTAATCTGTAAGGTTAAATCTTTATTGTTGGTTTCTGTGAATAGGTGGAGAGTCGATAGCTGAAAATTGTCAGATTCTTCAAACAAGAGTGAACAGATTAAAATCAGCTCAAGAAAATGTGGATGCTACCACACTTAAGAGCTATTCGTGTGGTCTTCAGTTTACGGGTATGTAACACATAGTGATGATATGAATCATGACTTTGTTCCTTTGGGTTTACTCATCTGATAAAATTTGTATATCATTATTCATTGTTCATTATGCTATGTTGATTATGTCAATATATCATCAAGAGTATAGATAGATATACTAGAGTTTTGCAATGGCATTTCACTCGTTCTGTCGTTATATAAAGTGTTGTGTTGAATAGCTTAGCTTGTCCATTGGAAGTTATGCCAAGCTCTCATACATGTGGGAGCTGCTTTTGCTTTAGATCTTTTTCCTCTGTTTTTTATTTTTCTCTTTCTGTTGGGTTCCCTATCTTTAACTTGAGGAACTGGACTTGAGCCACTAAGGAATCTTCTTTAAATGCAAAAAGCAATGCCTTGAATTGGTTGTAGGTGTTGCTAGTTTACATTTTTATAGGGGAGAAGCAAAGTGTTAAATGCTCTTGGGAAATGCATTTTCTTTCCAAAAAGCCTCAAAGAAGAGACGATAGATAGATCTGTTGGGCTGTTTTTACCTTCTGACACTTGCAATGAATGATTATACACAAGTGGAACTCGAAGTGTGTGTGTCTTATTCCATGCATACAAGTAGTTTTCACTTTTATTAAGATTTCTTCTAATGTAAATAGACAAGGAGCTAGATGTGATCGAAATGGCGGTATATGGAGACGTGTTACGACCTGGAAAAGAATGTCGCTGCAAAACGGTAGCCGAGCTGCTTGGTCAGTCCAAGTCAAAAGACGGTAAAGCCGCATGTGAGTTACCATCATAGAAAGTAATCAACCATGCTTTTGTAAAGCTGTGATTCAACTCTTATGCTCATTAATTTGTTGGTAGATACTTCCTTCTTTTACGTATTCGAAACCATTTGTTTGTGAGCGTTGTGATGATGGAAATAAAACATTCAGCTTGCAGCATTGTAACCTAACTTTTCAAGTCAACAAATTGATTATTTAAGTATCTCGACCACCTAATTCACTATTAGTCGAGAGATAACAAATGACTGTTTATGGTTGGTCAGTCATGGAGACATGAAATATCAAAAAACGGGAAAGGTGCGCAATTATGTGAAAGGCTAATTAAAGAAAGATGTCTACCAAAAAAAAAAGTTAAAGTCAATATATAAATTTTGCTTTTAGTTTTTTATTATTTATTGTCTCTCTCTGATATTTATATGTAAATTTTGTTCTCCATCTATATATAGTATGTTGCATTCAAATCATATATATAAAAGTAAGGTTCCACTATCTCCTTATTGGTGGAAAAATATTTAAGGCTTTAACTTTCTTTTTTTAAAAAAATAAATAAATATTTATGACAATCATTCAATACAAAATTTAATTACACTATAAGTTATAATCAAATGGCAAAGAAAATGAAAGGACTTAATCATATATCATTCAACAAATTTTATAAGCTTTATTGGTGGAAAATTATTTAAAAGCATATATATAAAATATATATATTCTCAATTGTTCCTCTCTCTTTATTGTTCTATTTTGTATTTATTTTTTAAAATATAATATTTATTTTTAACCAAAAAAACACATTTAATCATATACATTAATTCATACTTTAAATTCACACTTTACTACTAAAATGAAACTGAAAATTATATAAATTTACAAAGACTATTGGTTTTCTTTATTGAATTCCAATTAAACACACTATAAATTATAATTATAACTCCTCTAATTTAATTATTTTAAAAATGTAACTTACATCACTTCTTATCATATAAATAGCCATTCTAACATCCTTCTCTACCATATCTCATATCTTCATTATTCTCTTTGTTTTTTTTTAAAGTTCTTGCATAGGGTGAAAACTCATTTAAAATATCATTGTAAGAGTTTGATTAATTATTTAGTTTAAACTTTTGTTTTCAATTTTATTTATTTTTTGTTTTTATGTATTTCCTCATGTCTTCATTGTTTTTATATTTTTAAATGTAATACATATGTATAATAATATTTTATGGTTATAAGAAAATCAAGCTAAAGAAACCATTTTCGTTCTTTTACTTTGGATGTTTGTTTCTTTCTCACATATTCATGTATATTTAATTTATTTTCAAAAGTATGTAATTTTTTAACAAAATACACTTTTTGTTATATAATTATCAAACCAATTTGTAAGACATTCTTTTAAGAATAATGATCCTTATATTTAGTTTGTGATTCAACATGTAATAATACAAAGAACATTATAATTTGTTTTAACTTTGAATTTTATACTTGATTTTCTATCTAAAAAACAATTTGATATTCCATTTTCTATCTATTATATATACTACAAGGATGAAAAATATAATTAAATCTAGAAATATAACTTAAATTAAGAGGAATATAAAAAGAGATTAAAAATAAAATTATTTCTTGGGAATTTTTAAGGTTTCACTCTCTCCTTATTGGTCCATTTAGCATTTATTTTTTAATCATAATATTTATTTTTAATTAAACCAAATATCTAACACATTTAGTCATATACTTTAATTCATACTTGAAATCCACACTTTACTATTAAATTGTAACTTAAATTATATAACCTTTCAACTGACTATTTGTTTCCTCCATTTAACTTCAATTAACACACTATAACATATAATTATAACTCCTCTGATTTAATTATTTTAGAATTGTAACTTACATCATATTTTATCCTATAAATACTCATTTTTACATCCTCCTCCACCATATCAGATATTCTCAATATTTTCTTTGTTTAATTTTTAATGTTCTTGCATGGGTTGAAAGCTCAATTAAGATATCATTGTAAGAGCTTGATTATATATTTGGTTAAAACTTTTGTTTTCAATTATATTTCTTCTTTATTTTATGTACTTCTTCATTTTTTCATTGTTTTTTATACTATTAAATGTATAATACATATGTATAATAATATTTTATGGCTATAAGTAAATTACTTTATCGATGGGATTCAAAAATATTGATTTCTGACCATCGCACCATAAGAAAATCAAGCTAAATAAACCATTTTCATTGTTTTACTTTATATGTTTTTTTCTTTCTCACATATTCATGTATATTTATTTTATTTTCAAAGTATGTAATTATTTTAACAAAATATTTTTTTGTTATATTCAAACAAATTTGTAAGACATTGTAATAAATAAAATTTAATACACAAATAAATGTAATTTTTGTGTATATTTATAAGTTTACACACATATTTGGATAAGTTTCAACATTTTTAGTGGTTGTTTTGATAAAGTTTGAAAAGAGGGTAAATTTAAAAATTAGTATTTTTAAAGGGGTATTTTTTAAATTCTCCCAATATCATTCCTATTTTTATCATTAACAATATTATTGTTTTATCAAAAAATACTTAAAAGTACTAAAGAAAATTACTATCAAAATTGATTAATTGAACAATTAATAAACGAATAAATTCAAAAGATATGAATGTATGCTTCTATTGTATGATTTAAATAAATAACATGTAAAAATGTCATAAGCATTAAAATTTATTTAATCTATTTATTATAAGTAATAAATAAATTAAAATAATTAAATAAATATACAATAACCCGCGCATATGCGCGGGACATTACCTAGTTTTCAACAAAGAAAAAGCTTTCATCATAAATACTCTAAAAGAAAAAAAATTCAAAAAATTGGGTAGTTGCGGGGATGTTCAAAATTCCGGCCTGGAACAATAAATGTAGCTCCAAAACAAACACGTATTGACGTTTACTTGTCCAGATTGGTTGCCAAAATAAATAAATAAAACTCTGTTATGTTATGTAAGAGTCGTCAAACGATATATGTATCCAACAATAATTCAATGTGGAATAAGAATTGATTACACAATTTGAGAAAGCTCAAATCCCAAAAAAACTTATCTTTTACTTTAAGAAGAAGAAGTAATATTGAACTCTCCAAAAAAGCATTTTAATATACTATCACCATTTTGGTTATTAAACAAAATTAAAAACCGAGTGGATTCATATACTAATAGTACAAATACACAATACGAATAAGAAAATTACAACAAATGTTTTGGGGATTGTATAATACACACATACACACACATGACAAGTGTGAGGTTTATAATTAACTCTATACATGTGTATATAAAAACTGTGTCCAAACAAGTCAACAACAACCCACCACCGTTCTTGTCCGTATTAGCTCGCTCTCACACTGGTCGTCTCGCCGCTAGTCAAACCCGTTGCATAATCCTTTTTTAAATTCGATTCTCCTAACAGTGTTTAGTCAATAATGTGTAAACAAACATAAAGTATTATTAAGTTACTTTTTAATTAGTAAATAAGTAACCCATATCACTTTTTAACACGTAAGATGGAAAAATAAGAGTGATCAATCAACTCATCATCACTCATCATTTGTGGTCGATACAAAAACAAAAATCTTACCGTAGATTTCGCCTAAAACATTTCTATTTTTGATTTCACGACATTGATTTAACATCTTCTTAATTATAAAGGGAAAGGACCGTCGTCTTCCGCAATTCACGCCGATATTATACAAAGTGAAGTAACAAAAAAAAAGCCGAAAAATAAATACTCCTAAAACATTCTCTCTCTCTCTCTC